GCAATTCACAAGGAAGATAACAGACTTCAGCCCTGGGTAATTATTGAAACAAGTCATTCTCCACATCCCTCATGGAGAACTCTTGTAGAAGCTATCTTGACATCATTTTCATCCAGTCTTAGCAATGGAAAATAAAATAGTAATAAAAAGACTGTATTCAAAGGATTTGAGTGGCTAAKTATTTCTACAGCGCTTAGTGCAACTTTTTGTTAGGTCCTAATCACCTGTGATTTGATTTTTGGCACCTTGGTGGTCAGAGCATCTTRCAAGAGACATTGGGGAGAGAAGCAAGTACCCAAGCTGCTGTAGTGACTTGGTGCATCTTTTATAAGGGCAGTTGGAAAGTTCTGTGCTTAGGGTATAGTGGATACAAGTATTCTTTTATGTATTAGTGAAGTCATTTGCACTGACTGAGGGATGAAGGCTATCTAGTACTTCAGAATATTTCAGAATATTTCAGAATATTTAAGGTTGGAAGGGAYCTCTACAGATCATCTAGTCCAACCTTCCTGCTCAAGCAGGCACACCTAGAGCATGTGGCACAGGGTGGCATCCAGGTGGGTTTTGAAGACCTCCAGAGTAGGAGACTCCACAACCTCCCTGGGCAGCCTGTTCCACTGCTCTGTCACCCTAACAGTAAAGAAGTTGCTCCTCACCTGGAGACGGAACTTCTTATGCTTCAGTTTGTGGCCATTACCCCTCGTCCTATCGCTGGCCACCAGTGAGAACAGCCTGTCCCCTTCCTCCCTGCATTCTCCCTTCCTGAACTTATACATATTAATCATATCCCCTCTGAGCCGTCTCTTCTCCAGAGAAAACAGGCCCAGCTCACTCASCCTCTCTTCATACGAGAGATGTTCCATTCCCTTAATCATCCTGGTTGCCCTTCTCTGGACCCTCTCCAGAAGCTCCACGTCCTTCCTATACTGGGGTGCCCAGAACTGCACACAGTACTCCAGGTGTGGCCTCACCAGAGCTGAGTAGAGGGTACTGAGTAGAGAGTACTTTTTGTGAGCTAAAGTACCACAGATGAAGTGATTGGCAAATATTCAAACCCTGGAAGACTTTCAGCTTGTCTCTAGAAGGTATGCTTAACTAGATATAATTAACAGCACAGACACAGGCAGAAAGTGCCTGGCAAGGCAGCAGTTTGTAGAAAGTGATGAAGGGGAATCACAAACTGAACCCAAATTAGTGATGTAATGCTATTGCTAAAAAGCAGAGATTATACTAAAATAGGTGAATAAGAGTGTTGTTAATGGTCAGATATCAACTGAGGTATTTTCGGTTTCTAAAACCTAGCATCTATTCTTTCATAATATTTTCCCACACTTGCCTCCTATTTACCTTTATTTTCAAGGGCAACAACAATGTGGTGAATCCTTAGGATAAAGACCCCAATCCTCCCCTTCTTCACTCTGCTTTGGATTTGCTGACATCCATAGCCAAAAATCAGTTATTTAAGTTAAACCTCTTCTATTTAGTTAACGTATGTATTCACAATGTCTCTGTGAGTGATATCCTTGGTAGTAGATGTTTGGTCATGCACTCAAATTCAAATAGCTGTTTTGAATATATAAAATTAAATTTATAAATCTGTTCATTCCAGAATTTTGACAAATGTTTAATTTTTGTTAAATTAGTGAGAATATCCAGATGTCAGTAAAGCTAATAAGTTGCTTCATGTGTAGCCCAAATAAATCCTAGAGTGTACTACATGTATTTATAAACATTTGACTTTTATTACTGCTTTGGATGTGGGCCTACATGTTTAAAGACAGATATTTATCCAACTGTGTGCGTATACAATTTTCAAAATGGCTTATTTGGGCATGTTTTTTATTCATCAAGCATGATTTTATCCAGGTACGTTTCTGTCTTCAAAACAAGCAGCCCTTCCCCCCAAAACAAAAACAAAACCAAACAACCTAGATGTATTTTGATTTTTTTTTTTGCAATTAAAATCCATTTGCAGTTCTCCAAGAAAGTAAACTTCAGTAGACGTATTATTATCTATAACAGATTTTATTCTCTTATTTCCATGCCTGTGTTTGCAAGGCACCTTATCTATAGCAGAGCACTCTGGCTATAGTGTGATTGCACTTGCAGTTTCATGCAATTGAAACAGGTAAGTATGATAGAATGATTTTTTTTGTTTGTTTGTTTTTTAATGAAGGAGAATATTGACAGGGTGTATTTTGGTATCTCAGATCAGCAGTGCCGATTGAGTGCCAGCTGAGATGTGGTAGCTTTTGAAATAGTTGAGGTTTAATTGCAAGAATGTTAGTGACTGTCCTTGATCACACTATCAAGCATAGAAAAAAACAAAGGTTGTATCAGTGTGCAAAACACAGGGCTTCAGTAGCTTTTTGTGTACTTTGGTGGTCAATTCTGTGTGATCTTACATAGTCAAACTGGGTTTGGAAAGTAGTAAATCAACTAGGTTTATTCACTGTTAGTACATAAACTGATATTTTAGGGAATGTGTTTCAGTAAATCTGTATTAAAACTGCAGTTTTGTTGCTATAGTTAATGCAACAAAGCATTGTTAATGCAATTAAATGCAAGTTAATGTTTAAGTAAAAGTTTTAAATTTATGAATCATAACTGTAATTACAGGCAGAAAAATAGCGATGAATTTTTTCAGTGGCCCTCTTGCCTTTTCCATTCCCAAATCTTTATGTAGAATTGTTGAGACGATCATGTTTGAAACAATGTTGATGCCACCTGTGCATGCCAGCATGATCTGCCCAGCTAATATAAACTATATTTCTCTATTACAAGTCTTTTGCAAGTGCTTGGGATAGCAATCTCTGCTCACTTTGTAGTACTTCACTTCTGGAAGCGTTAGGGCTGTCAAATTACAACTTAAATTACTCTGCCTCACTTGAAATGTGGCACAATCGATGCCTTCAATGAATGGAGGGCAATTTTACTTAGTGCAGGGTAGAAGCCAAAGAAACTGGAGCCAGTTAAATTGCCTAACATGTTATGTAGCCTTAGACTATGCTTATGAACATTTCCCATTGGTCAGCTGACATGCAAAAAATTAACCTGTGGTAACTGGATTATGAGCCTGAATCCTTATTCTTTATATCTAAGAGTTACTTGCCTTTTATTTTTTTTCCCCTCTTCCTCATATAGTGAAACTTTCTTTAATGAGAGCTATAGTAATTTGTGCAGAGAATAAATTTTGAGTGGAATGGACTCCAACAGTGAATAAATACCTTTGCATTGCTTACTAGACTTTTGTTATTGGACAACTGCTGGGAATGCTTTATTTAGTTTTTCCTTTACTAATATTCCTGTCAGTCTAGATGCATTGCTAGATGCATTGTGAAGTTTCAAAGCAATACCATGAACTGATAGCAGCATATTAGAGAAGTGTGCTACTTTAAGCTACTTATAAATTATTGTGATGAATGCTTTAAATCATTCAGAACAGTATGGTACTTTGAGTATCCTAAAATGGGTATTTTACCAGAGCATTTTTTCAAAAGAAATTCAGTAACTTGAGTCAACTSTTTTTAAGGAATGCATTTTTGAGGTTAAAATCCTGTTCCTCAGAACTGTAGGTATTTTTTAACAGTTGTCATATGCCATCATCACTTTGTAACTGCARGAATATATGTATCTTCCTGTTGGAGTTCTTGTCTTCCCAAGGGCCTGCACATTTCTACCGTGAGTCCCTGAAAGAAATTAATTATTTGGTCAATCTCAAGTTCTCAAGTCACGTACCTTTCCAGGGGTGTAGTCTAYGTCTGGTTTTCTGAATCTCATTTATGCCTCTGTTCTACTGTATCAGGTATCTGCTCCATGTGCATGTGTTAGCAGTATGCAAGTAATTTGATGGTAATTGCTGCAGGTGCTCAATCCTTCTCGTAGAATTTACAGAAGCCATTGCTTCTAACTAGGTTCACATTTTTAAGTAATGAGTTAACAGTTTTTCTATAATATCAGGTTTGTGATGTAGATTGTATTGTAAAAACAGCCCTTGAAAATAAAGTAAAATAAACACAGAAAATTGTGTTTGTTGTTGTCTTGACATATCTAACAAATTTACTGTAAGGGTTTCCATGGGCTTTCCACAGGCTTGTAAATGTATGCTAACAGAAAGGCAAGTGTGTGTTTACCAGAGTACGTAGAAACAGATTAAAGTTCAAAACTGCAGAACGATGAAGTCTGAGGTATATGAAATAATGGAACTTTTTAGTCTAATTCACTACTGAGCAGCAATTTAATCATCTGTGTAGGATATTGTATAGGACCCATTTGACTTTTTATGCATCTCACTGGAGTATAGACAAATAATTTAATTATTAGTTTAAGATAATTTAAGGTATTAAGTATATTGTAGAGCTGGCATGAAAGCTAAAGGAACTAATGATGAAGTGTGGCTATTATTATTTTTTTTTCCTAAAAAGTAGCCCTTCACTGCTGTAATGGGTGCTAGCAGTAGGGAGCTACTTAACACTTTTTTTTTTTTTTTTTTTTCCCCCCTGTCAGAGACATATCGACCTTTGACCTTATTCAGATAACTGAGTTGTAGCAGCTGTAACTTGCAAAGATTTTATTTAGAGCTAAACAGTTGCTGTAGATGTGACATTGTAACATAGCTTATAGTCTTTACATAAGCATAGGAAGCGGATGGCTGAAGAAAAAGAAGCAAATTATTAATTTTGGATGCCTTCTCATAAAATACACCAGTCATTTCCAGCCTAACTTTGTGGAATCTCGTTTTCTTCCCCTTTCATGCAAGCTCTGTGGCAAAGTCTCAAACGGCTCATATATGCTGCTGTGTAGCATTTATGAACATTGTATCCTTAATAATCTTTCATGGCATTTTGTGGGTGCCTTTGTGCAGTACTTTATGTGTGGGTATCTTTCACCCTAAAAACTTGGAGAACCAGAGATCAAAGACCTCGGATTTAAAGATATTCAACATGTACCACAACTGACTTGCTAAATTTTAAAGTGTTGGCTTCTTGACTTTCAGGAGCTGTAGCACTGAAGAATCTTGAAATAAAAGAAAATGCACTGGTAAGTGACTAAAAACCAAAGTAGCACCCTTGTAAAAATGGATTATTGGATAACGTACTGGATTGTATTTTCTCTTTTCTGTTCTTATTTTAGAATACACCACCTTTTAAATAATTTTTTTTCTCCTCCCCCAGAGTCAGCTGGATGTACCATTTAAAGTTAAAGCAGGACATATTAGTAAGTTATATCTTTTAATACATGCTTTACACATTAATAAGTTATATTTTATAATATGTATTTTAGTAATGCAAGAATTAATATATACACTTCCTTACTGGTGCCCTTAAGTATCCTGAATAAGTAATTTTTCTAATTGTCTTAATTTGCATATTTTGTACACTTGGAAGTTTGTTTCGTCAAAAACAACTGTTTGAAGATGTTTCTTTCTTAAAGCTAAGACTCTATAAAGTTAAGATGTATGTGAGACTTTAATACTAACAAGAATCCAGCAGAGCAAAGATTAACAGCTGAGCTATACTAGATCTCTTCTGTTTTTATAGCAAAACTTCACAAGTGATGTTGATCCTTCTCTTCACACTTTATCCTTCTTTCTCTTTTTTGCATATATGAAATGTTTTTGCAGTACAAGTTGACCAACTGTTAAAAAGAAAATATTTCTTAAAACACAAAAATAAATCTAAAAACGTTTTGTTTTTCTGAAACCTATTTTGAAAGCATATACTTTTTGTATCTTAGTTTATTAAAACTGTCACTTGTATGAAGAATGAGAGATATGGTCACCTCAGGATCCGCTGCTCCTTGTGCTCACAGACAGACATTTTTTGTGGAGGAGGGTCACAATAATGAATAAAAAACAGTATTTTAAAAATTATCTTTGTAAGGCAGCAGTAACTGTTAAAAAGCAAGAGTGTAGTTCAAGGCAGTGAGAGGAACTGTAAGACTTCCTCTGTTATTGGAAAAAAATGCCCATTGTTCATTTATTTGTATGCTCTGTCAACAAACAGAAAACTCAAATGACTCAGTCCCCTACCTCCAAGATGTGTGTGTGTTTGTTTTTCTGTCTGATATGATACTTTAGTCTAAATTTTTATTGTGAATCCTGTTGTGAACTGTCTTTCTAATCTTTAACCTTTTTGGTTTTTTGATCAACGATTTAACTATATTGCTCAAGCTTTTTCTTTTACATTTGCAGGTCAACTTAACCTACAGATTCCATGGCAGAATCTTTATACTCAACCTGTAGAGGCAGTTCTTGATGGAGTGTATTTGCTTATTGTGCCCACAGCCAGTAAGTTAAACAAAGATTAGTGGGGTTTCAGAAGTGTCTGCAGTTGTTTGGTACTGCTTTCATTAGTTTCATTCCTAGGAGATAGTGTCACCCAATCCAAGTAGGTAAAGGGAAACAGGATATCTTCCAGTAGTTCAAATTTAGTTTCTTTTTTCTGTTTTTAGTAAATTGTGAATTACTTTAGATGAATAAGGGAAACAATATTCCCCACCAAATATGTAAGTTTTTTGTATCTTGTTTTTCTTGCATTGTGTRTTTAGGCATAAAATATGATGCGGAAAAAGAATCCAAACAGCTCTTGGAAGCAAGACAAAGAGAACTGCAAAGGATAGAGGAAGCAAAACAGAAAATAGCTGACCAAGGTAAGAGTGGGAAGAGCTAATAGAAGTGGTGCTGTTTCTTTGTATTTATTTAATATGACTAGGTTTTCTACCTAAATTGCTTCATATTCATGTTTCCTTCTTGATATTTTAAGCCACTCATTACAGAATCAAACTCCCTGTGAGAGGCTGTTAGAACTCTGCAGAAGTGTTTTGACAAGTAGTTGTAAGCTGTTCAGTATTGAATATTTTCAATTGAATATTCAATACTGTTTAGTATTGAGTATTTTTGTGCAGAATATTGTTGTCCTTCAAGTGGAGATCAGAGGATTTGTTGAGATTGAGTCATATATATAAAAATATACGTATGCAGACATATATGTATATGTATTTTTTGTAGGTACATATATGTATATATGTACATATACATTATATATAATGTTTTAAAAAGTTTATATATAATGTCTATGTACACTGTATACTCTATGCATATGTACCATATCTATATATATGAATATGTATATGTATATGTATAGCTATATATTTGTTTATATGGCGTCCTTATTGCAGAAAGGACATCCTGAAAATAAAAAGGTTTGAAGGATGACATGATCTGATATAAATAAGCAAATAAATAGTATTCCAAGAGCCAGGTGTCATACCTTGTCTTAAGTTACCTCTTCTGTGACAAGAAACAACTTATCTTGGCTTACGGCAGCAAAGAACTGTTAAGGCTTACATCATTTAAAAGCTTCTGTTAGTTTATTTGGAATATGTTAAGTCTCATCATCTTAAGTAGAAATTTTGATATTTAAAAACAGTGTACAGACCACCTTGAACATAAATTTGCACAAATAATTCTTTTGAAGAACCTGGTTATTTATACATCAGATAATAAGGCAGAAACACTGAAGAGTGAGAATATAAATGTTACAGAATATACTGAAAGATGCATTTTTACAGGTTTATTCAATTAGTGTATAATACAAAATTTAWATATCTATTAAATGGTGTTATTCTGTGTATGTAAAGTATGTGTAGATGTGAATGATTTGATTCTTGATTTTGGTGTTTCTAGCAACACCTGGTTAGCTGCAGAACTATTATGTTTTTATTTTTTATAAACTAACCCAAGTTTTTGCTTTTAGAATTATTTTCATCTTTAAACCAAGTAGTGTGAGAATAAAATTACTTTTTATTTTTCAACTTAGATAAGGTAAAAGAAGAGAAACAAGACAGTTTTGTTGAAAAATTAGTAACTCAGGTCATCAAAAATCTTCAGGTGAAAATTTCCAACATCCATGTTCGCTATGAAGATGATGTAAGTACTTTTGTATGTTTTCACATACAGTTTTGGATACTATGTAATGTTTTGGATAATATGTAATATTAAAATATGGTCTAGGCTGTTTTTTCATCCTTCTTTGGCTTTCTACATTGAGAGAATCATATTAAAAGTTTGAAAGTTAACTTAAAAACAAAAACAGATAAAAGTGTTTTACCAGAGCATAAAGATTTTTATCTGTCTGAGTTTGGGTACGTAAAGGATATAGCTGCCAGATCTTTGCAAGATATCTAAGTAYGTATGTATGTGTATACGTGTGTGCATGCATATATATTTGTTTACAGCTTTTTATTTTCAAGTCTCAATTTTGAATTTCAGATGACATTTTTGTCATTTTTTTCCTTTTATTAGATCACAAATCAGAATAATCCCTTGTCATTTGGCATTTCACTTCAGAATCTGAGCTTGCAGGTAATGTATATTTTCGCTTAAAAATATTTGTTAGGTCATGTGCATTTGGTGATGGTTTRTAGGCAACTCAGGCTTTTGTATATGGATATTCCTTTCTTGTAATGTACTGTGTATTGAAAGAATACCCATAAGCGCAAAGGTAACTATTTGATTGACCATATCCAACATAAATATTAGTGGTGCTTGCTGTGAAAATGGTGGTGGTGGGGGGGAAGATGGATGTACAAAAAGATAATCCTGCCTGCTGCACTTCCTGGTTGGAAGGACCAGACTCTACTAGAGTACTGATATACAGAATTTGTAAATGGCAGCATTGCCATAAGCTCTGAGAAATGAACTTAATTCTTAATATTTAGAATTCTTAATATTTAGAATATTAATGAGACTGATATCCTGTTTTGTGGTGGAGAGCTCAAATCTTTGACCTGCATTTTCCAGTTTAAGGTAGTAATAGAAGTCTGCAGAATTACTTCATTTTTTTTTCCTAGAAGATTACTAATAAGCGCAATGTATTGGTTCTGCTAAGTTGCTCTGATTCAGTAGCTTCTGTCGTATGGTTAATAATTTTAAAGATCATTATTGTTTTACTCTCTCGAATGAACAAAATTGTCTTACAGACAGTTAGTAGCAGTGAAAGCTTTTTGCCAACTCCTTCATGCAAGTGAAAGTGCTGTTACCATAACGAACAAAACTTTCTTGGTATTCKTACTATTTTACTCCTGAAATGCCTTTCATATCAGCATGGAAAAAATGTGATAACATGAAATATTTTTGTTTTTTTCAAACTAAACTGCTGCTTTCAGATTTGGAAAGAATTCTAGTCACTTGTTTGTCTCTTTACGTAAAATCTGTCTAAAATATTCTGATATAAAAGAACACAGTTTACAATACAGAAAACAGATTTTTACTAAATTTTCTGAATACATGCTAACACTCACTGCAGATATATGTACATTCCAGGGGAAGTGATCTGATAAAGTTCCAATTAAGAAAATAAAGGATTAATCCACTTTAAGAAAGTCTCTTATTATTTCCAGTGGTGTTTAGTTATGATTTTTTTTCTTGTGTGTTTTACTAGCGTATTTCAGGGATGATTCTAAGGTCCAAGCAAAAAGATTGGTATATTATCAAAATCAGAGTAACTTTCCTTAATCTCTTTTCAGACGTCAGATAAGAACTGGAATCCATGTTTACATGATGAAACTGCCAAGCTCTTCTACAAGGTACAATATGAACTGTATGCTAAAGAAAGAGTTATTGCAATACAAGCTACTTACAAATTTAGATTTATTATAAGGAAACTGATATCTAGAAAAATTGTAATATAGGTTGTGAAATAAGAAAGTGTCTAGTCTATGCAGAGTGTTCTGAAAATATTAATTCATCCAGACTGTGAAATTAGAATTATTCTTTCAAAATTTGTAYGTGGATTTATTAATGTTTCATTGTATTTTCAGCTTGTACGACTGGATAATCTTTTTGCATATTGGAATGTGAAATCTGAGATGTTCTATCATGGTGGTTATGAAGAGTCTTTGGTAAGTAAAGCATGTGATAATGTATCTTAGTTTATGTTGTGACATGTTTAGCTTCACATTCAGTTCTACTTCCRTTTATTTCAATGGTTCATGAAACTGTCCAGTTAATAATGACTTTATGAACAAAAACTGTGTATGTAAAAGGCTTTTATATTACTGAAGTAGAACTTGACTGTCTGTTTAACTGTAGGAGTTAAACAAAACATCCTTTGCAAGTTATCAATTATGCAAAAACCACTATCATTCCATTGTTTAGTCATTTAAAAATGATAGTCCTTTAATAAACAGATGTTTTGAATTAAGCTGAATTGTTTTGAACTGCACTATACAAGAAGAATTATCTGAAGCCTATATCAAAATATAAATGTTTTATGTTTTGAAAGTTTATCATGATGCAAATGCAAATACAGCTTGTTTTTGACTTTATTATAYGTGTAGGTTAACTTAAAACAGGGAGTTGCCTGCCGCAATGTAATTCCAGAGGGTTATGATTTTGGTAAGTKGTGTTATTTCATATTTCATTTGTAAATGAATATTTGTATACTTGTATGCTTTACTTCAAATGACTATTGCTGAGAAATTCTAGTAGAGAGTTCAATGGGGTGATTTTTTCCCCTCCAGAAATATCTGTCTGTGCTATTGAATACTGTCCAATATCTGTACTTTTTGTACTTTTTTGTACTTCGAGTTTTGCTTTTTTTTTTTTAAAGTTATGTTTGTTCCATTTAGAATTGCTGGTTGCTGCATTTCATTGTAGAGAAGATAGTGGGGTTTTTTTTTCCCCAAGTGCTTCCCCAAGTGATTTTTTTAGAACTTGTTCAGAATAGCTTTTGAAGAGGCTTATGTCCTCAGTTGTTATAGGTATCATTAAAAAAGGGTGGTATTAGCTTTATAATTTATTTTTCTTTTTATATTTGCTTGAACAGAGGAAACCTTCTATGCATGTCTCTGCAAATCTCAAAAAAAAAAGAAAAAGCAGTTTATTCTGATTCCTTATCTATCATTTTATAGCTCTGACTCTTGTAGAAGAAAGAAAAGTACTATTTTGGATGAAAATAGGCACAAACATCATCTTTTGTGCAGATCTTTGTAAAAGTCCAAAGTAGCTGAAGACAAAACTTTGGGAGTCAGAGTTTATGCTGTTAAAATTTAGCAGTACSACGAGAGATGGAAGCAGATATTTTAAGGATCCTATATGCCTATATTGTGTGCTAAATAAAAAAGTAGGATCTTTCAAAGTGATTTTCTAGGTTGAAGCATGGATAAGCAAGTAGTAATTGCAAAATTTGCTTTTTTTTTGGCTGAACTATGCAATTATGTATGCTAACAAAGAGTGAAAAATGAAATTTAAGAAGCTAACTACAGGGAGAAATTAATGGAAAACAACTATGCCTCCATGTAAGATCTTTGGAACAAAAATTAAACTACATTACTACAAGCAGTACTGGGTTTAAGCTCAGTCAGAGATAAATGGTATCTCATCTGGAAAAAAACTCCTATTTCTACCTGTCTATACATTATGAATATTTATTGTTTAGATTTGTAAGTATTTGTTTTGAAATCAAAGAAATTTTTCATAATAAAAATTCTCATTATTTAGTCACTTACTAAAACAAATAAAAAGTTAAAGCAAACAGAATTCTTGAATGCCTATTGCTGACAAATTGATTGAGAACAGATAAAACACTTCTACTCTAAGTACTCATTTGTACTCATTTTTCCATGTGCTTAGCATAGAATTAATCGTTCTGTGCATACTTGAGTACTCAGTTAAAAACATGGAAAGCCTGGTTTTACAAAACCACTAGCAGGATTAGAATCTACTGAACAGTTGAAAACAGCTGTAGCATAAGACAACAGTAAATTTTTCTTTTTCCTTTTAATTTGTATAATGTGTAATGTTTTTGAAAGTCCACATTAATATGTAAACCTGAAGCATGGAAAAATCCTTATGATAAATTAGATTGTTAATTCAAATATACATTGCTTAATCAATGCTTAATAATGCTTAATTACGCTTAACAGTGAATAGCTTGTATCATAGCAATATAGCTTTAATTTGCTCCAAATTGAAGCATCTGCCTTGTGTTACTGCATATAGAAGTCATGTGGAAATGTCCCACTTGTAATGTGGACAGAATAAAAACGGAAATTGGGTATTAATTGTATTATATTTTAAACTATATTGATCGTGTCTTTGTATCTTTAAGTCTGGCGTTTGTGAATGAATGACCTGGGATAACCTGGTGGCTCATATTGTATGTTATTAATGGTGATCTGAAATAACTGTATTGTACTTTCTTGTGTTTTATAGTATTCCGCCCAATTTCAGCTAAAGCCAAACTCCTTATGAATCCTCGATCAGATGTTGACTTTTCAACACCAAAAATGGATTTAGATGTAAATTTACAGGATATAGCTGTTGAATTCAATAAGCCACAGGTATAAACTACTATACGGTAAAAAAAGTTATTTTTACAAAAAATAACAAAAAATAGACTGAAATGCAAAAGTAAATTTGAGTATTTTCTTTAGTCTTGTTATTTTTTTGTGGGTTATTTTCTCATTAAAGAATTATCTGTATTATACGGTTCTGAATTATACGATTCTCAAAAAGACAGTAACAATCCGTGCTTGGAATTTCTTTCAGTACTTCAGTGTTATGGAGCTCCTTGAGTCTGTTGATATGATGACTCGAAATCTGCCATATAGAAAATACAGACCTGATGTTCCATTGCACAACCATGCTAGGATATGGTAAGAGTCATAAAATAATGAAAATAATTTTTTAGTTGTTCAGTTGAAATAATTTTTTTTTAAGATGTTAGACTTCATCTGTTCCTGAAGTCATGTCCTCTGTATTGTTTTTGTTCTTTTCTTAAGCTGTGAATACTAAAAGGCATTTGAAAGACAAGGAAAAAATATTTGAAAGTTTGCACCTGCTGTCTTAAACTTAAGTCCAATGATCTTTAAATATCTAAACTGTCTTCTGRTGAATGAAATTCCATTGTGTGTGCAGTGTTACAGAACAAAGCTATTATCTAAAAATATATAAATGTTTGAAACATAAATGAAATTTTATTTTTTAATGTTTCCTTGTAAATATGTATCTATCTAGAAAACATTTATCTGCATGTGTGTGTATGTAAATATACATAGTAATATACATATATGTGTTTGTACATGTATCTAAATGTATAGATATGCACACCTGGAATATGCATGCTGGCGTGCACTCTTGTAGCAAATTCAGTACTTTCTAGGTTTGGGAAGCAGCAACATCTCAAATTTGGGTGAAAAAAAAATTCAAACCCTTGATTTCTTCTGTTGACCGGAAGGTGATATTAGACAAGGAGTTTCACTGTGTCACAACTTGAAGCAGTATTTAGCAGTAATCTGTGTGGTTCTAGCAGTCTTTTCAGTATGTGAGCAAAAAAGCATCATTCATTTGTCCTTGCTTTTAGGTGGAAATATGTTATTTATGGCATTCTTGAAGTAAATGTTCAACCGAAGCTCCAGATGTGGTCATGGGAACATATTCGGCACCATAGGAAACAAGTGAAGAACTACAGAGACATGTATAAAACAAAGATAACATCCAAAAAACCCAATGAAGAAATCTTAAGGTTGTTGGAGGTTAGTTTGCTTTTATCAAAGGCTTTCAAAACCTACCTGGATGTCAGCCTGTGCCCATGCCTTCCAACCTCAACCATTCTGTGATTCTGTGAATGTGAAATTTATTCATCTTCCTATTTTCTTTAACATAAGTATTTGTGTATCCTTAAGTCAATACAGATTTATGCTAAAACTTTTCAGTGAGCTGACTTGTACTCTTGGTACCCTTTCTGTGAACTGTCACAATAAAGGATTTTTTTCATTAGTAATTGCGGCGAAGAAAAGCTTAAACAGATGTACTTTTTCTTTTYAGATTTAAGTTTTTGTGTGTGGGCAAACTGGTTTTCATCAAAGGACTTATGGATCTGATCAAATGAAATTTTCAATTTCAAGTGAATGAAATTTTCAAAAAAATATTCTCACTTCTTTCCTAGGAATTTGAAAAGACCTTGGATATTTTTAACATCACCCTAGCGAGGCAACAAGCAGAAGTTGAGGTAAAGTTTCAGCATTTAAGTCATATAAAGAACGTCTGTTAACATAAGATTGTGGATGCTTCAGGATTAAATTATTTTAATTCTAGCCTTTAAATTATAATTTTTAGCCATTTTACTGTCATTGTATCACATGTTATTATAAGGGATAGTTAATTTCAGTCTCCAATCAAACAAAATCTAAGTAGCTTAATAGCCTGTTCTTTTAGATGAAGTGATTGGGGAAAAATTCTTTTTATTTCTGACCAAAAAAAAAAAAAAAAAAAAGAGTCCCACTGTGAAAATGTGGTAAAAGATTATAAAGTAATTCAAGTTGGAAGCAATAGTATCCATATCTGACAATTTTAAGGCTTTTGTATTCCCCTCTACTGCCCTCAAACAGAATATAAAATTAGGTTTTTTTTCTTCTTAGTAACCTTATTATATAGTAGGAACACCTTTGTACGTATGTTAGCCCTGTATTAGTCTTTTCAAATATAACTCCAAATGCAGCAAATGCAAAATAAATTTCAACAGATGACAATAAATCAAGAATACATGGTTTTACAAATAATGCCACTTAATTTAATACTCATTTTTTTCTTAAGTTAGTATACAATTTAGTTCTCAATGAAGTGTTGGAAGGTCTTTCTGTGAAGCTAAATTGACAACTGCATAGACTTTCTGAAATGTTCAAAGTGATTTTTCTCCATTTGTAATTACTGTGCCTAAGAGTTGGCAGCATGTAAAGCTTAAAATCTGAATTTATCTTTTTATTATGAAGTTTAACTAGTCTGTTGGAAATGGATTGTTTAACTGTCTGCTGATCATAGATACATTGTCATAGTCCCTGAAAGAGACATTTCAAAATCTGTTGTGGAGTGCATTAGGTATGATATGAACACAACTGCTGCAGTGATATTTATACTTCTAAAACAAGACTATCTGTAAATAGAAATCCATACATTTATTTTTTTCTTCTGGTTTTCTGTATGTAAACTCACATTTCGATTCTTGTATGAATATTTTTCAACCTCTCACATAATTATGATACATTTGTTGCATTTGGTTGTTTGGCTGAACTGCTGGAGTACCTTTCATGGTCTTTCGGTTTTAGTTCTCATTTAATTTTGACTTATTTTTAGCTTGTGTTGCATAATTATTTGTTTTCTAGGATAAGACAGAGTTAGTAGAGAGTTTTCAGTCTTTATTCCTCTTTTATTTTGTCTTCTGGTTTATGTTTATTCCTCTTTTCTCCAGTGTGACCATGCCATGCTGTTTACAAAAAAATATTTTTGTGCTCTGGGCTCCCCACTACAGGAGGGATGTGGAGAGAGTCCAGCACAGGGCTACCAGGATGATCAGGGGCCTGGAACATCTGCCATATGAGCAAAGGCTGAGAGAGCTGGGCCTGTTCAGCCTGGAGAAGAGGAGGCTGAGGGGGGACCTGATCAGCGTGTATAAATACCTCAAGGGAGGCAGTGAGGAAGAGGTGGCGGCCTCTTGTCAGTGGTGGGCAGCGATAGGACTAGAGGAAACGGCCACAAGCTGAGACAGCAAAGGAAACATTTCTTGACAGTGAGGGTGCCAGAGCCCTGGCAGAGGCTGCCCAGAGAGGTTGTGGAGTCTCCTTCTTTGGAGATCTTTAAAACCTGCTTGGATGCAGCCCTATGCCGTATGCTCTAGGTGACACTGTGTGAGCAGGAGGGTTGGACTAGATGACCTCTGAGGTCCCTTCCAATCTTAAGCATTCTGTGATTCTATGAAGGGCAGTTTAAAAGCAGGTCTTGGTACTGCTTGGAGAAGGCTGCAACTAAATGAATTTTCATTTGATGTTAAGCCCTACATTTGAAAAGTGGGAGAGAATGATCTTTGGAAAGATTTGCTAGCTAACTCTTTGAAATCATTTCTAGATATTAAAAGTCAGTAAATGATGATTCTGAACTCTGTTCTGACTACATGTAGGAGTCAGAACCCATCTGTCTTACTAGTAACAGATAATATCCAAAGGACATTGTAAAAGGTAAATTGCTACCAGCTTAATACCTTGAGTACTGTCTTGTCTACTAGGGCTTTAAAGTGTTTTCACTTTAGGTGTGGTGTGATTGAAATCAGAGAAAAGAAGCTTTCTTTTAAAGTCTTGCACACCACCAGCACACCATGCCAGACAACTTGAGAAATTTTTATGCCTTTTGTCTGTAGAAGACTATAGGCAGGGCTTTCTAAATCAGGAATACAGGGTCAGCTCTTGCTTCTCCCGTTCTTTTAGTCAAAAACAATTCACTCTTAAGTAATCCTTCCTCAGACAATGCTCGTATTCATTTAGACTGTCTAAATGAGAGGGAGGGAGAAGATCAACAGTATTTCTTGAGGATGAACTCCTCATACTGCAGAAACGGTTTCTTTATCCTTTCAAATGTATGGTTCTCCTCTGTTCTATCTGCAGCTTTTTTTGCCTTGGGCTGTGGTAGTAGGTGCAGCCTCAGATGTAATAAGAATCATGCCCTTAGGCAACACTTCCTTATTTCCCAGTTGTCGAAATAATGGATGAGGAAGCAGATGAGTGCTTTACCTATTGTTCTACCTACATGTATCGCATTCAGGAATGGTATTATGTATTATTCAGAGTAAATGCTTTACTATTCTTTACTAGAATAATAACTTCAATTTTATTCCTTTGGACAATTATCTTGAAATTAAAAATACAGAGACCACTTAAATCTGGCCCAAACTACTTATTTAATTGCTTAATTATGTAACTTTAAAGACATTGTTCTAGTGTAGAGCACTACAGCAAGCTGTGCCTTTTTTGTTAGCTAGATCGTAAAAGATCTACAAAGTTTGCCATGATATTATAGAACCTTTTTTTAAAAAAAAAAAAAAAAAAACTTGCCATTTTCATTAATAAAGGTGGCTGATTTTCCTGCAAGCGGAGAACTATTTTGATACTGCACTGTGTATTTCAAAAAATGTTGGAATAAATAAAAGATGATGGATTACTTCATGACTGTAAAATGACATTTTAGAATGCTAGGGCATGTCTTGTGTCTACCTTCTTTGTGTTTGTCTTTGTAGATGCCAAAAATAAATGAATAAAATAATTTGTCTATTTCTTAATTTCAGGCTACTAAGGCTGGACTAAAAATTTACAGACCAGGAGTAAAACAAGATGATGAAAATTCTGGTGGCTGGTTTAGCTGGATATGGGGCTGGTCAGGTGAAAAAAAGGACCAACAGAAACAAGAAGTAAAGGGTTCAAGTATGTACATTCATTTTCTGGAGGGGATATTGTTTTAGATTTTTGAGTTTTCCTATTATTAAAAATTACCTGTTGGAATAATTATTTTTAACAGTGAAAGTTAAGATTTTTACAATATTTGTGCCATTGCGCACAAATTGTGTCTAAAGTTTGTTTTCTTTTAATTCATGATTCTTGCTTCTTCTGCTGCTCAGTAGTTATTAATTGCATGTCACAAAATTCAATTTACATATAATTCTTTCTGTAATTCTGTCTCAATTGTCTCTAGATTGAATTTCTGCTTTTTCAATTTTACATTTATTTGAATAGTGTGCTGAGTGTATAGATTAGCAGAAAGCACTCGATGGAAGTGAACTATTTTGCTTTCATTCATTTATAATTGGTTATTTTATGTGGTGTAAAACAGTGCAACCCTTTCAGGTGAGTATCAGGCACCTAGTAAAGGCTCTGGAATTCAGTAGGCAAATATAAAAGGTTGAAATTATTGTTAACAAGCTAGAAATGGCTTCAGAAAAAGAATATAACCTATTAAAAAAACAAAGGGGCCTTACTAGTTAAAACTTTGTTATAAAACTTTTTTTTCTTTTTTGCTTGTGCTAACTTAGGAAGAAATGTTGACAGTATCTGCTGTAAGTCGTAGAGCAATGTGCTGATTTTTGCATTTTTCAAATGTACATGTCGTGTTTAATTAACTTACAATCTGGCAGGTCTTGAAGAGCTAATGACACTTGAAGAAAAGGCTAAACTTTATGCAGCAATTGGATATAGTGAAACAGCCGTGGATCCAACACTTCCAAAATCAGTAAGTTGTAATTGACTATGCTAACAAACAAGATGTATTTTTATACTACAAGACAAAATCTAAAGATGACAGGAAATAATTTTTAAAGTTCAAACTCTGTAAGCCTTGCCTTTGTCTTTTTGAATAATGCTGTGGCACTTCTTAATTGACGTATGACCTGCTGTTTTTGCACAGAAGAGCAGCCTCAGCTGATTATTGTCATATTGGAGTTTCAGTTTCAGTATGAATTCTTTGAAAAAAAAGTTCTAAATGAAATTTTGGTTATTCAAGGTAGAGTAAAATAATTTAGACAGTACTGTTTTTTATTTTAAATTTGAAATATAGATGAGCAATATGGAGAGGGACTAGGGGAGAGGAACTTCTTTGACCCATTCAGAAAATGGTCTGATAAGTCGTTTTTATGTGAGATACCTTGCACAGTGCAATGAACTGCCCTTCCTACTCTATGCCCTTTGTCTTAAAATATGGAGTAAAGGCATTTACATAAATTTACATGTTTGGAATAGTTGTCTACTCTATTGTTCTATCCCTCCTTCTTAACAGATGTTTGGAAATAGCTTTTCCAAGACCTATGATACAAGATATTTGTAGCACTATAATGAAAGATTCAAAACAATTGTAGTTTTCATCTCTTCATAAAATGACTTGAAATTCACTATCATTGTTATTTTTCCTGTCTATCTAGTATGAAGCCATGAAGTTATCTGTGAAGCTATTAAGCATGTCTATATCAATAAGAGAAAATGAGCAAACCCCTGAGCTGGTAAAATTTGCATTAATTGATTTGAGTACAGTGTTTACTCAGCGACCAGGTGCACAAGCAATAAGGTAAGCTTAATCAGCTGTCTGCTCCGCTTGAAATGTGCTGCTGTTGTGGTATTTCTTTTACTTCTTTGCACAGGAATCTTTCCTGTCTTTGCTGCATGTCTGTTTTCCATAATAGAACACCTTTGCCACCTAATTGTTGAGTATGTTCTACAGCATTTCTATTTGAGTCTCCTTTTCCTATCCTAACACCCATTTTTATGAGGTGAGGACAATATGAGGAGAATAAGTTGAATGTTCCTCCTGATTCAGCTAAAGGTGGCTGATAGATGCAAAACTTTATGAAATAGGAAATAGGTCATGTTCCCTGATAGGCAGGACCATAATTATTTTGCTTTTGACTGGTTGCTTATCTTGATTATAATGGAATTTCATGAAATATCATATCATTGTCATGACATATCAAACAAGATATTCAAATATAATTTCTATGTTTTGTGACCCTTCTGTGCAGATTTGAAACAAAAATAAGTTCACTTGAAGTTACAGGCATGTCCCAAGAAAAATGTACACCCTGTCTGCTATCTTCTCGTACAGTCTATTCAGACAATAGTACCTCACTCTTGAGCATAATGTTTGAGACCAATCCTTTGGATGAAAAAGCAGACCAGAGGCTTAGAATAGAATCTCAACCATTGGAAATAATATATGATGCAGTAAGTAAATATTTGAATAAATTCTAACTTTTGTACAAATATTAGGTAATGATAAGCATGTCATTTAAGATTATTCATTTATTTTAACAGAGGACAGTAAATAATTTGGTGGATTTCTTCAGGCCTCCAAAAGATGTACATTTAGAGCAGTTGACATCGGCAACTCTAATGAAGCTTGAAGAGTTTCGTGAGAAAACATCAACAGGCAAGTGCTGTTCTTCTGGCTTCTGATGCATTTTTAATTCTAGGAATATTAAGTTACTTGACATCCTTCTCTACAGGAGCCAAGTGGTAGTTTACTAAAAGAAAACCTCAATAGTTGAATTCTTTTGATATTATTGGGATTGGACAATTTTCTGTCTGTATCTTCATAGAGTTTTAAAGTTGAAAAAGGTATGCATGCTATTCTGAGATATTCTTTCAGAAATTATGCAGTTGAACATGCTTTACTTTCAGCATTTCTGKTTTTTGTTCTGAATAATGTTAATTGGATCATACTCTTTAGGAGCTGATAACTGAGATACTCCTCCTCTGAACCTCCTAAATCCTTTTCAGATTTGTTGTTTTTCAGGACACTGTGCCTTTTTTAGTTGTTTTCCACATTCTTTATTCCTCAGTGAGTGTTCTGTCTTTATCTGTCTTTATCTATCTGTGCACACCATACCCAGTACAGGAAACAGTGAGAGCTGTATTGAGCTCTCTATAGGTTATGATACTTAAATTTAATCTTCACATCGAAATGCTTCATCTTCAGATGCTAATAATCTTCCTGAAACAAAGTTAGTTATCTATTTCTATTATAACTTCTTATTTTGTAGCTTCTATGCATTATTACATGTAGCGTGTAGATTCTACATGTTACATACATTTATACTTATTGGTTTTATTATTTCAGGTTTGTTATACGTTATTGAAACACAGAAAGTTCTTGACCTCAAAATTGACCTAATGGCTTCATACATCATTGTTCCACAAAAAGGATTCTATGACTGTACATCAAACATACTGCTTCTGGATCTTGGTAGTCTTAAGGTATATATGTACATAACAGAGTAACTTAATAGATTTTTTTTTTTTTTAACTTCCAGTTTGTTGAATTTGTATTTTTTGTAACTGGCAAAGTAAATATTCCTCTTTCAGTTTATTTGCTAGGTTTTTATTTTACATTGCTTTCTGGTCAAGACTAAATTTAATGAACAGCTGTAAACAGATTTGTTCAACTGAAAAAAAAATTAGAAAATGATGCTCCCCTAACGAAAATGACTGTAGAAATTTTGAATTGTTATGTGAAAAGGCCTTTACATTTTTTTTTTATTTTAGGGTATATATCAGTAAAGGTTTTCGTTACACACCTTCCTACATATTTACATATGTACATGGTTAAATGGTCTTATTTTTAGTATTACTCCTGTTACTGTCTTTCTCATTCAATTTTCTTTGAATTAGTTTAAAAAATAACGTGGTAAAAATTGGAGACATTTTGATCTGCATTTTTAAGACATTTGATCTAAAAAAAAAAAAAGTCAGATAGATTAGTAGTGCATTTAGAATCACAGAATCACAGAATGGTTAAGATTGAAAGAATGATATGCTAGCACTAGAAAAACTTGGCAAATACTGTTCCTGAGTGCAGTTGGCAGTCTTAGCCATAGATAGACTTGTGTCCTTCCAGGACAATTCCTTCACTTGCATGTTGGAAAATTAAATCTTGTTATCAGTACTCTGCCTAATCTGTTGCCAAATAATGTCAGTTGCAACTTTCACACAAACAGACAGTAATGCTCTTTTTAACTCTGCTTTTCAGAGAAAAATACTGCTTTCTGGCCTTTTAGGAGGAAAGAGCTTTTGGGAGTAGTGGATGGTAGTTACTTGAAACAAGAAGAAACCTTTACATTAAAATGAAGTTGTAGGAAAGGGGAGCTTTTGATGAATCTGTAATTATTTCTATGTAGAACTTAAAGTTATTGCATCTGGCAGAAAATCTGCTTTCTACATTGTTTTTCTTACCATAAGTTATGGAGATTGATGCTGAGGGTATAAAAATCGAAATGCTTTTACTCATTCATGTTTGGGCTCCCCAGTACAAGACGGATCTGGAGCTTCTAGAGAGGGTCCAGCGGAGGGCAGCAAAGATGATTAAGGGACTGGAGCACCTGTCTTATGAGGAAAGACTGAGTGAGTTGGGCCTGTTTAGCCTGGAGAAGAGAAGGTTGCCAGGGAATCTGGTCAAATCTGCCAAATTTGTACAGAGGGAATCTGTACAAATACCTGAGGGGAGAATATAGGGAGGATGGGTCCAAACTCTCTTTTGATGGTGATCAGTGACAGCACAAGGGGCAATGGGTATAAGTTAAAAGAGATGAAGTTGCATCTGCATGTGAGGAAGGACTTGTTCCTTGGGAGGGTGCCAGAGCCCTGGCACAGGCTGCCCAGGGAGGTTGTGGAGTCTCCTTTTCTGGAGATCTTCCCAACCCGCCAGGATGTCACCCTGTGCCCTGTGCTCTGAGTTTCCCTGCTGGAGCAGGAGAGTTAGACTAGATGACTTCTAGAGGTCCCTTCAAACCTCAATCATTCTGTGATTCTGTGAGTTCTACCTACTAGTCTTTTTCTTACTTATTTTGTTATTAATTTTTAATGTTAAACCAGAAACATGCCACCTTCTTTCACTCTACCGATAGATTACTATCAAAATACTAATAGAATAAGGCTTCAAAATCAAACTCCAGTAAATTTATATTTCAGCATTTTTTCCAAAATGGGAGAATCATTTATGTAGTGGATATGACAGCTGTGGGTTTGGTTTCTATCCTTTAACAGAAATTAGAAAGTAAGATGAAGGAAGCCAGGTAGTAGCAGAGGAGGAAAGTTAGTTAGRTGCTTAGAACAATTCAGTATTCAGTTTGAGTGATAAATGCTTAAATAAGATGTAGAACATTCATTGAATGAGTATATTTAATAGAAAACAAACAGTTCCCTTGCCACAGTTATAAAGGATATGAGGTCAAGTCTTGTGGGGGGAAAATAGCAGCTGTAATTAAAACTGCATTTCAAGCCATATACATAAATGGACTTAATTAAGGTTGCACGAGCAGTACTAATTTGATAATTCTGAACTTTTTTAATCTCAGACTTTTCAGACTAAGTTGTATTTTTAATGTTGAGCCTCAGTGAAGAAAAGAATCCTTTGTCATGGACATCAATACTTAATCCTATTTCACTACTATGAACCTTTTCATTGAATATTATCCAAATATGTATGATAATTTAATATTATGACAAAAGTAAATAYAGGTGGTAAGATTACTAGAAGTTGAAAGATGAGGACAGCCAGATTTGAACAGAGATGAATAGCAGAGACAGCACCTATAAATGTGTGATATCAAAGAACTGGTATTGGTAAAATACTGAAGGACTGACTGATTAATTAAAGGCCTGACTGGAAACCCTACTGAAAAGTCCAAAGCTCCTTTGCACTTTTCCTTCTGAGTTTGATTTATATGTGACAGGATAATGCCATAACTAAATTTAGCAGGATTCAAAATTAGATTTCATGTTTCTGGAATGACTAACAGTGTTATTTTTATATTTAGTAATACATAGTGGTGCAAATGCTTATGATACTTGCAATGCTTATAAAGCGTTTGAGGAAATTAGAATAAGTTTACTTTGTATAAATTATATAAAATTCCATAGTTTTTCATTCATTATTGTTTTTATTTCTTTCTGATGAAGCTTAATATTCCCCATTCCTTCTTTGGATGGAGGCTGCTTGTGTTTTTGCTCTGATATTTCTTAAGAATCTGTGCCCTATTACTGAGAAAGTATATTAAGTTTTAGTCTTTAGTACAGTTGAATATTTGTAGAATTAGTGCTTAAATATTTTAGGATTAACTTCCTCTTTCTATTTTTTTTAAGATGAAAAGTAAAAGTCGTTCTGACTTATCTAAACTTAAAATAGGACAAAGCAGTATTGAAGATATAATGTCAAGAGCTTATGACAGTTTTGACATCCAGCTTAGCAGCATACAGTTGCTGTACAGCAAACACGGTAAGTATCAATGAAGAAAATCTTTCCTTGTATGTGATTAAAAATCATAAGGTATGTATTTTATACTCAGTTCTGTAAATATCATGAAAGTTTTTTCAGGCATAGCTTCAACATTGTTGCTATAGATGCTAGCATTAGATTTTGCTAATGTAAAGAAATTCACACTGTATAACTACATATTATATAAAGACCCCAGGATGACCTGTTTGATCATACACACAAGTTTTCTGTTTCTGTTCTAGATGAAAACTGGCAAGAGGCACGTAAGCTGAAACACTCATCGCAGCATATCTTGCAGCCATTGGATGTAAAAGTGGAATTTAGCAGGGCTATGGTTGTCACAGATACAAGAATGCCCAAGTACATATTTTTTTCTGTTTTGAAATTTTACAGTAAATAGCTTTCTAGAAAAGAAATAAAATATAATTAGATACTTGATTTTCCGTAGCAGTGGTTGCTTAAACACTATTTGCTTAAATGTTGTTTGAGTGTTGAAGTAATGTGAACTAGCACATTAATGTTTTATGATACTATTTGATTATTACTTCATTAATATGACTCACGTTATTATACTACAACAAAGCAGCATTTGTTTATTTCACTCTTCGACTGATACAAATTAACAAATTTTATCTGTGTATTTTAGGAAATTAATAGCATATAAGTAATTATTTTTAGAAAGTTATTTTATAATATTTGTAACAATCAGCAAAATATTCTGTTTATAAAATAAAGGAATTGTAAAGTATCCAAAAATTACTTGGAAATAGAATTTAAATAGTATATAACGCCAGTGTTGCATAATGTGACTGCAGATTAGTGATTGTGTGGTGAAATGGTGCCACCTTCTGGACAGTAAGCTAAATTCTGCTTTTTGGTGCAGAATAAGCAGCTTTGTTCTTTTTCTACTGAGAATTTTTTTCTTCTCTGTTTTATAGAAAGGATAAGGTAAAAGAAATAAAAGACAGATTCCTGAGAATATTCTTTAGAAAGTCCAGGAATGGAAAGTGAACATTTATTTCTGTGGTCACATAAGTGAATGTTGCTTTAATGTAATCATCATTTCTCCAAATTAAGCCAGCATATTAGCTAGATTAAGCAGGAAGTGTCTGTTCTTAATGAGAATGCCTACTGCAGTAGGACTGCACCACTGCTACCGGGAGTGCTTCTCCTTTTGGTGGCATTTATCTCTCTCTACAGTATTTCTCATCTGTTTGTAGGAATTTCTTTCTCTAGTGGATATTACTTTTGTATTCCATGTTCTTAGTAAAGCCAGTTGACAAATAAATGATATTTATGTCTGTCCAGATTCATGGGAAAAAAAAAAAGTAGTAGCCTTTCTTGGAGAGTGACCCCATGACTGCTGCCTCTTTCTGGGTACCTGGACTGTGTAGTTGTTACAGAATGACATAGAGAGTGGCTTGGTACTGCATAAGCATGTTCTGTAGTGAATTACAGATCATAATTAATGTTTAAACTTCACTGAGAAACCAGCAAGTATCCATTTCAAATCTAGTATGTTGATTCTGTGATTCAGCAACAATTGAACTTGTTTGTTTTGTACCTGCTTCAGTATCCCAATGGTTTGAGAAGTAATTTGCAGGCCATTTCTAGAAATTTAGTCTTGAAATGACAGGGAGAGCAACTGTCTGTCTGAAGGTGAAGACAGACAGTCTGAACAAAAATGTAATGTGCTTTTCAGATGAAAAGTGAAAAAAAGTGTAATTGAAGTGAAAAAAAGTGAAATTTGAGTTAATTTGCTCTGAAATAACCTGGATTATTTACCTAACAGGTTCAAAATGTCTGGACAGCTGCCTTTACTCTCTGTCCAAATATCAGACCAGAAGTTGACAAGTATTTTGGAACTTATTGATAGTATTCCGAAGCCAAAAAGTACTCCGGCTACAGGTTCTCCACCCAAAATGCCTGAGGTCAGATCTTTGGTATTTTTTTTTAACTTATTTCAGTAATAACTATCATAAGAATACTTTAGCTGTAAGCACTGTAGTTTTCAAAGGAGTAGAAAGAAATACAGAACATGTCATCTTAGTATTTAGCATTCTTAAACTTTAGTCATTTTAATTATGTATTTTTTAATTTTAGCCAGTTTTTGAGAATTAGAGATAGATGCCTATGAATTAGTCTTTGTAGCTGAAATTCTTGTTGTCTTGTTGGTTCAGAAATGATGTAATAGCAGAAAGTAAGAAAAATCATTTCTAGAGAACTTGACATATAAATTTTGTMCTGATGATTCCTCTGTATTTGTAATAAATGGAGGAATTTTTCTGGGCTCTTAGAACAAATTGCACTTCAGAATATATTCTTCTAGATTTTTGCAACCTGCAGTTTCCTGTACTTTGATGCATGAGGGCAGTCCATTTTGCTATGGAAGACTCAACTGATATTTTTACCAGCTGATTTTGTGAAGTCAAGCTTTTTATTTATTCCTCCTTGTTTTATTGTAATGTGAAGAGGCCCTTCCACAGATCAATGACTCGTCAAGACTTAGTGTATCCTTCTACAGACATGGATATTCATCTGTCCGTCCTGGTGTACCCATCTATAGACATGGTTATAAATTTACAAATTACTATGCAACTAAGTAGGCTGGAGACTACTGATAATTAAAATATGAAAAGTGGTGCTTTAGTAGCCTAGTAGGAAGTCAGGTTTAAAGGTGAATGTTACTCTGTTATTTTTAATTTTAAATTTTATTATTTTTTATTTTTTTATTAAATTTTATTAATTTTAATTTTAAAATTTCTATAGGATTTGGGGCTTTTAAATACTTGCCTTTGGAAACAGCAGTAACTGGGGAACAAACCCACAGATATTTGCATTTGTGCAAAGATATTCAAGAAAAACAAGCATGCAGATGATACACACATCTGTCTTGCCTTAGTGTTTAGTAGAAGGTACATTTATGCCAAATAATGCCTACAGAAATGCAGAGGATACTTCTTTTTACAAACTAAAAACACTACTACCTTTCTGAGGTTTGATGAGAAATCTGCCTTTAGTCAATGAACCTTTTGGCTGGTGGCACTAGAGCGATTTCATTCTGTAAAATATAATAAGAAGTGAAGATTCTTGTTTCCCTTCACCATTTAGTGATAAGCATACATTTTCAATTGCATCTCCAGTCTGTAGACAAATACATCACTTCGCAATCAAAGACTCTACTAGAATAGTATTCTACTAGAATTTCTCTAGATGCATTTAGAAGTTTGGAGAGAAATCTGTCTGCTGCAAACGTTTCCTAAGCAATTTTCCCTTACATCCCATCTGATGATCGCTTTTCTCTGAATTTGCCCCTTGCTAATCCAACAAAGGTCCAAACCTGAGCCCTCCCCAGGTTTTGTCTTTCCTGTATTTTCATATGATGTACTGCATCTATTAGTGCCTTTTAAGACTCAGATAACAAACTCAAGAGATTTTCTTCCTGGTGTATTCTCTCTAGTCTTATATGAATATGTAATATTTGATAATTCTAACAAATTTAAGACTGTGTTCTGCTCCTCCTTTTATTTTTAATAATCGTAATTGCTTAAATGTAATAATTTGCTCTTGTACCAGATCAAAATCTTTGAGTTGTGAAATTCCTAAGAAATACCAAATGTGAAGGCAGTAGCTGTGACCAGTGAATCTAACAAGTGTTCGTGACATTCTCTTTTTCAGGCTGCCATATCTCCAGTGCTGTCAGCACCGCATTTATCCCAGGGTGTGTTTTCTGTTTTGGACCTTCATTCGCTTACTGAGTCAGGTAAAGTGACTTATTTTAAACTCTGATTCAATAAATAGGCTAAAATACTAAAATATCCTGATCGCCTTCTATGAAGCAGTGACTAGTTGTATAGATGAGGGCAGAGCTGTGGATGTCATCTATCTGGACTTCAGCAAGGCTTTTGACACCGTCCCTCACAGCATCCTCCTGGGYAAGCTCYRAAGGTGTGGGMTWGATGAGTGGACRGGGAGGTGGATTAGGAATTGGCTCRRTGKCAGGGTGCAGAGASTGGYWGTCARTGGYGYGKAGTCCAGCTGGAGGCCTGTACTTAGTGGTGTCCCCCAGGGGTCAGTCCTTGGTCCGGTCCTGTTCAACTTATTCATTAACGACGTGGATGAAGGGCTGGAGTGCTCCCTCAGCAAGTTTGCYGAYGATACCAAACTGGGAGGAGTAGCTGATAGCCCTGAGGGCTGTGCTGCCATCCAGAGGGACCTGSACAGACTGGAGGACTGGGCGGCGAGAAATCTCATGAAGTTCAACAGGGGCAAGTGCAGGGTCCTGCACTTGGGGAGGAATAACCCTGGACACCAGTACAGATTAGGGGTTGACCTACTGGAGAGCAGCCCCACAGAGAGGGATCTCGGTGTCGTGGTGGAYGACAAGATGACCATGAGGCAGCAGTGTGCCCTGGTGGCCAAGAAGGCCAACGGGATCCTGGGGTGTATTAAGAAGAGCGTCTCCAGCAGGTCGAGAGAGGTGATCGTCCCCCTCTACACAGCCCTGCTAAGACCCCATCTGGAGACTGTGTCCAGTTCTGGACTCTGCAGTACAGGAGGGATGTGGAGCTGCTGGAGAGAGTCCAGCACAGGGCTACCAGGATGATCAGGGGCCTGGAACATCTGCCCTATGAGCAAAGGCTGAGAGAGCTGGGTCTGTTCAGCTTGGAGAAGAGGAGGCTGAGGGGGGACCTGATSAGYGTGTATAAATACCTCAAGGGAGGCAGTGAGGAGGAGGGGGCGGCCTCTTTTCAGTGGTGGCCAGCAATAGGACTAGAGGAAACCGGCACAAGCTGAGGCAGCAAAGGAAACATTTCTTGACAGTGAGGGTGCCGGAGCCCTGGCAGAGGCTGCCCAGAGAGGTTGTGGAGTCTCCTTCTTTGGAGATCTTTAAAACCTGCTTGGACGCAGCCCTGTGCCGTATGCTCTAGGTGACCCTGCGTGAGCAAGGGAGTTGGACTAGATGATCTCTGAGGTCCCTTCCAAACTTAAGCATTCTGTGATTCTATGATCTAATAAATAGTTTGAATTCCCTGTATTCATTTGATTTTCTTGAAGTAAGTGACCATATTTAGGCTATATCTTAAACTCTTCAGGTTGAATATCTATATATCCATTATATATACAATGTACAGTTATATATAAATACATTTCTTAGATTTGCTATTTACAGAACACTTCGTATTTTCTTAGTGCAGCAAACTTTTAAATGGTTATTCTTCCTCTTCATAAAGGCAAAGTAGGAAAATATTTGTGTGGTAAAACAGCTTGGTTTATTTGCTTATGTACTTAACTATGGATATATATGGATATATATGGATATACTGTAGAAACGGACTTTTGTAGGTTGCTAATTATGAGCTAGGTATTTCTACTTTTAATTTTTTTGGACAGAGACATAAAAATTCTAGGCCATGTTTCTGCTTGTTTATGTATATGTAATTATGTATATGTAATTTTGTTTTGAATTACTATTTAGAATCAGAAGAAGAATTTTATGATGCGCTAAGCAGTCCTGTGGAAGACCTGCCATTTTTTGAAGCCTCGTGTGGTTCCCTCAAGCGAGGCAATAGCACAAGACGACAAAAATTACGTAAACAAGAATCTATGAAGAATATGACAGATTTCCAGCTGACATTTGAAGTAGCTGAGGTAAATTTTTTATTATTACTATTTTTTCTCCAAGGTTCATTTTAACTGTAACTCTTTCCTGTTTGTTGTGTTCTTGAATCCATCCATGCAGAATTACTCATTCCCTGTTCCTTGCTGATCCTTGCTCTGGATTGGTCAGAGCTTTCTTTAAGCTAGGATTGTGCTTCTGCATTGTGAGCACTGAAATGCCTGTCCTTATTTCTTTTATTTCCCTATACAGTTGATGAATGAATTACTTTACCTTGCTTTTGCTCATTCATTCTGTTATTCTGTATGCATTTGTTTTGGTTTAACGTGTAGCTTCTTATACCATTTTTCAGGATASTACTGTGGTATATCGACCAGCATAATTTTGCCATTAATGTTTCATCTCATAGAATTCTCTCTCAGCTTCTGTTGGTGTCGTACCTAAATTTGTGTTTACCATAACCAATTTTATGTTTTAGTCTTGAAAAACAGAGTATTTTCCTCAGAGTCTAATCTCTGTTTCCATCTGTATCAATTGCTCACCTTCGTTCTGTAGTTAAAGCATCATGGCTACAATAAAGCTCCTGCTGCTTTTCACTATAAATAATGAGTTAACTTTTTATAAATTTTATTTTATTGTAGAGACTTGTAGAAAGGTTTCAAAGCATGTAACTATCTCTACAGCATATACCACACTGATATATAAATCCTAAAAATTTTTTTGTGTCAAGTTTCTCTTTGGGTTTCTTTAAAACATAGAGATGCTTCTTAAAGAAATGTTAAAGTGCTATATTTTACATTCTTTACTGAAAACTTGTGCCTTTTGAAGTCTCTTAAGCTAAAAAAGATTTTAGTAAGAATCATATACCTTTCTTTTTTCTTCATAGTTTAAAATAACTTGGGAGGTTTAGGTTTGTTTTTTCCTATTTGTAAAATAATAGTGCACTACATAAAGTAGATCACATTTTCTTTATTTTCCCTTGGTTATGAAAGAGATGATAATGGTGGGATCTAAGGCAGTTTAGCAAGGTATTTATTGAACATATTTGTCATCTATGAATGTGAATTCAGGAACTTCTGTCTGTTGATATTCAGCTTAATAATCTGTTATTAGCAGATTCTGAAGAAACTCCAGTAAATCTAGTAAGTTTTTTATGCTTGCTGAAAAATCCAGTTTTGACTGAGTTAAATTTTGTCAAATGATTTTTACAAAATTGATCTATTAAAAAATATGTTTAATGTAAATTCAACTCTGATATTGCATATGTACCTTTATGGTTTTTATTCTAACACAGTATCAAGCAGTACTGTGATTTTATTTCCTGAGTTGAATTTTTCTTCCAGGGCATTTACTCTATAGTGTTTCATGGTCAGTCCTATTATTAACTGGTGAAGTTTCTGTAAATATTCGAGTTTTTATAAAAGTTAATATGATAGTCCTATGCCATATAAGCAGATATATTATCACACACTTTTTTGTTTGTTTTTTAGGTTTTGATTAAATTATGTCGACTTACTAATAATATTGAGACACCTGTGCTGCAGCTTGAAGTTGTAGGCTTAGGCACTGAGCTCAAATTAAGAACATTTGACATGACCGCAAATGCTTTCCTTCGTGAAGTTTGCTTACTGTGCCCAGAATATATGGGTAAGCATTTTATACTCTGATCAAAAAGTACTTCATAATAGCTTAGCACTGTGACTTTGTCTTCAGAAAGCCTGTTGGGCTTTCTTTTGTCAACTGCGGAAGAACTCTCTCTGAAATTTGAATGAGAGAAGAAATAGAAAAGTTATTTTGGAGTTTGTTCTTTTATTAAAGATTTAGGCACTTTGTTCCAGTACTGCTGATTTTAGTAGAGACATCCAACTATTTTAGGGCTACACAAGAGGGTTTTCTGATTAAATAATAATAGAAATCTATTATTCAAATTTAAAGTATAATTAAAAATAAATGTTAAGAAAATATTTTTTTTGTTTAGATGATAATGGCAGACCAGTTTATATCATTACTACTTTGGATAATGTTGAGGATGATCTTCTCACTCTGGAATACATAAAGGTAAGGAAATAGCAAATTTTACTTTTGAATTGTAAGCCAGTAATTACAATTATACAGCCTTATCTAGAAATGTGACTGACTCCATAATAGGCTAACTTTTATATCAAAAGCTGTAGTAAGCAAGTTTTCTCTATGAAGTTTGCAAACTTCAGTTATGTTTGCTTTTTTGTATGTATGTTTGATGGAATAGGCTGATATTAACGGACCAGAACTCAGAACTACCTATCAGAATGTTCTACAGAAAATAAAGGTATGACTTTTTGAATATATATTTCCCTTTTTGGGGGGAACAGAAATACATTTTATAAAAATAATATGTTCTTTCAGGTGAATTTTTCTTCTCTCGATATTCATTTGCATACTGAAACCCTCCTAAATGCCATGAACTATCTGAACAGTCTCCTACCGAAACAAGAAACTAAAGTTGCAGAAGAACCAGTCCAGGAAAAGTTAGAGGAAAAGAAGGATGTTCTTAAGAAATTAAGTAAGTTTGTTGACTTTTTTTTCCCTTCTCTTTGTTTTTAATACTGTCTTCATTCACTAGAGCAAAGAAGAAAGCAGACAATATTTTACAGTTTCAGAAATCTGTCCATGAATTCTGAAATGAGAAACTTTGGCTAAGGTACATTTGTAGAGTCTTTTGTAATCACAGCATGGCTAAGCAAGTGTTAGCATTAGCTATGAGAATTTTATGGAATAGCAGAATATGCTGCCGATATTCCCTAGCTTTAAGTGTCTATTGGAGACTATACATTATAGGAACTTACGACTCAATGRCTGAAGGTAGGTGTTACAACTTTTGACAGTTTCTGAAGTAGACTCACAGAGTGTTTTTTTTTTTTTTCAAGACATCTTTAAATTCTCTTAATTATGTTAATTTCTCTTGAATGCATTCTTGTAACTTACAGTGTACTCCCATATAACAATAATAGTAATAAAAATTTTTTGCATCATTGTAGTTACTATTATAAAAATAAATAAATAAAAACCTGGGATAGAAGTCTAAGTATGTGCCAAATAGTTACCTCTTTTCAAAAATATCATAATTACCATTTTCTTCCAATCACTAGTGGAATGACCTTGTACTGTGTTTTTCTTCTTATCATCAAAGTACTTTTGTTGACTGAGGTTTGCAGCTGATGCATGTATCAATTTATTAACGTATGTGCATTAGCTGTAGACATTAATGTGAAATAGACACTACTGTATCTCATTGCATAGGCTTCAGTACCGTTTTGCACTGATTTCCTGAATGGGTTAATGCTAATTGATGCCAGTTTTTGTAGGTATAATTTGTTATAACGGCCRCTTTGAGTTGTCATATGGGATTGAGAGTTTACAGTACGCTTGCCAGTGTATCAGGAGATCTTTGAATTGTGGAAGCTATGAGAGCATTTTCAATCATTTGTCGTAATATGTTGATAATAACATTCATTAATATCATTAATAGAGGGGTTAAAGTGAGATAGGTAGTATGTACATTCCTGCAGTTTGAGAGAGACCTGTGAGTCTCCATATGTTTGTCAGCTCAGAAGAGCTCTGTAGATAAGTCTTTTATGTGTGTAAATTCATTGCTCGTAGCCTTCCTCAGCCTTTTAGATAAAAGCATTAGCATTGGTGCATCCTGAAAAGGTATGCAGGCAAGTCAGTTATCTGATAATTTCAGTCCCAAAGAATTATGCTGCTCTAACAAGGTCAGTGCAACTCATGGCTTTCCATGCTCCAATTGGCCCGTATAACGGTCACCTTTGCTGAGCCCAAGGCAAAAGAGAAATTGTCTGTCTCTCCAGCAGTAATTGTGGCTGGCTTTTTTTCCTCACTTTTTGAGGCAGTGAGCTTATGTAAAATATTGTCTTTTTTTTTCTGAGAAGAACTGATTTTTTTTTTTGTCTATGATTTTGGTTATTTCCATCTAAGGAACATCCATCTCTTGTAAGCAAACTACTTGTTGTGAGTTTATTCTAAGAGAGGTCAGAGAATTTGTGGGGTCTGATTTGTATATATTGCCATATAAAAACAAATGTCTCCATTGTTTGAGCTCGTTTCTAGGAACTAACTTGTTCATATAAATGCTTACGTTACACAGTGGTGAGATCTTTTTAAAGCTGTCTGCATTCATTGACATATCAAGCATTTTGAGATTAGCTTCAGTGCTGGTTCAGTATCTTTAAACTGTGGGTATTACATTTGCCATGGTGATTTTCAAGAGTGTGATTTGTGCAGACTTCATAAATGTTTGTAAAATAGATGTGTTTGTAATGGCTGTGCATGCTTACATTCAGTGACTGATTCTGAGCTGTGTAGGTTGAAAGCTTTTGTCATGCAAAACTGATGGACTAGTAATTTAGTTGTTTTAGTTTTTTACAAGAAATGCCTATGATGCATAGGTAGTATTTTCACTGAGCAAAACAAAAGGCTGTTGGGGGTACAGCTCTTTTGGGAATCTGAGATCGATTGGTTCCTGTATATATTTTCATCTAAAACATTTGCTAACTGTTTAACTGTTGTGAAAGATACTTGTTATATTTAGAGTAAATTAGATTGCTAGCTAATGGAAAGAAGAAAAGATTTGTAAACTTTGTTTCTGGGGAGGATGGGTCTCCCCAGAAGGCCTTAGGAATGCTGTGGGCTCCATTGGAGTGGGAGAAAAGGATTACATAACACTTGACCACTGTCTTTTCGCTGACCGTATTTATTGTTCCATGGAAATTTTATGAAGTTTCAATCTTCAGCTAGTCCCTCAAAGGTGTTTTGTATGTCTCCGTTGAATAATAGGGCTTAGAGAAAAGGGATGAAATAAATATTTTGTGAAAAAATATTCTTCCACTTATGTGTGATAAGGTGTATTAATTTTTAAGTTTTTTAACTTTCTGTATGCAAGATTGTTCTAGCTCATGGTGGTTGTTGGATTTCTCTGATAGAGACATGTCTGGACAGCAGCTGAAATACCACTTGTGTACCAGCAGGAACATATGTGTGATTGAACTTAATGAGTTGTGTTCTGTGGTTTATTGAATTGTGAACAGAATATTCAGCACTCGCTACCCTACTGCAGGCAAACACTGGAGTGTGTGCTGGTAGCTGATGAAGTCCTTGGATGGAAAGGATGAAATGAGTTTCTTTACTAACAATTTCTGTGCTGTTTATTGCTTAGATAATAGGCATTATATTTCTGAAAAGCATTGTAATGAATGGCAACAAAGGTTTTGAAGATTTCAGCATAGTTTTTGGCTGATTTAGCTTGGATGAGGAGTTTGTCTCATACTAACATATTAGAAAAAAAATCAGGCCACTGCAATTGATATATTTATGGAAACATAGTTTGATTCTGAGAAAACCTTGCTCACATGTAATATTTAGGTTTTCAGACAAGATATTTTAAATATGCTGTGAAAAATTGTTTTGAACTTTTATTAATTTTAGTTTGGCTACTTTCAGCTTCACTTACAAGATTTGTGTAAAAATTTGCCATTTATAAAGTCCCTGAATACAGGATATGATATTTTCCTTTGTCTTTTAAATTAATATGTAGTGTTAACTTCAAATTTCAGAAAAAGTGGATCATGTTGTTGATTGGATCTTGTGTCATTTGGCCTCTATGTTTAGCATTGTAGTTGCAGCTAGTTTTGTGCGAGTTCAGTCGTCTCCATTAAAAATGAAAAGAAGATATTTTGGTTAACAATGAAATACAGTATTATTCTCCCATTCAATTTTGGAAACAAAATGAAAATGGAATGCAGATAAGGAGAATTTTCCTAAAAACAAGCATAAGAGTTATGCTTATATTTTCTATAGGTCTAGAGGTTGTCTAAACACACCATTTTTCTTCAGCATCTAGTTCTATTAATGGTTTTCCTTTGTTTAAAAGTTGGTTTTAGAAAACATAGGTATTTTAAATTAAAAAGTCACTTGCATTTTATAAATAGGACTATTTGGAGCAAATGATGACCAGTAGCTCAGGTAGGCTGTTATTACTGTACCATAACAATTCTGTTATGCCAGGTAAACTGTCTAGTACTGAATATGCTATGACAGTAATGCATTCCACCAAGCAGACGTATATGAAATATGCCTATTGTAGTTAATAAAATATTAGTGTTGAATACGCCTCAAGCGAAGTACTTGAGGGCTTCAGTGTGTGTATAATTATTTTCTTTTGAAAAAACATTCAACAGTATGAATGTTGTACATTAAGCCAGTGCTCTAGACTTTTCACCAACTAGGCTTGAGAGTAAGGTTATTAAAATAATGTTGTCCTTTTCTTCTGCTTGGAGAACTCCACTTTTTATACTTTTCTAGTCCATATCCTTTTCTATAGCTTGTACTTAACTATCACTTTGCTTTAAAGTAAAATAATTTTAAAAGTCTCAAAGACATACTTAAACATTTTTAATTCATAGCAGTGGCCCCAAATTAAAATTATTTCAGTGTTGTTATAAGAAACAATACCTGTATCTGTATTTCCCACAGCATCCAAAAAATCGAAGTATGAAGATATTGTTGACCTCAATATCTGTGCAGACTTATCCTGTTTACGTGTTTTTATTAGAGAGAAAAAACAAAGAATATCTGAAATTCATATCGAAGGTGAGAACAAAATTTTCATCACAAAATGACAGAACTTCAAAACCAGATTAGTATCTAAATTTTATATGTAATATTTTTTAAGGTCTGGATAGCCAAGTAATCATGAAAAAAGCAGCAATGGAAGTGAATGCAAAGTTAAAGAATATCATTGTTGTGGATTCTGATGAGATGGCATTATATAAGAAGGTATTGTACATCTTCTTATTTTTGATGTAGAGATGTTAAATTGAACTCCAAAAAATCACTCAGCTGTGATTTCTACACTGCTTTATATGTTTGTCAGAAACAAACATTCTTTTCTACAGGCATAACAACATTCTGTTTTCCCCCCCCTAAGAAAGTCAATGATAGTTTGATAAAAATTGATTTTGTTCAACTGTGATGGCTACATGCATGTTCAAGCTGCAATTCTGCAATTTTTTTCAACTTAGTCAAAGATACTGKTTTTTTTTGTTTGTTTGTTTTCTTGGAGGAGGGTTGTTTGTTTCGTTCTTGTAGTTTGTTTTAAAATTGAGGTAGTTAAATTGAAAATAATAAATACTACACTGTGTTTTGGTGTTCTTTCTCTTTAGCAGCATACCTTTTTACCTTAGAGATAATTCTTTTTTTTCTAAGGCTCTTTACATCACAGGAAAAGAAGTCTTCAACTTTAGAATGATATCTTATGTGAATGCTACAGATGGTATTGCATATACAAATATGGATGTTGTTGACAGTCGTATTTACCTAACTGTTGGTTGCATTCAAGTAGTTTTTGTCAACAAGTTTGTTTCCTCTGTTTTGGTAAGTTAAAATTTTCATCTGTTGTCTCTCTTAGAATACAGTTACTGTAAGATGGAAATGGCAAAAATGCATGTGGGATGACGTTTATTTTGTAAGAACTTTTATATCATAGAATCATGGAGATTGGAAGGTACCTTTAGAGATCATCCAGTCCAACCCCCCTGCTCACGCAGGGTCACCCAGAGCACGGGGCACAGGGCTGCGTCCGAGCAGGTTTTAAAGATCTCCAAAGAAGGAGACTCCACAACCTCTCTGGGCAGCCTATGCCAGGGCTCTGGCACCCTCACTGTCAAGAAGTGTTTCCTTAAGTTCCTGTGGAGCTTTTGGTGCCTCAGCTTGTGGCCGTTTCCTCTAGTCCTRTCGCTGGCCACCACTGAAAAGAGGCCGCCCCCTCCTCCTCACTGCCTCCCTTGAGGTATTTATACACRCTGAYCAGGTCTCCTCTCAGCCTCCTCTTCTCCAGGCTGAACAGGCCCAGCTCTCTCAGCCTTTGCTCACAGGGCAGATGTTCCAGGCCCCTGATCATCCTGGTAGCCCTGCGCTGGACTCTCTCCAGCAGCTCCACATCCCTCTTGTACTGGGGAGCCCAGAACTGGACACAGTCTCCAGACAACCTCGACCCACTGGAGACGCTCTTCTTAATGCACCCCAGATATATTTTTGTAAAAGCTTAGTTGGCATTGGCATTTGGGCTAATTATTTTTCTTCCCGTGCTTGTTGTTGTGGAATGAAAGGCTAAACAAAATAGAGTTTTTTGTTGCTTTGTTTGAAGAATTTGTGACAACTTCTACATGTGTATTCAGTTCCATGTTTATAATGCTGGAATATAATTATTAAACYGTGAAAGCTAATGCCCCTTTCCTAAATTATACCAAGAAAATTTGTCTTTTACTCTCCAATTGAATAAGTAAAACATAATTCATGCAAATCATTTTACATGCTCATTGATGTTAGTGTCTTATTTGCTAAATATTCAGTATGGGAATTCATTTTTATATAGGCATATTATATTATTTCTTGGGATGATATAGTATTAAAGCATATAAATAAAAGTAGTAGTACATAATACTATCCTAATATATTTTAAATATTATGATTCATGTTTTTTAAAAATAATATGCTTTTTATTATAATTAACAAGAGCTATGTTTTTCCTAGGCTTTTGTAAATAACTTTCAAGCTGCCAAAGAAGCAGTTACTGAGGCAACTGTTCAAGCAGCAGAGAAAGCAGCCACAGGTGTAAAAGAACTGGCAGAGCGTAGTTCCCGCTTGGCACTAGATATCAATATTAAAGCACCAGTTGTGATCATTCCGCAGTCAGCAATGTCTGCTAATGTGCTGGTGGCTGATCTTGGTCTAATCACTGTGAAGAACCGATTCGTTATTGCTAAAACCAAAACACGATATACTCTCCCACCTGTTATTGACTCTATGACAGTGAAATTGAGTGAACTGAAGTTATACAGGTAATATACTGCCTAAGGTATTTTTTTAAATTCATGTAATTCTTATGGGATATTTCTGTTGAAAAATTTTGAGAAGTTCTCTCTTGAAATAATTAATCCTTGGTTGTTTGGTTTTTGCATGTTATATATAAAAGCATTATGGTTTAGRGAAAATCTTACATCTCTCTTTTAATTGAAGGGAATGTCTACCTAGGGAGCATAATATAAAGCAACAAACTCCTGCATCATTCACTCCTTTAGGAAAGGATGCATGGGTATTTGGATGGGTTTTACGTGGTGTTCATTACAAGAAAGTAATTAGGTCAGACAGCTATAAAGAAGAATTTGAAACTGGGCTTTCTTGCACAAGATGAAGTGTCAGAAGACTGAGGTTCTGAAAATAGACAAAAGAATACAGAAGAGAGAAAGAACAGCATATCGTAGGTCAGAAGTATCCAGATCTTCTAGTGAATGAGAATGTTGCCCTCCTTAGATGTGCCTAAAGCACTTCATGCCAAGTGGTGATGTAAGCCGCGAGCTAGAGACAGTAGGATTAGGACACTCAAGTACACAGACCATTTTACAGGAATATTCAAAAGCAAGAGGCAAAGACAGCAACATGTTTTTCTCCATAATGTGTGAGTAAAGTATGTCAAGCTTAGAGCATTTTGTTTTTGTTCGAAGATCGTACTACGAAAGTGGTTCATTGCAAACTGAAGTGCAACTGCTCCAGCCACTAAATCTGGAAGTTATTGTTGAACGAAATTTAGCTGCTGCTTGGTATAATGAAATTCCTGATATTGAAATATCTGGACGACTCAAGCCTATGAATGTAAGCAGTCATTTTTGTCCCTAAAATCCCAAGCTTATTTCTTAGCTTATTATTTAGGCTACTAATTTGACTTGAAGACATACAGGTTGAGTGGATTTTGTTGTTTCATAGTGCTAGAAAAAATGAGTAAATCGGGTTTTTTTTCTTATAATCTAGGCTCTGGATTTGACCTGTGATGCTGTAGGCAAACATTTTAGTACATATTATTGTTGCAGGTTAGAAAAGATCATGCTCTTACATACTGTTACAGAATTTTTATTGGTCTGTCACCGTCTTTCAAGGATTAATTGGATTGGTTGTTTTTTAAAGGCTTATTTGTGTGCTCAATTCATACATGTAGAAAGCTTGAGCAAGATCTGGTGTACATTTGTTTAAATTTAACTTTAGGAAATGTGGAGAATGCCAATTGTATGATAAAAGTGACTTGCAAAGTTTAGAAACAGAGCTAGCTCTCTGTAAAGTGCTTAGTGACAAAACCCTACTTTTTTGAGCACCTATAGGTCAAGAAATCAGTATGTCTTCTATGAATCAAGTTCTGAACTACAACTTTGCAACTTTGCCTGAAAGGTTTCAGATGCCAAATAAAATAATCTGTGAACCACCTCTGATTTATAGAAGTTTAAGGAATCCTATTTATACAAGAAAAAAAGAATTACTTGAGTCTTCATTCAGCTAAGCAGACACAGATAAATTTGCAGTGTTTCAAAGTTTAAGTATTTTAGATTGCTTTGAAACATCTTAGGCTGTTTTTTAACTGTTAATTCAGAACAACTCAGGTTTTAGTCACTGAACGTTTTATGAACTGGTATGTTCTGAGTTTAATAGTGTGTTTTATTTTCTTTAAGTTGATCCTCAGTCAGGAAGACATAACCACAATATTAAGGACACTAAATGAAAATATAGGTGGGAGCTCTGGTGCACCACCACCACCTTTACCAGAATCAAAAGACACAAATAGCCATTGTAGTGATGTGCATAGTACCTCACAGCACTCTGCAGGTATGTTTTCTGTAATCAAACACAATCCAACATTTTTAACGATTACTTTAAATGTATTATTTCCATTGGAATTATCTTCACAGTGCCTGATTTAGTTGCTTTTAAAAGCATGCTTTGTTACACTGACACTATTTGCTGAGATATACTCAGCAATAGCGATAAGGAATTGGAGGCACTATGAATGAATGACCTGTAGTAAATATTGTAGCATGGTGCATTTTACTGTGTGGGCCTTCTTGTCCTGCTGGCAATTAGTATCTAGAAGTCTGCTAGTAGGGTTTTATAACACACAACTTCAATCTTCACCATGTTTTTTCTTTTTTTTTTTTTAAATATATGTATGTGGGCATGAGAAGACTATAAAATAATCTGCTTAATTGGAAAATCATGTCCTTTTATTTTCTACTGTGTCTTTTCCTGTGTTTGCTGATTCTGATGTTCTGTATTTTAGAATTGGAAGTTTAGTCAGAATCATGGCACCACAGAAAGTTGTTCCTTTTCAATAAGCATCATTGCTCAAAACTRTTCAATATATGCTTAAAAAGTAAAAAGAAAAAAACCCTCTGTATATAGAAGTAAAAAGTATATATGTGACAAGATGAAACAAAGAATTGCCATGTATGCARTACTATATAATATTAATTAAAATTGTCCATTTTTTCCTCAAATGTCTGAAAAATTGTGCATAGAAAATACAAGCAGATTATTTTCTGTAATATATGATTTTTATCATATTGTTAATGGAAGGATAATAAACCAAAAACATTAAAATATAGGTATATGGAATGGAGAGGAATTTGGGGTCTCTGTGACTGTCATTGGCAAGAATGCTTGTTTATTTGCTTGTGTGCTGCCACTTAATTTTCATTAATATGAATATTTTCCAACTCCTGATAGGTGTGACTGTTGTGACATCAGCTGTAGTGGAACTGCATTCGCCTATTAAAATTAAAACTACACTAAAATTGGATTTCAGATTTGACTCTCTGACTTTGGTATTGTATAGTCCAAATTCAAAACAGGTAAACAAAGTTTYGATTACAAAGCAAAAGAAAAAACTTTGAGGTTGCTTAGAATACTGGAGATGCTGAGAAGAAATATATTAATTCTGAGAATGTGAGCTATGAGTGGAGAAAGTGGTTTGTAGCAATAGTAACAAACATGTTATTAAATGATGAAGAATTACTTTTAGATAGATCTATTCTCACAAGGGAATTGGATGAAAAACCATAAGCGATGATAGCAGTGATAATCTCTGGTTATCTACTGTGACATGACTAAAAATTTACAGTGGACTTATCTTAGGGTAAAATAAAATTTTGGAAAAAAATGCAGTGAGATGCAAAGTTTTCTTGTTATACRTATGCACATGCAAAATTTGTCTATAAATAGATTGTGGAGAGAGATTGAAAATTAATATTACAATTACAATTGATTAATGTTGATCCATTTTTACTGTTCTTGTTGATTTAAACCTGCAAAACTTCTCAGTAAATTCTCCAGTAAATGTTCAGTGGTATTTTATTGCAGTTTTGTGATCTTGTGTTTCAGATATTTAATTTTTCATTAGTTGGAAAAATAATACGTAGTCTTAACAGATTCAATTTAGTTTCTCACAGCATATGATATATTTACAAATACCATATATTTTCAAACTTAAAACAGCAAACTAGAACCACATGCAACAATTCTGCTTTTCTTTTAAACACCATCTCCCTAGTGTAAAATTCCTATAGCAAGCTGATAGAAAGGTAAAGCTTGTTATTTATGGATCTTTCTCTGCATATGGTAAAGTCTTGTTTTGAATTACTGGTGGGTTTATTTACTGTGTTGCTCTGTTGTTTGTGTTTTGTGTTGAAATATTTTCATTTCCATTTTCATTTTAATTTAAACAGGCTGCAGTTACAGATCAGAGGGATGATCTTTTGAAACTTGCAGAATTTAAGTTAGTTTTGATGTCAGCCGCAGTCAAAATGTTATCAGATGGTTCAATGAATGCTTCAGTCAAGTTAGCAAACTGTACATTAGATGATAAAAGACAGTCAATCCAGAAGGCGAAACCGAGGTCTGTATTTGAATATAAATAATAAACCGTTGTTTTTTGGAGTTTGCAGGGGTTGCATGATATGTTATTGAAACTGTATTTTTGTTTGTTTGTTTAAGTATATGTTGCTTCCTATATGCATGAAGAAGCTTTTTTTAGCTTTTTTTAAAAAATATCTTTCGTTGATTTTGTTGCAGGTGGTCTTCTGTGGCAGACCAATATAAGTGCTATATTTAAACTTTAAAATTGAAATACATAAAAGTATATAAAAGCAAATTTCACTTTCAGTGGTTTGAGTGCAGTTTGACTCTGTAAAGTTATTATCAGCTTTAATTAGAGGAGAAAAGTAAAAGAGCTATGTAACTTTGAATATCTCAGAGCTACTTTGCAGAAGGAAGTGCTTATATTAATGGTACCAAAAACTGGTACTAAAAAGTACTGCTAAAAATTGTCATATGTTCTTTGCTCTTCTATTCTTGTATATCCAGTCCCTTCAGATTACATCATTTGTGATATCTATCCATACTCTTTGCAGTAAGGATTTTCTTTCATGTAATCAAATGATGATTATCTTGCAGCATAATTTGTATACATTTAAAAATATTTTACAAATTACAATTTAAAAACAATTTAATTTGCAAAAAGTGCATTAAATAAGTAAATTTAATTACAATTTTAGATCTGTAGTTTAAAATTATTTATAAATAGATTGCATAATAATTACTTTTATTTATAATTGCAGTCAATATTGAATTATGTAATTAACATTATGTATAGTAAATCTATATCATTTTTATAAATAATAAAATAATCATATTTTATATTATTAAATTATTAGATATTAAAAAGTATGAGATCAGAGTTTTTTTTGTCCAATTGAATGCTTTTGATCACTAATAGAAATTAAATAGAAATATAATTCAGCTATCATGTCCAAGATTTGTGATTAAGGAGATGAGGAAAGGCTTCCTGAGATGTCACATATATATTGCTGTTCTGTTGGTGTTGATGAAAATAGTTTACATTGATGTTTGTATTGTTCATGTTTTATTTTAAGCATTATTCATGTTTAAGCTTTTATTAATATCACAGTGTAGCCAGAGTAAGAATCTTGAGAGTGTCTTTCAGTAGTTGTCCATAGCTGCTTTAGTATCTTTAGTATCTATACTGCCTTAATTGTTTTTCAGGATGGTGGAAATGAAACATGGATTTGAAAAGAAATTTATGGTGGATATAAGCTATAAGCAGGGGAGAGATGGTACTGTTCTTGACACAATTATTCAGGAGATATACCTATGTGCAAGCATGGAATTTCTACTGACTGTTGCAGATATATTTCTAAAGGCTAATGCAGAAAGTGCTGCTGCACAGAGAAGTTTCAAACAATCTTTACCTTTGAAGGAACAAGGTATTTACTGGGAGTCTTTTTCAATCTATATTTAGCTAGGCATTTAATTTCAGTGTTATGATACTCTTAAAAATAGATAATATTCTTTCTGTGTTATTTCTGGTACTTGTTAATTTGCATAATGCAGTCTTTCTTAACCATTGACACTTTCTTCTTTTGACCACAGAAATTGGTTTGTGTATCTCAGTCTTTAGGTGCTTATTTTGATAAAAATACTTTTAATTTGTTCCTAAAAAGAAAAACAAAATGGAAAAAGATACTTTTGACACCGTCTAGGTTTGTTTTGGCTATCTTGGCAATCTTAACAAGATCTGTAATTCTGGTCAATACCTCCATCGTTTTCATACTTGAATGTTCTTGTGTATTATGCTTAACCATGAATTCAGCGTGCCAATTATCACTTCTTGGAAATGTTACCGTTTCATGTGTCTGTTTGCCCTCTTCTCCCTTCCTCAGTGAACAGACTGCTAATGTCAGTGTCCATGTTGGCCTAGACTCAAGGTTCTTTTGCAAATTCTACACTTGGCCATTATAGAGCATCAGAGCAGAAAATGGGGTATTCTTTCTTCCATGTCTCAAGTAGTTTCCGTAAGGCCTGCAGTGCAAATGCCCCCTATGTCACCCATGCCATACCCTAAAAAAAGTGCTATGTCTGCTGATGATTTCCTAGATCAAACTCTCAGCAATTCAGGAAGTCTTATGTAAAAGTACATTGGCAGCACAAATGATACATCAGGCACTAGCATGCTCTACATTATTGTGCAAGGCATGCATATTTTGCTGCTCCAAAAATTACTCTTTCAGAGAAAAAAATAAAGTCTTTTCTTTTTTCAGAGAAAAACAAAAGACATTTCCCAATTGTCTGATGTAGGTGTTCACTAAACATAGCCAGCTACATAGGCAATAAAATCAATAAAGCTGTTCTTTTTAGTTTCACCAAGAAGGTTCTTGGGACCTTTTGGTATGTCTGAAGGTGATCAGAGCTTAAATGTTTTTTCATCTTCAGTGAAGAGTGTAGAAACATGTCTGTCTTGGAGATCTATGGGCTTCCTTATATCAGTACAGAATTTATGGATACACTCTCTTGATTCCTAGAAAAGACTACTGAGCCTAAAATTTTGAGCTCAATGCCTCGTCTTTGCATCACTATGTTTAGTGTACAGAAAATAAAGGAATCTAACATACCATGAGGAGTATAAACTGCTCTTCATACTAGGTGAAATAGAGTTTGATATCCACAGCAAATATGCAAATTAYATTCCTAAGGAAAGATTAATTTCACAGAATTGTTTAGGATGGAAGGGACCTCTGGAGATCATCTAGTCCAGCCCCACCTTGCTCAAGCAGAGCATATTGCATACCCCAGGTGGGTTTTGAAGATGTCCAGAGAAGGAGACTCCACAGCTTCTTTGGGCAACCTGTTCAGGTGCTCTGTCGCTTTCACAGTCAAAAAGTTTTTCCTGTTAGTCAGATGGACCTTCCTGTATTTGTGTTTGTGCATATTGCCTCTTGTCATATTGCTGAGCAGCACTGAAGCGTCTGGCGCCATCTTGTCATTCTCTGTTAATATATTTGTACACTCTCAATCTTTTCTTGCCAGTCTAAAGAGGYCCAGCTCTCTCATTCTTTTCTCAGAAGAGGAATGTTCCAATCTCCTGACTATCTTTGTAGCTCTATGCTRGACTCTCCAGTAGTTCCATGTTCTTCTGTTGCTGGGAAGCCCAGAACTAGACCCAGTACTCCAGATGTGGCCTCACCAGGGCTGGGAGAGGGGAAGGATCAGCTTCCTTGACCTGCTGGCAATACTCCTCCTGATGCAGCCCAAGAGACCACCGACCTCTTTGGCCATGAAGACAAGGCACCTTTCTGGCTCATGGTYAACTACTTAGCCACTTGGACTCCTATGTCCTTCTCTGTAGAGATGTTTCCTAGCAGGTAACCCCCTTCCTGTAGTGGTGCATAGAGTTATTCCTCCCAAGGTGCAGCATCCTCCACTTTCCATAGTTGAACGTCTCGATACTCCTCTTCAGTCTGTCCACATCCCTCTGATGGCAGCAGAGTCCTCTGGTTCTTCAGCGACTGCTCCCTGTTTTGCTCCTCCTCCCACATTTTCTCTAGTCTTCCTTTTGCTACTGATTTGTTTGAAGAAGCTGTCCTTGTTGTCCTTGACATCTTTTGCCAGATTTAATCCCAAATGTCCATCAGCCTTCCTTGTTACATCCCTACATACTCTGATAACATTCCTACATTGCTCCCAAGGGGCCTTACCCTTTTTCCACCTTCTTTTTGTCCTACAGTTTGAGTTTTKCCAAGTGTTCTTCTCTCACCCAAACAGGCATCCTGCCCTCTTTTCCTGACTTCTTAGTGATGTCAATTTTGGGTTTGGAAGAAATAAATGTATTAGAATGCAAGTCTGGTTTTTTTTTTAGTAGAATACCCATTATATTTGCTGCATGACAATTTTGTTACTTCTAACTTAAATTTACTGCTCTGATAAAGGCTTTGACAAGTTAGTCATGAAATATTTGTATAGAAGGGCKGCTGCTTGGAAGTTACCTGCAGTGAAATAATCTGCATGTGGTCTTTTGAAATTGGAATTCATCACCTCTATGTAGCTTGGGATTTTGTAACTTAATGTACCTATGTCTATTCTACATCTTCTTGACATTCCACTCAATCTTCTCATAATTCACCGTTTTGACATTCTAGCTGAACTAGAACTCATCACTAATTCCTTAGAATAAATTCTAAAACTAATAAAAGATAGTAATGACCACCTAATTTTTGAATAATCGATCTAATTTAATTTATATTTTTGAAGCACCCTTGCAGCCTGTGTCTACAATGGAAATGAATATTATTGTTAAAAATCCAGAGATCGTGTTCGTGGCAGATTTAACCAAAAGTTATGCTCCTGCATTGGTGGTCACAGCTCAGTGTGAGGTCTTCATTAAAAATAGCCCTGAAATGTACAGCATGACAGCTGCTGTTAAAGAGATACAAATGAAAGCATGCCCTTTTCTTCCTGAAGAAAGGAAAGGAAATATTATTACGGTGAGTTTCAGAAAGACGGTTTGTATTTACAAGGCAATATAGAACATGTGCTACTAGTATGCAAGTTATTTCAAAGTTTTCTTCATTCAATTTTTTATTAAATATATGAATATTACTTTATTGTTGTTTTTATTCAGTTTGTTTGGTATCCTTTAGCTTTGAGTGTTTTTTTTTTTAACAAGGTTAAAGGAGAAGCAGATGAGCAAAATAAGTAGAAGGTTACGAGAATATAATATTTGAGATGTAATTTAGTAAATTTGAAACAATTTTGGTCCAAAATTTTGTGTTGAATATTTAAGTGAATGGTAAAGGATCACAGGCAAGGGAGAAAATTTTGTATTTGGAATTAAACTACTAATCATGTTCAGTTCATAACTTTGTTTTAAATTCACTTTATCTGTTTATAAATTGACAGCAGGTCAGACACTGAGTGGATGGGTATGCTTTGACTCTTCTAGTTTCTTACACATTTTCCTGCCTTTGCAGGGGCAGTGCCTGAACAAGAATTTTTCCACAGTTAACTTTAAAATGATATTGTTGCTTTAAAGAATTAATTTAACTTGTCTATATATCCAAATGGTGTTTGTGKACACAGACTGCAGGTGACTTTTGAAGAGCTTGTTCTTTTGACTCTTCATTTTGCTTGCACCTCAGCGAGGATGAGAAAAAAAAAGTACGTGAGCAAAGGATTATGACTTCCACTTTCTCTCTGTATTAAATACTTTTGAAGAAGCATTTGGAGTATAGACACATCTCTTGTTTACAGTGATCTGTTAAAACTCTAGTGATTGTGTCTGAAACAGAAAGTGACGCCATTGAACTGTTGGTCATGGCACATTGCTGAGTCTCTTAACTTCCATTTCTTAGCTGGTTAACGTGGCAAGTTCTGCAGGATATAATTGGCCAGCTTAGCTTCTCAGGTGGGGACTGGAAAACAAATACTGCTATCACTGCAGTATTGAAGACTAATTACATGTGACTTTTCTTCATCACATACCTTTATTGTATGGTTTTGTCATCGTATGGTTAGGGTTTCAGTAGGCTTCAAGAAATGGGAGTGTGCAAGGACTGATTTTAAAAATAATGCTAGAATGGAGTGATTATGATTCAGATAATGATGTATTTATTCTGAATGACTGGAAGATACTTCAGACATTGATGTTGCTTTATTTCCATTAACTGAAAAGTCTGCTTCTCTTCAAAAGTCAAATGAAAACATACACAGACTTCATTCCTAAAAAATGGAGTTACTATAATGTTACATATTTTACAGCTGATTTCTGATACATTAATGTTTGAAAAAGGCTGAGATGTTCCTTCTGATGCTCTTTTCAGTTCTGTTTTTGTATGAATAAATTGCTGTTAATATTTGTGTTCAGATTACTCTTTGAAGTACCAGATTTCTACTTTGAAGAATCAGTATTTTCTGTTTTGTATTTGTAATATTTAAAATTATATAATTTTTAAAAGATTCTTCTCATTTAAACGTTTTTTAATGTTTATATTTTTTATTTCTTTTATTCTTTAATATAGGTATTACAGCCTTGTGACTTCTTCTTTGAAATGAAGCGGTTGGGAACTAATCCACAATTTGCTGATCTAATGATTAAATCTCTAACAATAAAAGTAGGTAGATCATGATTTTRTTTTATTTTTTTTACCCTTCATTCTCAGCAAGCTTTCAAGTTTCTTGTGGGATATTTTCTTAATAAAAAAATAAATAAGAGAATAACTGAGAAGGAGGAATTGTTTTCCCATCTTTATCAGGTCACCTAGCTGTTTAGTATTAAAAAAAAAATTGCATTACTGCACTTCTGGGAATCTGAATTTGTATGATATCTTGAAATGTAGAGATGAGCTTGAAAGTGATTACTTATAGGAAGTTGGATGATTAGATGCGAAAGCTCTCATTTAGGTGATCAGAAGGAACTGAGAACCTGAACATGTTAAAATGTGGCTTGGAGAATCAGTCCACAAAAGGAAGGAAAGAGAGGGTCATGTGTGGGATAAAGTGCTTGGAGGATATTTGTCACAATAGATATTTTCATTATTTYGAGTCTGAAAGTAACTGCCTCTTTTCCTTGTACTGCCTAGCATTTCTAATTCTGTACCTTTTTGTTTGTAGGTTTCACCAATAATCATAAATACAGTGATTACCATTACATCAGCCCTTTCTCCAACTACAGAAACAAAAGAGGAAGAAATCAGTCAAATTCCTCCAGACCTGTGGAATAAGAAAGATATAAAAAATCTAAAAATGTGGTTTCTTGAAGAATCAAATGAAAAGGAAGATACAAATCCAACCACTGAACTAGTTCCCACAGGAGAGACATTGAAAATGAATATTGAATCTGTTATTATAACACTTGAAGCTGGAGTTGGTCATCGAACTGTACCAATGCTTTTAGCAAAGTCATCATTTCTTGGAGAAGTAAAAAACTGGAGTACCCTTATCAACCTACATTCTCGACTTGAGCTAGAGGTGGGTAACCCCTCTAATATAGGGAACCCCTCTCTAAAATAGAGAACTAAGCTTTCCGAGGATTACTCAAATAAGTAGTGTTTGTTAATAAGCAATAAAATTTGATCCCTGGATTTGACTCAGTAAACTCGTACAGATACGTGCTGGAATAGTGGGATATTAGGTGTTAAGATAACATGTATATGTAATATATCTTTATGAATATCACTAACTTGTGGTGTGCAGTCTTGCATTTATATTTTATACAGGCTCCCAAATGTCTGTTGTAACAATATTAAATTATGGAATAGCAACCTGTAAAAACTTTTTGGCATATTTAAGTTGTTCGCAATAGAATGTATTAAGCCGTCGTTTCAATAATATTTATCTGTTACCAGTACTGCATTTAAATCTTCAAAATTCATAAACATTATTTGCTTTATTATTTGTTTGCCTTTATTTTGTAGTGTTATAAATGTGCCTGTATTCCAAACAAAAGTTGTATTTTTGAAGTTACAGACCTCTTGTCACCCATTTGGAAAGGGGTCTCTGTTACTGACTTGCATACCTCGTTTATGCCTTACACATTTGCATTATCTAATCGAAATAGAGTAAAAGTGCAGTCTGATAGTATCTCTTAGGGTATCACTTATTAAAGCATTTGTAAATCAAGGTTTTTTTTGTAATCTTTACAGCTTTCCATGATTTCGGTTCTATCCAACTTCCTACATGTTGTATAGATACTAATTGATTTTTGTATTCCATAGGTGCATTATTTTAATGAGATGTTCGGGGTGTGGGAGCCTTTGCTTGAACCGCTAGAAATTGAGAAGACTGATTTATTCAAGCCATGGATTCTTGAATTCAAGGTAAAATTTCCAAAACTAAACCCATTTATTCATAAATAGAAGATATTTCCTCTCTTATAATTTCTTTTAAAAACCCTTTTATTGCTGAGACTAATTTTTGGTTCCTCCCTTATGGTTACTGAGACTTTTTTGCTGTTTTATTGAACAAATACAGCTTTTACAGTTGCCACCAGGGAACATCCATTCTCTCAAATCTTTAAAATAATACTGTCTATTAACTGGCAAGAAGTTTTGATTCCTGTTGCCCTAGATAACCATGATGGCTTCATATCAGTTTCTCTGAAGGCAGTTCATATGGTAAGGGCATGTATTTATTGACGTCGGAAGGARAGACCATTAATCGCATTCTAGAATGTTATTTTGTACCAGAATCCTATTGGAAAAAAAATCTTTTTCTTTTYACTCCATCTTAGTTTTCATTTGAACATAATCTAGACTCAAAGTAGAAAAATATTCGCTTTAAGGAGAGGAGATACTTCCTCTCACACTCTCATCCTTTGTTGATTCTTTACATCCATATTTTTTTTCCTTTTTTTCCTCTTAAACGTTTTTCAGAGTGAAAAAATTCCTTTTCCTAGAACTGTCGCCACCAAATAATCTTTTCCCTTCTGAGATCATTACTGTAGCAAGTTAAGGACCTAATGAAAGAGAAAAGCAGGAAATGAGTGAAACCCTACAGACCTTCTTTCTCATATTTGAAATACAACAACTGTAAATATATCATGCTTTGAAATGTTGAAAGCCTGCAAAACATGTTACATATGTTTTTTCATTTAAATAAATGAAAATATGTAAGGACAGTTTGTTCAGTACTGAGTGTTTGGTTTGGGAATGTATAAAGCCTAAATTTTGGTGACTATTTAAAGAATGGAAAATCCATTAGTATTGTGGTTTTTACACAGTGTTACTAGAGATGAATAGTAAAATATATAGGTGTATTTACTTTTGAATAATGATGTTTAGCTACTGTTCGAGTTCCACTGGTTGACTTACCTGTTTTTTTCCTACAACATTCTTTATTCTGTTCCTCTTCATCAAAAAAAAGTTTGGAAAAAAAGAAAACACATATGTGAAAAGCACATGGTAGGATTTCAAAAGGACTTGCAGCTCTACTCTGAACCAACTTCTTTGCTTCTCATGAAAGAAATGTTGTCAAACTATGTTAGAGTTTATATCTTCTTTGAGTGAAAGAAATTTTTATCACCTGATAAAAATTCTTTAAAAAATTTCCTTTCAGATGAAAAAGAAGGCTAAAAAAGCATTAGTTGAATCTGATGCAGAAGAAGAGAACTACAAAGTCCCAGAATACAAAACAGTAATACATGTTTCCTCAAAAGACCAGCTGAATATTACACTATCCAAATGTGGGCTAGTAATGTTGAGTAACTTAGGCACGGTAAGAAAGATTAATTTTACAGATTCGGAATCGTGTTAAGCAAATATTTGCATACATCATATTCATGAAATTTTACTAAGCATATTTCTGTTTCGTATCTATATTTTGTTTTCTAGGCATTTGCTGAAGCAGCTAGCCAAACTTCAGACATCTTCAAAAAAGACCGAGCACCTTTCGTTATTATAAATTCTTTGGGACTTCCTATCACTGTCTCACCTAGTGATTCCTTTAGTGTCATTAATGTTGAATTTGGAGCAAAAATATTTCACCTGGAAGATGGAGAAAATTTAAATATGGAATACGTCAGAACAAAAAATGAAAGTGACCAGTTCACAGCAATGACAACTCTGAGTAGCAAGAGGTTTTACATTCAAATCTGTAAGTTGCAAGAATCATAAGTCTTTTGAATGTAATATWTTTTTTACTGCAGTTAGATAGTTTTTATTTGTATTCTTAAAGTAATGCAGAATTAAGCTGCCCAAAACTAATAACTCTTCATAACAAAGTAAGGCCTTCGTATATTTGTTCAGAGAGAAGTGTATTAGTGAGGGGAAAGTTTTAAAGGAAAGATTGTTTTAAATAATTTAAAGTACAACTGCAATCAAAGGTACAGCTGGACTGTTTTAATAGTGAGTTCTACAATACACCTTTATATGTTATTTCACATAAGTTTTCCATACTGGACTTGACCAGTCTTGACCTTATGATATATTAATATTTGTATTGATTTTTTTTTTTAGTGGTTTTGATTTTATGTGCTGCACCTTATTAACAAGCTATCACATGTTGTAAATACTGTTATAGGCATTAATTTTATTTGCAATGGCAAAAATATATGAAAAAGTTAAAACTGATGGATGTACTTACTTTTTCTGTGGGACAGAGAGAATCACTGGCAGTTATTTAGCAGTCCCACCAGACTGTCAGATTAAAACTGGTGATTTTACTTTTTTGTCTATTTCACAATTGATGTGATTGTACCAATACAAATTGGATAATACAGAAAAATACTCTTGAATGTACATTTCTGTTACTTAAATACATACCTATGCTCTTTTTGAGTCTTTCCTTTTTCATCTTACAACCACTAGGTCCACATGGTCATTCTACTGTGGAAAAGATTCCATTGACAAAAGTAGGCCGATGTCTTTACACTGTAAGGCATGAGGAGTCGGGTGTTGAAAGATCCATTGTCTGTCAAATTGATACGGTTGAAGGAAGCAAGATGATAACTATACGTTCTCCAATACAGGTTTTTTTTCCTTTTTTTTTTAAATTATAGTAAATGATCCTGTATTCTTGCATAAAATTCTCTAGCCTTACATAAAACATTTTATACAAGTTGAATGATTCAAACAGTTCATATAACCTTACTTGAGATTTTCTTCTATAAACTAAATGTTAATTTTAATATCCTGATTTATGTTAGGTTGATTGATTAGAATATGTAACTAGAGTTTGGTCAGTATCTAGGCTTTGTTTTAATTCCTAAAATCCCTAGACTAGATGTCTCAGTGCAAGGGATGCCTCTATTCCAATGGGAAATGAAGTTATTTTCATTTCAGTCATTTCAGTGGTTTTTTTTTTCCCCTTCTCATGTTTGCATTTTGTTTGCATATAATTTTGATATTTTAGACCACCTTTCACTGTTTCACTGTTAAGTGTGATCACTCTTGTGTGTCATGTGATATAACTGAATGAGTTTCCAGTATATAAAAAAATGATTTCCTTATCAACAGCAATCTGTTTAGAGACTTGAAAGTTGAATATTAATGTATATTAGTAATGGAATACTAATAAAACCAGAAAATCTGTAATCAATGTAGGCAATTCATGTCTTTATGTTAGAATAATCTGTAAATGTCTGTCTAAAATTAGACTTTTTCAGCAAAATTAGATTTTCCATCCAGAAAGATTTGCAATGAAGAATATTAAAAATTAAGAAAAGAGAATAGCCAATTGTGACTCATTCTAGGATCTAATAATCTGATTAAATTATAGCAAAAATACAGCATTAATGTTTGCAAATAATGAAAAAAATGTATGCATGTTATACTATAATGGGTGTGACGGTTAAACCTTAAGTAGGTGTTGTATTTCTCTTGTGTTTTCTGCCATATGGAATTTGACCTGCAAGCAAGCAGTGTCTTTTACATTTTGAAATGAAATATTTTTTTGAAAATTACCAGATCATTCAGGTTTACTTGTCTTCCCTTTTATGGTGCTTTACGTAACTACTGGAAGAGAGCATTACAGCTAATTTATTGATTTCATAGTATAGCCTTTACTGCAAAGTAAAATTTTATAAATGTTACCAGATGCTGTCATCTTTAAATACCTGCACTAGAATTAGAAATAAAATATTAAATAGTGAGAGACTTCTTATGTTGATGTTTAAAGCATCTTATTTTTACTTTTTTTTTCCTATTGTATCTTATTGGTTTTTTTTTGTCTTTCATAGATAAGGAATCACTTCTCAATTCCATTAAATGTTTTTGAGGAAGGAAGTTGTTTAGGAACTGCCTTGCCAGAAAATGAATTCAACATACCTCTGTCCTCTTACAGGTATTTTGTGGCTCCTTCATTATGGAATACATTTGCACATTGCTTTGATTATTATATTCATATAATTATATTAAAAATGGTTAAAATATTGTTTGTTTTTTAAATCAGTGGTTTTAGGCCCTTTTGAAAGGTGCTTTATGATACTGGGACACACTCGTGGTTATCCATTATGAAATAATGTCAAGTGATTTATTTCAGTCTGAAAGGAAAAAAAAAAGGCTGTCTTTTTCTGTCTTTTCTGTCTTTTTTATTTAATAAGATAGAGTTACTTTCTGGTTCACTGAAAAGGTATTTTGGTGAAATCCATTAGGAAGTCAGAAACTGTCTACTAGCAAAAATCTCAAGTGAAGGAGCAGTTGACTGGATTAAAATAATTGCCTTAAAAAAACTGTGTATAAACCAGTAACTTAGTAACTGGGAAAAGGGTAGTTTTCACAGATCTTTGCCTAAGAGTGAATTGTTCATCCAGTTGCTTTTTTCAGATTTTTTTTTTTAACAGAAAAACAGCAGTTCTTGTAAAGGAATTTAGCACTGTGTTTGTAAGAGCTTCCCACACGCCTTTCCCTCCAAAGTTACGTAGAGAATGGGGTAAAAAAAATCAGCTGGTACAATCACAGGAATGTTGTGATCTAGCCTTCCTCCTTCTTCTTTCTTTAAGCAAGATTAAGGCATACAGTTAACTACTGTCAGAAATGTTCAAAAATCCAGACAATAGAATATTTGCATTCTGAAAACACTATCATAACTGAGAAAACTCAGTCTTTTATTAACTGTTTTAAATTTTAATTTACAGRTCCATACTGAGTTTGCAACCCGTTGCCAATGAATGTGGGGTGGATGGAGAATATGATATGTGTGAAGGAATTACATTTGATGAAATTATGAAAAATGTTGATAGCTTAATGCAGAGGAAATGCCAGTCGGTGAAGTCAACTAGCTACTCACTTGTCATCAATATTGTCCCAGTAAAGGACACCTTGACAACTTCATTGTCTGTGGATGACCAATGGGATTTTCCTTATGTTGTGCATTTATGGCCTACTGTTCTTCTCCGCAATTTTCTTCCATATCAAATAACTTACTCTGTTGAGGTAATTCTTTAATATTTAAATTTCTATAGTATTTCTTCTATATTATTGTTCAAGATGAGTGAGGAGTGATGGACTCCACTTGTAGGAGAGAAATAGCATATGTTATTTTTTGTGGTCAAAGAGTGACTCGACAAAGTTCAGTCAAAAACAGACAGTGATAATGAGACTTTATTGCAAAGTTCACCCAGCATGGAGAGGTTGTATCAGAGGAAGGTGTCAGGGAGATCATCTGACTGAGGTTTGGAATGAACTCCCTTGCTTTCCAAACTCTTTCTCAGAGGAATGTGGGGCTCGATCCAGTCCCATTCCCAGAATTGGTCCACAAGGGTTCATAAGTGCAGTCAGTTGGAGCTAGTACCTAGCAAAGTTTCTGAAGGTTTGCAAAATTTACCACACTGTTAATCATTTCTTAGGTGTATCTGTTACACCTAAGAAATCTTTAAGACTAAGGAGTAACCTTGAGAGGTGTCCCTGCTCCAGAGGAGTTTCTGCATTGTAGCCTGCTGCCATGATGGAGAGCTCAAAGCTCTGGGGGTGACCCTTTGTAGTGATGGGGGGCTGATGAAATTTTACTCATAATTTGAATGCTGTACAAGGTCTTAATTAGCACATGACCTGCTAGTCCCTACTTATGTGCTTTTTTCAAGGAGGTCAGGTTGAGGAGGAGAGATCACATCAAGGTGGGGAAAGAGCAGACAGTCACAGTTTACGTAAGCTGATGAACTAGAATCACAGAATCATTATGATGCAATCAATCCATGGTTGGAAAAGACCTTAAATTGAGTCCAACTGTAAACCCATCACCACTCTGCCTGCTGAGCCATGTCCCTAAGTGCCCCATCTACATGTTTCTTGAACACTGCCAGGGAGGACGATTCCACCACTTCCTTGGGCAGTCTGTGCCAAGGCTTCACCACTCTTTCCATGTAGAAATTCTAACTAATGTCTGATCTGAGCCTCCCCTGGTGCAACTTGAGGCCGTTCCCTCTTGGTCTGTCCATAGTTATTCTGGAGAAGAGACCGATTCCATCTCACTGCAACCTCCTTTCATGTAGTTGTAGGGAATGATAAGGTCTCCCCTAAGCCTTCTCTTCACCACTAAATAACCCCAGCTCCCTCAGCTGCTCCTTGTAAGGTCTGAGCTCCAGTCCCATCACCAGCTTCACTGTCCTGCTTTGGACACGCTGCAGTACCTCCATGTCCTTATTTTGGGGTGAGGAGGAGGTCCCAAAACTGAACACAGTGTTTGAGGTGCAGCTTCACCAGGGTGGAGTACAGGGGGACGATCCCTTCGCTGGTCCTGCTGGCAACATTTCTTTTAAATATATTTTATAAATGGATATTGAAAGAAAGTGCTTTTGTAAGAGTAGTAGAGCAGAGAAGCAGAATTGCAAATCTTATAAGGACATGTGTGGTTTTTCTAAGGACATGTTCATTTATTGGATTTAGCAACAGAGTTTTGGTCAAACCCTGATGACATTGTATATTTTTATCTAAAATGTAACATTAAAATGGAATTTTAAGAATGCAACATGATTAAATAGTACAGTAGCCATTTCAGAAAGTTGCTGTGTAAGCTATATCCTAATTTTCAAAGGTACAGAGACAATATATTTGTAAAAAAAAAAGATAAGATAGAAATTTTGATTGTGAATATGACATAAATATGCATTTTTTTTTAAGGGGAATGGGAACAAATATGACACTTTAGAAGATGGATGCTCAGCCCAGATTCACAATGCAGTCTTGGATCAAACAAAGCTAGACTTGCAGTTGATTAACTATCTTGATCAAAATTGGAAAAGTGAGTACTATGTAAAAAGTAATCTACCAGAGATCAGCTTCACAACATTTTACTGCATCACTGAATTGGATAAGACTGAATTGGATATTGCTGTTCATGTGACTTACACAACTGGGCAGATGATCATTGCGATTCACAGTCCATATTGGATGGTAAATAAAACTGGTCGAATGTTGCAGTACAAAGCTGATGGAATTCACCGCAAGCATCCTCCAGATTACAAAAAGCCGCTGCTTTTTTCTTTCCAGCCCAAAAACTTCCTCCAAAACAACAAGGTATTATAGTTAATAAATAGCTGTGTATCATACTCTCCCATCTTGATGAATAAAAGTGTTTTTTACACTTTGAAAGTGATCTATAATAAGGGCATGATAATTAGCATGTGTGTCACAAGTATGTGACACAATACGTTGTCAGATATATTTGATGTGTGAAACCTACAACTGTTTTGTTAGTAAGAATGTTCATTTTTGAGAAAAATAGAGTGGGGAAAGTTATTTAATAAGTGCCCTTATTCTCAATATGAATAGATATCTGTGTTTTTGAAAAGTGAATACTTGCAGTGGTGATTTTTAGTCTGATCCCAAGATGGTTTAAGTTATAATTTCTGTTTTGAGATTGCTCTGCAGTGCTTTTAATGCTAAATGTTACTCATTTCTAGAGTATTATATTGTGTAAATATAATATTTTGGAACAATTTAGAATATCAATGAGAATGTTGATATGGGAGAAATGACAAAGGTCTGTTACTATGACTTACATACTTAGAGATGTGATGAAATGTGGCCTGGATCCTAGTGTGGTTGGTTTCGCTGGACTTAAAATGACTGCCCCAGATAGCCTTAGTKAAAGATACTAAGTGCTGGTAGTTACATCTTGACTTTCTAGTGGAAATATCAGCTTTCAGTATGTTTTTATATAGGTTTATGTGTACATGCATTCTATGTCTGGTATTAAATGTTGTGTSTGTAAATCAGAAACAAACTCGGGATGCTTCTTGTAGGTACAACTTATGGTAACTGACAGCGAACTGTCTGATCAGTTTTCACTGGACACTGTTGGAAGTCATGGTTCTGTGAAATGCAAGAGTCATAAAAAGGAGTATCAAGTGAGTTATATTTGTCTTTCAAAGTTTAGGAATTATGGATAGAAAGAGCATACTTCTAATAGTGTCTTTCAATTCACAGGTTGGAGTCACTATAAACATCAGCAGCTTTAATATTACTAGAATTGTAACTTTCACTCCATTTTTTATGATCTCAAATAGAAGCAAATACAATTTGGAGGTGTCTGAAGAAGGCAAGGAAAAGTGGATACCTATTGTTTTGCAACAGGTAAGCTTGAAAAGGAAGATGTTTTTATTTTTTTCTCTTAAGGGAGAAAAAAGATCAAAACCATGCCTGTTGGGTTCGTGTTGGAGCTCTGTAAAAGCTGTAACTGGACCGCACTTCTTTTCAGTAAGAGTTTGTAGAGTAAACTCATTCTGTCCCATACTTGTCMTGTAGAGCACAGATTCAAAATATTTTCAGATAATAAATAATAAATAGTAGTTCTAATAAATAGTAAGGTTGCTGAAGGCCCTGTGCTTTACTCTGTAAGTCTCTTTACTTAGAACTAKAGGTATACTTAGTGCAAGAAAAAAATCTTGCAGACTAAAATAATCCAGAACTACCTGCATATCTTAAAAAATATCTTAAAGGAGTGTGTCAAGAGTATGGGGCAAGACTCTTGTCAGTGGAGGCCAGCAATATGACAGGAAGCACAGATTGAAACTCGGAAGGGTCCATGTGAACATGAGGAAGAACTTCTTTCCTGGGAGGGTGACAGAGCCCTGGCACAGGCTGCCCAGRGAGGCTGTGGAGTCTCCTTCTCTGGCGGTCTTCCAAACTTGCCTGTGGAGTCTCCTTCTACGGAGATCTTCCAAACCCGCCTGGATGCCGCCCTGTGCTCTGGGTGTCCCTGCTGGAGCAGAGGGTTGGACTAGATGAGCTCTAGAGGTCCCTTCCAACCTTAATCCTTCTCTATATGTAAACATAACTTTGGGGTTTTCTTTATTTGTTTTTTAGGGATTTTTTTGGTACCCTATATTCATGCTTAAGTAACATTTTTTCTGAACTGGTTATGGAAGAGAACTTATGACCAGATTCATAATGATTAAATGGGACTCCTTCAAACCAAATGTTATGATGTAGTGATGATATGGGCTATGTGTTTCAGTATCTTTTCCTTGGTAATAGGTAGATAATGGACTTCTTGATTCCATGGAAAAAGAATTGGGGATGACTGTTAATAGTCTGGCTGGATCAAATTTAGTTTCTTGTAAACTTCATGAAGGTTGATATGAAGCATTATCTGCCTCCGATTATTTTAAAATTCCTGGCTGATGTTAGTTATCATTGTTAATGGTACAATATCTGTTTTTATTATGAATAATACTAAATTCTTTATATTAATAAGAGTATACAAGACGAATGGAATATGTTTTCATATGTGATCGTATTTGCCTTTTGTTATCTTTTTGCCTCAAACCTGGTATGAAATAACAAATATAAAAGTTCTGTGATTTTGATTTATAAAATTCATGTCATTGTTATAGAGAGACTTTTTGTGGAGCTGTACAAAATGATATTCAGGTTTAAGTGTTTAAGTTGATGTAGGCTCCCATAATAGTTATCACATACAAAATYTTTCTTTGATTTTATTTTAGAATAGATTTTATGCCATAAGCTTGCATACTTCTGTCATTTGTTAATGTTCTTACGTTCTCCTGACTGTTTGAATCTACATTGTTTTGTTGATTCCATAAAGTTTCTTATCCAGTTCTTAAATTACTGTAATTCATTTGTACTGTCACAGGACATTTCACATCTAAGCTCTTATTTCTAGTATTCCTTAGCATTTCTKGGTTTATACTCGATGTATCATGTCTAGTAGAAGAGTTGCTAGAATAAATCATTTTGCAGGGAGATAGTATTCTTTGTCAAAACTATTCAAAGGCAATAGTTCTGAAATTCCACATATATTTTTAGAATGTATAGCAGTTTCCCTGTATTGATTATTTCATCAATATGCTTACAGAATTTTCTAAATTATCCCTCAAATCAGTGGGGGACTGTCATCAATGTTTCTCAAATATTTCATAATTGTATCAATTTATTTCATTTATTCCATCCATTCATTTATTAAGTATCATAGGACAACTTTAGACTTTAGGATCACTCCTCCTGTCACTGGAAGATGAAATAACAGTTTACTTCTGTAGTAACAGTAGAGGTTAACAGGGACATCTGTATTCCCTCTTTAAATTCTTCCAGACCCTCACTCCCCAAATTGCTACCTTTCCACAATGTGCCTTTTTTCTCCCACCTTTCCTTGGCAATTCTGTGTTGCGACAGTTAACTCCCCCAAAACTCTGTGGATTGCTCAGCTCTGTGGATTGTTCAGTCCAGTAATCTCATCTGTCATCGAGTAGAATCCAGACTGTCTTGGTTCAGTGCTGGGTATATAGGACAGATTTCCAGGAGCTAGCCGTTGCCATTCTTGAGATATAGATTGATACTGCCTAGCTAAACCAGACTTTTGAATTAGTGCCTCAGATTTCAGTGCCTTCTTAATTATACTCCTTAATTGTTGAGTTCATCACAATTAATCATTAATTTCAGCTGATTTTTTGCCCTTTTTTTTTTCCTCCTAATTCATTTTCTGTCATATTAAGGTTAAGCAGAGTCTCTCCTTCCTCTCTTTATGACTTTTCTTTCTTAGTGACACTCAGTCTGTCTTATCAAGAAAGAATGGAATCCCTTTGCAGAGTCCCACTCGTCTTGGACATATACTCTTTCTSGCATGAAGTAATCTGTCACATATACTGATTTTTGTTTTTAGAACATCCATTTTTCTGCAATCATTGTAAATGACAGCATACATACAAAATCTAATGAAGCACTTTGCAAGCTTATTCAAAGGTTTTGGAAACAACATGTGGTGACATACTCTGTAACTAAAGACATTTTTTTTCCTGTTTTCTGTAATTGTTTCTGTTACTTGTTGTTAAGCCAATCTTTTTTATTTTCTTTGCTTTTAAATTCAAACCTTATTGTTGTTTGGTTCTCTTCATTTCCTCTGAGCTCTTTTAGTTTCCATATTGAGACTGACTTGCTGTATTTTATACTATTTTACAAAACAATTTAGTTTCCTTTGTAGGATACATTTTAATTTAGATAACACCTTCAATCTTGCAGTTTAACTATATTTTTTTCCCTTGTCTTCCTGCTTCCTGTGGTGTGAGAAACAATGGGAAAGGGAACTTAGTGGCATGGTAAGTTGGTGAACTAGTCTTTCACCATTGAAGATTTAATTCAATCAGACATAACGGAATATAAAAATCTAATTTCTTAATATGTGTTGGAGAGATGCTCCTGAAGTTTTGAGTGTTGGAGATGAGCAGTTTGAAATGCAAGATGGTTTATCCAAACAGTATTTGTCTCTTGCTGGWCTTTTCATTACATAAAAACCACCCCAGCCTTTAGAAGAATCCAGTGCATGCTTGTCAACACAGTGAGAATTATTGCTAGTCTTAGTTCATTCCTGTGGTAGGACTTCAGTTAAAACTTCTGCCTCTTTCCCTCCTCCACCACCTCCCTAYGCCCTGTCCATTTCATGTGTGAACTGCTGGAAGAGAGATTTTCTGTGGAATTGTATCATCTTTAACTCATAATGGCTGTCATTCAGTTGTGGATGTGAAATGTGAATAGCAGAATGTCTTTTGTGATTTAGTTACCCAAGTTTTCAGGTTAAAAGAAAAAAAAGCAGAGATTAGTATGCAGGTATCCTGATTACTCCACTTATTTACCATTGTATTGATGCTTATATATACTTTTTTTTTTTGTCACTGAAGATAAGATTATTTGTAATGAATGCCCTTATGGCAAGAGATCCATGGAGGAAGAAAAATATAAAAAACAAAAGCTTTGTGCGTTGAAATTTCTGATTAACAAGCTGGGCTCTTTTGGTATGGCAGCTCTGCTCAACTTTATATAGTGGATTTTATATAGACCTAAAATTTTTCACTCAGAGCACTGTATCGTCTCCATTTCCTCACTTTGAACTGATTTTTTTTCTGACTTTATTTTATTCAGCTGAGTAGCTGTGAATTTTTAGGTGCTCTTATGGAATTTCTGATCCAGCTTACTTCAGTTTTTGTTAAAATTTAACTAAATGAACTTAACATCTAGCTTGTACTTTTTTTCACTTAATTTAGACTTATTTTTTTTCCTTTTTTAAGTGCATTCCTTTTTGGCCGGAAAGTGATGCCAACAAACTGCTTGTTAGAGTTGAAAATTCTRATCTTCCTGCAAAGAAAATAAATTTTGATAAGCAAGAAAACTGTCTCTTACTGCATCTGGACAACAAGGTAAATGGTTCCTTTCAGAAATTAAGCAAAGCAGCATAAATATGTATTTCACTTCGCCCTCCAAACATTTCTCCCTGTCTGTGCAATCAAGCGTTGCACAGTTATAAAGAGGACAATGTTATGTACGTATATGTGAATGTATATTATTTTGATTCTATCTGTCCTCCTGTGTCTTCCCCACAGTATAATGTAATTTACGCTGGCATTTGTGTACTTGCACTATTTTTAAGATGATGCTAAGTTTCTTTAAAAAGTAACTTTCACTAAATTTACTTCTACGTGTTTCATAGTGTCATCCAGCAGGTAGTTTTTAAATAGCTGACTTTTTGATGGTGATATGTTTTAAATGATGTTGCTGTGTGTGAATGATCCAGAGAAGAGAAGATTTCTCTRTTGTCAACCTAGAGCTTGGGAGTATGGAAATTCTTCATCATTTTAACCAATAATTATAATGTCTGTTTCCTGAAATAACAGTATGATTGGAAAATATTTTTAGAATATTTTAAAACAAGTTGGTTTTTGAAGATTTTGAGCTTATGAATATAAAGTATTATGGATATAATRGTACTTTCAAAAGTGCTATTACTGYGTAGAAGTTACAATTTTAGAAATTCATACCAGTATTATTTTTTTTTGTAATTTTTACATCTGATAGTTTGGAGGAATTATAGTGGATGTTAACCTGACCGAGCATTCTACAGTGATTACCTTTTCTGATTACCATGATGGTGCAGCTCCATTTCTGTTAATTAACCATACTAGAGAAGAATTTATTGAGTATGGACAGAGGTATGTATGCAGTTTTAGTATGGATGTCTGCATGAACGTATGAACTGTACTGTGTGTATTATAAATGTGTCTGCTGATACTAAGTATTATTACAGTATAACCTAAGTGATTCAAAGTTTGGGCTTGACTGCTCTTACACTATTGGCATGTTGGCTGTACTTTTAATTTTTCTTTGCAAGCTTATGGATAGAGCATATGGATTTGCAAAATGCCTAAATTACATACTAAATTAATAAAACAGATGCATCAATATTCCTTTAACTATGTGCAAAAATCAGAGTATCATGTAGGGAGCCATCAAAATGTTACTAGGTAGAATACTTTCACCTCTGTATAGCAAATATTGCTTTTTAGTCTGCCAGCCATCTGTGAAAAGTGTAAATTTGAGTTCTCTGTCCAAAATGCTTTTTCCTTTTCAACTGCCAAAGCAGAAGTTGTCTAAATCTGTTGCAGCTCCCAGAAGGCTCTTGTTTTATAAAATGAACACGATGCTTTGTTAACAAAGCAGTGCCAGGCACTATAGAGCAGTGCCTGCAACAGAGGGTCTATTTCTCTAAGTGAAGAAGTTGTTTTATGTGCAACAGTACTAATAGTCTCTTTTATATGTCCTTGCCCTTTACCTTGTCTTGTAATATACATGCAGTTTTGGAAATGTGTGTATATTGTTTTGTGCAGAAGAGAGGAGTTCTAAATAAATACATTGTCTTAGCAAATCCAGTTCAGATTTAGCTGGGGTGATGGATTCAGTAGTTATGAAAGAGATGATGGAATCAACGGAAAGACAGATGGATAGTTATTTAAATTTTATTAAGCTAGACTAAAACTAAGAAATTAAAAACTGAATTATCTGCAACCACTAAAAATGGGTTCTATCTTGTTTTTATTCAAATATCTGATGCGTGTGAGGCAAGGGTTTAAAAAAAGAGGGACAAATCTTTAAAACTCCCGTTCTTCTCATTACTCTGCACAAAGTCCCTTCTGAGGCACATTGCAGAGACTGGAGYCAAGCCCCTGTTAGTGTGGCTCAGGCTGAGAGCAGCAAAGCCAGATCAGTGCCGTGTGTTACACCTGAGTGCACTATCTGTGTTCTGCTGTCGTGCTGTAATATCTTCATATCTTTGCTACACCATGCACATGCTGTCCTTACTCTGGGATTGTGCTTCGGTGCTGAGCAGTGTATCTGTAGCATCTTTACCTTGTGTCTTTGTAAATGCTGTGCAAACTCTTTGCTCTTGCAGACAGTAAGAGCAGTGTCGCATCTAACTTGGTGACTGAAGGCTGAAGAAATACTAATCCAATTAGGCTTGTAGCCGTCTATCTCTGTATCTCTTAAAGAATATGTTGAATATCTTGCTTTGTTGTTTGAAATGTTTTGAAGTTTTCAGCTTTTTAGCTGTTTTTGAGCATCCTCAGTGTGAARTTTAAATGTAATATGTATAGATCAGTTTTTTGTAATTACCGATATATGGGATTGGTCACCTTCAGAGAGGTATAGAAGACAATCTGTTTTTTTTTCCCCTGTCAGCAAATAGCATAGAAAAAAATATTTCCTAAACAATTGGCTGTGACCACATATTCTCCCTCTAATAATATTTGTTAGATAACAAAAACTGAATTTCCTTTTCCATTTCTAAGCTCCACTCTCTGCTTTTCTTCCACAGTTTAAGTTTTCCTATAAATTACAAACAGAGAAGAAAACGAGCATTTAAAATTTTACTGATAAGCTGTATTTATGGAAGTTTCTGAAACTATATAATAATATTTTTTATTTCTGTGGTAAAGTGGTTTTGTGCATGTGTTACAAATGTATTGTTTTAAGTTTTCATTAAAACTTATTATGTAAGCAGTTCCTTCAACTGAAATTTTAGACCCTATAGAGTCTTTGATCTGAAAATACAATGTCAATGAATATTTTGCATTACTTTTTAGTTCCCTCTGTGAGCTGGAAGATTGCCTTCAGCCAAATAAGGCCGTGTTGTATACTTGGGCTGATCCAACAGGATCTAGAAAATTGAAATGGAAATGTGGAAAGAGAACTGAGGAAGTTAGCCCCAAGGAAGTATGTTTGTTGTGTACAGCTCATTTTAATGCTGATATTCTTCAATGTTCTTTTTTCTCATACATCTGGTGGAGGTGGTTTTCCCACTTCCTTCCAGTAGTTTAGTAATGATGTAAATACTTGTCTGCCACAGGTAACAAACCTATGTTTTGAAAACCGGGGGTATTAATTTGCCTAGTGACGTTTATACTGCCTCTACTTCCTTTTTGCTAGTTGCATATGGGAGTAATTATGTAAATAAAAAAATTGTTTTATGGCCTTTTGCTATACAAGATTAGGTGAACAGCTGAAGTTGAATGTTTTGTGACTGCTGGCCGACAGGAAAACTTTTACGTTCAGAACTAGGTCTCATTTGGGATCTGCTCAATTCCATGGTAGTTGTTGAGTTGAAAACAAAACCCTAGTTCACTTGAATCAGGCCTGTTACTTTGCTTTTCAACGTTTATCTTCCACAACASTTTTGTTTATTCTTTGAGAAGCCTTACTATTCCTAAGTTGCCTTAGAACAAGTGGGTACAGAATATGCTAACCTGTGCACCCTTGTCTTAGTGATGATAAGACCATGATAGCTAATGTCATTCTATCATGATTGCTATTTAAAGAAGTTCCTTAGTTGGTCTTTACCTTAAAAGGAAAATCTATAGATGACTTGTTTGGCATTAGTCACTTTAACTTTTTGATTTTTTTTTTTTTAAATCTGGAGCAAAGGTAAATAAAAGGTCCTAGAAACTTCACTGTCGTTCCTGTAAATTCTGTAATACTTTACAGAAAGAGCCAGATTAAGTTACGGAGTTGTTTATGATGTGATGAACTCTCCAAAATGTCACTTGAGAGATGGATAGCAGTCTCCTCCTCTTACTTTCCCATCATCTCATTGTGTGCAGATGCATGCTTTTGTGCTCATCAGAACCTTCTCTATGCTAATGCAGCTAATAAAAATGACAGAAAACAATATTATCAGAAAAAATATTTTGGTGTTCTGTAACTTGGATCTGTATTTTGGATTTGCATCCAAATCCAAAAACTGTGAGATAAGTGTATATATATGAAATTCTATACAGAACAAGTGAAATGACCAGTCCTACTGGTGACCTCATAAGCATTATCTGCAGTTCCAAATTTTATGTATATGACTGTGGTAAAACTTCAAAATTAAAACTTTTATTATTTTTCTCTGCCTTTAAAAATTGCCTTCTATTTGTGTTCACATTGCAAATACTTTTCCATTTGTTTGCTGGGGTACACTTATTAGATGTCTAAACATTTTCCTTCTCTTGTTTTATAGGATAGAATGGAAATACTCAGCTTGGATAATAGAAAGATGGTGTATCTAGTATCATTCTTTGAAGGCTTGCAGCGTATCCTTCTGTTCACTGAAGACCAGAATGTATTTAAACTGACATATGAAAGTGTAAAAGCAGAGCTAGCAGAACAAGAAATTGTTCTGTCCCTACAGGATGTTGGAATTTCATTGGTTAATAACTACACAAAGCAGGAGGTGTCCTATATTGGAATTACAAGGTAACTTGTGTGCTCTGCAACAGTCCAAAATGTTTAACATCTGTTATTTTTACTAACTGTTTTTTTTCTTGAGAGGAAGAGGAGGAGGGAAAAGAAATCTGATCAAAGATATTTAGAATTAAATCATTATATATTTTTCCTTCATAGTGGAAATGTAGCGAATTCTACATTTATAAATGTATAGAATTCTGTATTGGGATTGATGATACGCCCTTGCAGTTTATTAAGGAAAGCTATACTTCCCTAGTCCAGTGAAAGGATAGTTTTTCCTGTATGGTTTGGGATAGTACATCAGTACGTCTACTGATCAGTCATCAGTAGGTCTACCGTGTGGTTTGTCTCAAGAGGTTTTGGTCATTGGTCACAACTTCCCCAAATTTAAAGGACTGGTGACTAATTTCACTAAATCTGTCCTTTCTGGAAGTGGTCATCTATAATAAGGAGATTCCAGCAGTGAAAAACAATATTTAGTGATTCAGACTGAGACTGAGTGCAGAAAGTAGCTAGCAAAGTGAGGAGCGGTTCCTTGCTGGATTCTCAAATTCTAATATATTAAACTATCCCAGATATTAGCAAGGATGCACATTTGAAAGCCTGCACTAAGTTTGTAGAGTATTGGATAGCAGTACTGTTGAACCTGTATCTTTACATAACTATTTTGATTGAAGTGGGAAATTGTAAAAACTTGCTGTTAACTCATTTTGCATGTATTGCATTGGAAAGAGTGACCTTCTACTTAGAACTGAGGAGGCATAGGGCCATTTAGGTCGTTTACCGTAGGAATGTTTTATGATGTGATTTCTCATTTCATTGTTACGACATACTAAAAGTCATACTAAAACAAGTAACGTTTATTTTGAAATAACTAATCCYTTTCTCCTGTTCCTTTCTTTTATTTTTGAAGTTCTGATGTGGTTTGGGAAACAAAACCCAAGAAGAAGTCAAGATGGAGACCTATGAGTGTTAAACAAACTGATAAATTAGAACAAGAATTTAAAGATTACTGTGAGCTTACTCCTTCGGAAAATAAGATTATTGAGTTGGAATCAAATGTTTTGGTAATATTTAATAGTTCTAACTATTGTTTACATTTGTATGTAGGAAAAAGATAACATAATTATTTTTGTCTCCCAAAATACTTCCAATGAAAGTTGAGATGACTCATTTATCCAGTCCATTTGAGTTTCCTTCTTTATCTCTGTCTGGAAAGACTCCATGAATGTTTGAAAGTTTGCAGGTCATGAGACTAAATATATGCAAAGTATAAGAAAGAAATTTCACATTTTCTTCATCTGATATAACCAGGTGGTTGGCTTTGGTTTGTTTGTTTTAACAGAAAGTCTTGAATTTTTGAATAGCTTATTTTGAAATGACTCAGCTATGTGATTCGTACTCAGAAATATCAAAAACATTACTTCAGAATTTCAACATACAGATGCATTTTTTAGTTTTGTCTCCATTGAAATTTAAGCCAAAACTTGATTGATTTGATTAAAGTTTTGACATCTGACTAAAAAGTCATGAAAGACTTACTGTTAAGTTTTCATTATTGGTTCATTAATGAGAAGTGTAGAACTTAAAACACATCATGAAAAAGCAGTATTTTGAAACACATAGCATGCTTATTTTTTTTTTTTTTTAAACAATACAATAGGTGTGTTTAACTCCTAATGGAAGTAACATGAAAATTCAACAGCCGAATGAGATTCCTATCAGAAGAAATTATCTACCAGCTTTAAAAGTAGAATATAGTTCGTCTGCCCATCAGAAGTCTTTCAGAGTTCAGGTTTACAGGATACAGGTGAGTGTTGACAAAGAACAGGGAGTTACATATAGAAAAAAACCACAAAAGGTTGGAAGGATTAATTTTTTAGAAACTTTGGGTTTTTCTTGTTGTTTTGGAGTTAACCATAGCCACTGGCTTCTGCATCCTGATTCTCAATATTTTAATGGAAATACTACCAAATTTCTTATAAAATTCAAAACAACCAGACACCTAAAAATATTGAGGAATATCCATCTGCCGTTCATTTTCCATGCTCTTTCCTCAATGATCTCTAATTACAAGAAACTAAGAATTTGGTAAAACTTTTTATATTTCATATGTTCAAGTTTTTTTTTTAATATCCTTTGCAAAACTTTTTTTATACCATTTATGACAAAGATTGTGAGAAGCTTTTCTAGATTATTTGATTTGAATAATTCCATTTTTGAAAACAGTTATTTTGAACCACAGTAGTGGCTTTTTCTGCTTTCTAATTAACAGGTAATATATAACTTAATGGAGATTAACAGGTAATATGTAGTTCTTGTGCTTGTCCTGCTTTTAAAATATTTCATGACTTGAAAAGCTAACATGCTAAACCTTGTCCTGTCCTTACCCTTATTAGATACAAAACCAGATTCCTGGAGCCATATTTCCCTTTGTGTTCTATCCTATTAAACCTCCAAAGTCCATCACCCTGGATTCAGGTTTGTTTTTCTGGTTTAATGAAATTTATACTTACAGAATGAAGAGATACTTGCTTTTAATGAAGTTTCACCTTGCTAGTTTTATTCAGTTAAGACTATTTGTTTAAAATTTAAGAGACTTCCCTGGAAAACTAACTAGACAGAACACAAATCTGAATGTTAGAGAAAATTGTTTCCCCATCTCCACGAAGATTTAGAAAAAGACATGTAAATTGTTAGCACTTAGTAGAAAGAATAAAAAACTGCTTCATTTATCAGTATCACATCTTATAAGAGCATCTTTTTGACGTACTAGTTTAGTGTCTGAGTGTCTGAGAACATAAGGCTTAAATCGAATTTGGTTCAAGCCTAAATTGTGCTTTTGGCAGTTGCATGCAAACCGGAACAAAAATAAATAACACAGAAGAAAGGTTACCTGCCAAAAATGGAAAAGTCAAATTGTTGCTAGGCTTGATGGCAACAAATGTGTTGCCTGGTTTATTACTTACATCAGGGGTAGTGAGGTTTCTAGTGCTAAACCTCACTTTTCATGTCTAGTTGCTAAGTTTTTATCTCCTGATTAAAATAAATTGTTCCGTTTATCCTTATGGAGCTTATTTTTAATTTGCTTGAATGCAGTAATGAAACAGTAACCTGACATGCTGTTATCTTAGCTAAGTTACAAAAGAAACTTGTGCCTATGGTAGTCTAAATTTAAACAAGATATAACTTGTCATCTTGTAAATGGTGCCTCACAAATTTTAAATTTAGATTTAGTTTTATCTAAAAGTGCCTTCTAAGTTCTGCACTGCTTGGGCGAAGAAGTCAAAGTCAAAGCGTGGTGTGATGAACTGCTGAGCTTTTATGGAAGAATCTTCCATAAACTCTCTCAGGTCCAAGGCATTTGGAAGACGAGGGTATTGGCAGGAAAGAGTCTGAACTGAGATGAAAAATACTTTCTTCAGAAGCTATGATGATGATGCTCATCCTGAATAGGGTTGATTTAGAGTGCATGAATTTGAAGAACATAATTAATTTATTCTATATTTTTATATCACTCTTTGGAAATATAAATTTATCCCATAGCTACAGAAATTGTACGTGGCTAAGATTATCAACATTAATTTGGCCTTCAATGAAAAATGATAATTTTTTTTGGAGACAAATGAAATAGAATTCTTTTTTGTTCCATTTCATTCTTGATTCCTTCTCCTTTTGATTCCTGCTCTTTTCCCCAAATTAATTGTTTTCCTGTCTCATCCATTATATAATCCTGTTTCATAGGATTGAAAAATATCCTCACCGTGTATGGCTTTTTCATATTAAATGCATGAAGTTTTACACACAAAAACTCACACACATATATATATCGATCATAAAAAAATCTGTGCTGATCTCTTTTTATTTTATAACTTCATAGCACCAAAACCATTTACTGATGTCAGTATTGTTATGAGAACTGCAGGACATTCACAAATATCTCACATTAAGTAAGTATTTTGACATTCCATCTCTTTTGCCATTGATCATTTTTATTTAGGCTTTAAAATGAAAGTAGCAGCAAATATAAGACAATTTTGTACCTATTCATTCTAGAAAAGAAGAGAGCACTTCAAAAGATGATTAAAGCATCATCGCAATTATTATCCATAATTGGGATGTGCAGAGTAAAGTGCAGAGTAAAACAAGCATTTTTAGGAATTTTCAATGTAGATTTTAATTCCTTTTAATTTGGAAAGTAAACTGCATTTAACAATGCTATCCATAATGCCAAATGCTGCTTTTTCAATAAAATACTGCACTTTACAAGATATATGTTTACCTTATACTGCTTCCTTTTAACTAAAAATGATGACTCCCTATAAATAATTTAAAAAGGTAAGTATGTGAAATTAGTGAGTGAAATAACTAGCCTATAGCCTAAATACCATAGCTTGTACTTTATTATTTAAAAGTCTTTGTTTTTTCATAAAATAGTTACTATTTATTTATTTGTGTGCGTGTGTGTGTATGTGTATTTTGTACACAGGTACTTTAAGGTCTTGATTCAGGAGATGGATCTCAGACTAGACCTTGGATTCCTGTATGCATTGGTTGAATTCTTTACACAGACTGATGTCCCCAGTGACCAGGAGGTAAAAACTCTGTTCTGTTGTTTGAAGATTGATACATTAATGTGTATAATTATTTAAACTATATTTAAGGAAAAAAAAAAAAAAAGGCAACTCATTCTTGCATTGCTAAGCCRTCAGCTGAGTGTTGTATCTGGGAATAATAGGAAACTATGAGGTTTTTAAGAAATACTGTTGTTTGAGGCCAGTAACAAGCTCCCCTTTATCCTTATGTTGGTATAATATATAAAAAGGTTTTAAAACCTTACTAAATGAAAATAATGCTGTTAAAATGAATGTATGGAGTCTTTACACTACCTTGTTGATGTTTCCAATAAAAACTTAGAATAAGAAAAGAGTGAAAATAATACTTTCCTCTGAAGCCTGCCAAAAAATATCTAGAAAATAGATTTGTGAGAAAGGGCTAATAAAAATATGAGCCCATCAGAACAAGAGGAGTGGAGAGAGAAAGTTTGTTCACTAATTTTTTTGAGAGATTGCCAAATAGGTAAAAGATAAAATTGACRTTTGCGGATGATCCCAAGCTGGGTGGAGTGGCCGACACTCCGGAGGGCTGTGCTGCCATCCAGAGGGACCTGGACAGGCTGGTGAGTTGGGCAGAGAGGAACCTCMTGAGGTTCAACAAGGACAAGTGCAGCGTCCTGCCCCTGGGCAGGAATAACCCCAGGCACCAGCACAGATTAGGGGCTGACCTGCTGGAGAGCAGCTCCACAGAGAGGGACCTGGGAATCCTGGTGGACACCAAGTTAGCCATGAGGCAGCAGTGCCCTCGTGGCCAAGAAGGCCAATGGGCTCCTGGCTGCATGAGGAGGATGTTGGCAGCAGGGGCAGGGAGGGGATCCTGCCCCTCTGCTCAGCTCTGGGGAGGCCAAACCTGGAGCATTGGGGGCAGCTCTGGGCTCCCCAGGACAAGAGGGATGTGGAGCTTCTAGAGAGGGTCCAGCAGAGAGCGACAAAGATGGTTAAGGGACTGGAGCATCTCTTGTGTGAGGAGAGACTGAGTGAGCTGGGCCTGTTTAGCTTGGAAAAGAGAAGGCTGAGAGGGGATCTGATTAACATGTATAAATACATGAAGGGAGAATGTAGGGAGGAAGAGGCCAAGCTCTTCTCATTGTTGGCCAGTGATAGGACAAGGTGAAATGGGTGCAAGTTGGAACACAGGCAGTTCCATCTCCAGGTGAGGAGGAATTTCTTCCCTGTGAGGGTGCCAGAGCCCTGGCACAGGCTGCCCAGGGAGGCTGTGGAGTCTCCTTCTCTGGAGATCTTCCCAACCCGCCTGGATGCCACCCTATGCCACATGCTCTGGGTGTCCCTGCTGGAGCAGGGGGTTGGACTAGATGAGCTCTAGAGGTCCCTTCCAACCTCAGCCATCCCATGATTCTGTGACATGATTATGCTAAGGAATACTGTGAGGAGAGGGCAGAGGGAGAAGACTGGCTTATCCTGCCCCTGTAGGATGACARGAATTTGTGCATAAGAAACGTAGAAATTAGATGAAATGACATGAAGTGCATGGTGGTTTTCTTGGGTAGTGATAACTTCAGGCAAAATCTAAAGATAAAATCTAAAGAAGAAGTGAAGGGTCTTGGATTTGCCAAGGAACCTGAGCCCGCCAAGTGATATACTATGAAGATATAATGCAGTTCTGAAGAGCCCAAGTCCAAGTTGTTTTTACATACTATACTAAAATGTGAGTTTCGCTGTATGTATGAGACAATGATGACATATTATTAAGTAGAATATGTGCCATTGTTTTTTCTGCATTTTAATAAAAAGTGTTTCTAGTAAAAAATAAAACAGAAAAAAACTGTATGTAAGATCTGCCTAGAGATAGAAGATTCTTTCTGAAAGGTGATTTAAAAATATTTTCTTATCATACCAAGTGAAATGTATGCTGAAAAGGGAAGTTATTTTACTTTCTTTTCCTCAACTCATATGACAAAATTGGAAAAGAAGTACTGATGATCAAGTTTATACAAAAATAAAAACAAAAGGTTTTGTTTTTCCGCTAGTCTGCTGGTCATGGGCAGAAGAAAATGGAAATTGGAGATGTATGATAACCAGAGAAGTGCATCTCTGTAATGGTATTTCAAGCAAGTTAGGAATCTGAATATCTCAATATGATATTTTACAAATTTACAACAAGATTAAGTGGCTTAAATACTCTAAATGTGCAAGTATTAATTTTTGAAACTTCATTCACAGTTGGAACTCTTCAAAAAGGATGTAGAATCTCTGCAAGAAGAGCTGATGAGTGTGTCATCAATGGACACATCACAGATCAGCTTGTATGAGTTCTTTCATATCTCTCCAATAAAGGTATGTCTCTTTCACAGTATGTTCTGCCTGCTCTCTAAAAGGAGGKTTTTTTTTGTCTCCGACAGAATAGGAATTTGAAAAATTGTAGAGGAATTCAAAATATTTTTAAAAGGCTTTTTTTTCTTTCCTTTAGACTTTCCTTCTAATTCTTGCTTAGACATTGTGTTTATTATGTTCAGTCTGCTATGCATTTGGGTATTGGTAATAGAAATAAATATTAGTTTGGAAACAAGATAATGACTGAAATTTTAGCTAAAAAATTCTGAGAACTTCTTAAAAAAAAAAAAGAAAAAAAAAAAGATAAGCAATTCCTAGTTCCTAGTATCTTAAAAGTAGTTGTATGTGTTCAGCTTGAATTACAATATCATTCTGTCACCTTACACGTTGCATTTATATTCTTTGTTTTTATTCAGTCTGATTTCAATCAAGTTTAGAAATGGCATATCTCAAATTTTACCTCTTCTAACAAATTGACAAAAGCAGAAGAAGTATGGTACTTCTGATAGACAGTTTTTTCCACTTTTGTTTTTATTTTTCAGTTACACTTAAGCTTTTCACTTAGTACTGGTGGAGAAGATAGCAACAAAGAAGAAAGAAAAAATGAATTGATACCGCTTCAATCCTTGAATCTCCTACTGAAGAGCATAGGTGCCACACTCACAGATGTACAAGATGTTGTCTTTAAGTAGGTTAAAAGAGATTGCATCAATCTAACTTAAGTTGTGTTTTGTTTTGCTGTGAATGTGTGAATGAGATAATGAGTACCTTTTTACCTTTTTTTCYTTTTTTTAGGTTGGCATTCTTTGAACTGAACTATCACTTCTGTACTACACAACAATTGCAATCAGCCGTTATAAAGCATTACTCAAAACAGGTTAGAATTTCTATTCCTTGAATTATATTGAGTTTTTAATATTAAGTCATTTTCATGCRTGTACTGTTTCAAGTATGCTGTTTGTTTTACTCATTGTAGTGTAATTTCTGCAATATTTTACTAAAAAGATCTAATTTTATTTTAGGCTATTAAACAGATGTATGTTCTTATTCTTGGCCTTGATGTCTTGGGTAATCCATTTGGATTCATAAGGGGCTTGTCTGAAGGAGTTGAAGCATTGTTCTATGAGCCTTACCAGGTAAGAAATTGTGCTGGATGCATATGAAGTATAGCATGAACAATTAATACATGTTTGCCTTAATTTTAGACTTAAAATTGAGAATTTATAGTTACAGAGCTAGGAAATGTAACTAGAAAATTCGGACAGGAAAAAAGAGAGGGTGGTCTCTAACACTTAATTCACAGAAGGCTTTCTTACGTTCCTTACTTCTCAGTAACTCTATTTTTTGCATTTGTCTTTAATCAGACAAATTTTATACCAACATATGTTTATGTTGTATAATGTATATGTATATGTTGGTATATGTATACCAACATATGTTTATACCAACATATAGGCAGCTTTGTGCAAGCTGCAGAGCAGTTTAAAAGGAGAAAAAGATTTATATAATTTTTAACTTCTTATATTTGATAAAACAATTGACAGACACAAAGATATATTCTTCTAATAGCTTTATAATATACATTTTAAGGACAGGTTTTAGATTTTTTTTTTGTGAGGGTGGGAGAGCAGAGAACATTTACCATTTCAAATATTTATATCACTGAGAGGATGTGAAAATAATTTGAAGTGGAATACTGTTTGTATCAATAGTACCTTAAGCAGCTTTTAATTTGAATAATTACTCCTTAATAATTCAGCTGCTATTCAGCTGGGTTTGAAAATTGACCAGAACTCAGTTGACAACAATTGTCTTTAATCAGAATTCCAAAATTGAATTAGGATTTAAAAATAATATGTTTGGGGGTGGGGGGGTGGGGGGGGTGTATGTGTGTATATATATGTGTGTGTGTGTGTGTGTATAAAAAAAAACACTTCTATTTAAAACTTTAAATAAATGCTTTTTTTTCTTTTTTTTAGGGAGCCATTCAGGGTCCTGAAGAATTTATAGAAGGAATGGCATTGGGCCTTAAGGCACTAGTAGGGGGAGCTGTTGGTAAGTTTCAGTATTACTACAGTATTGTACAAGTAAACAGCAGTATAACAGAGTATTTATAAATCACACTGGTATTTCACTTAATCTTTCGTCTTCTCATAGGTGGATTAGCAGGGGCAGCTTCAAGAATCACGGGTGCTATGGCAAAAGGAGTAGCTGCAATAACCATGGATGAGGATTACCAGCAAAAAAGGAGAGAAGCCATGAATAGGCAACCCACTGGTCTACGAGAGGGTATCACTCGTGGAGGAAAAGGATTGGTTTCTGTAAGGAGAAAAAAGAATAATCATTAATAGATTTTATCCAGACAAGAGTATTATACCTTTAGACTGCCATAATCACCACGGAGTCACACCTCTTTATATAAATGCTATTTTTTGCAAATATATTGCCAAAATGGAGAGGTAGTTTTAAAGAAAAATGCATAAGAATTGGATAGAAGGAAGAAACGATGAAGCAGATACCTCTGTTTCTTTTCACTTAYGGTCGATTTGCAATCTTTGAAAGTACTCACTTTGAGGTTATTCACCTTTGAAGTAATAAGAAAATTATAATAATKTAAGAAAATGAAGATACATTTGTTAAATCTCGTTCGTTTCTCTTTGTAGGGTTTTGTCAGTGGCATAACAGGAATAGTTACAAAACCAATAAGAGGTAAGTGCAGGTCTTACCATGTTTTAACTGTGTTCTTTCAACTTAAAATTTTAACACTGGATGAGAGGGATTATAAATTTGAGAATTGTAKAAATTCATATCAAGATTCGATATTCTTGCCTAATCTAATGTACTATTAATGCTGAACTTTGTATTGAGGAAATTGTATTTACATAGAATATGTAATTCCATAATTACATATTAATTACRTTTGCTAACATTATAGTAGTAAGAAAAATGTCAAAATGTTTTATAATAATTTGCTGCTTTTAAAACTTCTAGGAGCCCAAAGAGAAGGAGCAGCTGGCTTTTTCAAAGGTGTTGGAAAAGGTTTAGTGGGAGCGGTAGCTAGGCCTACTGGAGGAATCATAGATATGGCAAGCAGCACCTTTCAGGGCATTAAAAAGTAAGTAAAATAAGTAATGAGGACTGACACATATTGGATGAAACAGAAAGTAGAAGGAATAGATAGTCGTTGTATCATATGAGTGAGAAATTTTTATTCAAATAGTAATTGATATTGCAGCCATGTGTTGCCCTCTGATTTTTCTAATAATCATTTTCTATGTGAGATTGAATGTCTGAGCTAAATTTTTTATTATTTCATGTCTTGGGTACCAAAGGTGTCACTTTACTAATACTTGAATTTAATTTGTATTTAAAATAATTTTTGAACTTTATTAAATATTACAGCTAAAAAAATGTAGGAGAAATGTGGTATGCATTTTAATTTTTTTGCTTTATTCTCAGAGTTGCAGATTCATCAGAAGATGTGATAAGTCTGCGCCCTCCTCGCTTCTTTGGTGAAGATGGAGTTATTAGACCTTACAGACTAAGAGATGGAACCGGGAGTCAAATGTTACAGGTGAAGAAATTGAAAGATAATTTATCATAAAATTTAGCTCAAGTGCCATTTAATTTCATAAGGAGTTTTGTGAAAGACACCATATTTATACCAACATATAGGCAGCTTTGTGCAAGCTGCAGAGCAGTTTAAAAGGAGAAAAAGATTTATATAATTTTTAACTTCTTATATTTGATAAAACAATTGACAGACACAAAGATATATTTTTCTAATAGCTTTATAATATACATTTTAAGGACAGGTTTTAGATTTTTTTTTTTGTGAGGGTGGGAGAGCAGAGAACATTTACCATTTCAAATATTTATAKCAYTGAGAGGATGTGAAAATAATTTGAAGTGGAATACTGTTTGTATCAATAGTACCTTAAGCAGCTTTTAATTTGAATAATTACTCTTTAATAATTCAGCTGCTATTCAGCTGGGTTTGAAAATTGACCAGAACTCAGTTGACAACAATTGAACTTGTTCCACTAAAGTGAAAATCATTTCGGCTGTTAGTTTATAGAGTTTTTATTTTTTATTTGATATAGGTAAACTGCATTTTATAGAAAATAAAGATTAAAATATTGACTAGGTCAATATAGAGTGGGGATATAAAAATAAAAGAGGTTTTGAAATACACATTGAGTAATTCCATTTAGCAATGTGCCAAGAAATGTTGTAGATGTCATACAAAAATTGGAACCAGCACAACTTGTTTTGGAGAATAAGAATTAAGTAGCCTCTTAAGACCATTTTAGGCTGTTGTGAGAATTGCTGCAGCTGTTTCATATCCAGCTCCAATCTGGATGTTTCTGTTCCTTCTGCATCCCACTGGTGTCTTTCCCACGTTGTGCCAGGAGAAGTTCCACGTTCCCCTGTGTGGTTCCTGCCCCACGCTGGTGCCGCCCCGCGGCCCCGGCTGGCGGGGCAGTCCCTAGGCTGTCCAGGTTTGTCCGTGTGCTGCCTTGCCCCGTGCTCTGTGCCGTGAGCACAGCCCTGCAGAGCAGTGTTCCCTCGCCACAGCACAGCTACCCGGTGCTGCCCGGGAACACGGAGCTGCTCAGCTTCTTCCTCCTTCTGGTGCGAAAACGGATTCCAAAACATCCCCTTTTCTGTTTAATGAGGTGTCGTGAAAACAGAGTGTGAGCAAGACAGCAAGTTCACATTCACAATGCTCAGACAGCTCTAATGGCTTTGCATTGGTTTTGCTTCTGAGCTTTGCACAGACTCGCATAGAAGAACATGACATTGGCCATTGTACTTTTAAAATACGTAGTTCTAATTTTTCCTTTATTGTGCTGATGGGCACCGCCACCAACAGTTTGCCAACTTGAAAAGCATAAGGAATAAGGAATACCTGTCATTTTGGGGTGGCGGCTGTCATTTATGAGAAACTAAAGCTGAAAATGGCGTTTTTTCATAGTAATTTTCATTGCTGACAGTTCTGAGTAGAATTGGACTTGAAGTAAAGTTATGGAAAATTCAAACAAGGGTGACAATTTTCAACGTAATTTGTTTTACAGGTGTTAATTGCCAGTATAATATCTTTGATGTCTTAATCTTACTGCTGCAGAGTTAATTAATGCATTTTGTTCTAGAGACATTTCTCTTATTTGCATGAGGCTCAAGAGTATTGCATGTTCCTTATCTGAGGTAGTTCTTGCCTAGCTTAGTATTGTCTTAGAGAAAAATAAGAATAATTTCCCCTTTTGTATTATTTCTGTGGCTGCAGGTCTGTCTGGTGACACGCCTGGCTGCAGTTGCTGTGCCTTGGCACTTTCAGCAGCTCACCAGATTGCATTAAAATACAACTGCTTTTTACATATAGTGCCTGCATATGCTGATCATCTAAAAACAGGGTAGATGTGATGCTGAGTGCCTGTACTGTATCCCAAGTTAACCTGCCACTGCAGAACTGCTTCTTTTGAGGTTTTTATGTGCTTTAATCAACTAACTTTCCAGCTCAAACTGATACTGTTCTGAACTAACACTTCTGCTTTCTTCTTCCCTTATCATGCTCTCAGAAAAGACAGGCCTACAGGGAATGGACTAAGACTCTCAGTAGTAGTGATGATGATGATGATGACAGTTAGGGTCACATGGACTCTTGCAGCTGTACAGGGCCTTTGTCAGATTGTTTTGACCTTTGAGAATTAAATGTTGCTGCTATAATTCTCTCTGAGAAGTCAGCATTGCCGACTATTAGCCTCATATCTTTAAAACTGTGCAAGAATAAAATGCGGGCAAATGAAGTAGATGATGTCAAATGTTAGGCAAAGAGGTAAAGAATATAATAAAAATAGTATCTCTATATAGAGAGTTGGATATTATATATTTAACAATCTAAAGAAATATGAAGTAACACTGTGAATTAGAATTTATTTCTAGATGCAGTTCTCTTAAGTGTATTTAATCTGTTTTTGCATTTACGTGTTTTACAGTTTATATCATAATTTGTTAGATGCAATGCCTTTAAATGTGTTTAGTGTAATGTTATTGAGTTGTACTGTCATTATTGGTATTAAAATGCTGTTTAATTGTTTTATATTCTATTTATTTTATATTTCAGAAGTATTTTATCTGGTTTTCTTAAACAATAAACATGTAAAAAGTATATCTTAAAATGGATTCATCTGTTCTGTTCCAACATTGTTCCTCATGCTTTCTGGAACTGGATCATATACAAACACTAGTTGTCCAAAAAAGCATTTAAAATATTATAATTTTTAAAAGGAACACTTAATATTTAGTTTTTCATTTCTCATTTCTTTTAAGGCAATTTTTAAATGCTCRGTTTATGTATCGTTTGGGATTCTGAAAGACAAGTGTTTGTTTAGTTATTTATGCCTGTGACTATAAGTTACTCCTTTCTTCATCAATCTTTTTTTCAGTGTTGTTTTCATAAAAACAACAACAACAAAAACAACAATAAAAAATCCAAAGAGGTCTGCAATGCCAAACTCTATGCAAAATCACTATCAGCTTGGGAAAAAGGCAGTACTTTTATCAGGCATGTGTAAAGTGCAAACATCCTTAGTTCTTAAATAAGCAAGATGGAGGGAGAAAAAAGGAGCAAAAAAACACTGAATCACCATAATTCTGTGTTCTTCTGTATTGTTTTCTTGTGTAGCTTGACGTGTTGCTTGCTTTAAAATTACATGATTTGCTTATATTTTCACTGGAAAGTGTGAATAGCTTCCCTCCTTTTTTTTTAGTGTATGCATGTATTTCTGTATGAGTAGTTACTGTAGTTAAGAGTTGGCGTTTCCGCAGTAGCTGAGGAATCAGATCGCCCCGAAGCGGCCAGCGCTGAGGAGAGCCTTGGAAGCACTGCCCGTATCCTTGCTCCCGCGGGGCCCCCGCGGCTCCAGCAGCGGGGGGAGGCCCCAGGCAGAGCCGCCGAGCCCCAGACTGCGGGAAGGACCAGGAGCATCCCTGGCGCGTCGCTCCCGCGGCCGCGTCGCTCCCGCGGCCGCACACGGGTGTCCGCCGCAGGGCTCCGCGCGCGGCACTTGGCATTGCGGCCGGAGGTGCATCCCGCATCCCCCTCTTGCTGCGGTGCAGGATGCAGGATGCACCCGTCCGCTTTGTTGCTGTCCGTTGCTCTCGAGCAGGACGCCTGATCCCCAGGGACTCTTTGGTTCAGGTTTTAAATCCCTTCGTTCGACCAGGASAGGCCTCACGCGCGCCGGCAGCGCCAGCAGTTACGCGGGGCGGATTCTCCCAGGTGCCTGTGACTTCCTTGTGCTGGGTGACRGAGCAGGGCGGCTGACCCGCTCCCGGAGGTGCTGATCCCACGTTTCCGGTGCGGAGCAGGGGAAACGTCCTTCTGTCCATCCGCTGCATCTGGGCAGGATGGCAGCTCCCCTGGCTGGTCCATCCACCGCATCCGTGCGGGATGGGTAAAGAAGGGAGCTGGGACAGGATAAAGGGAAGATAAAAAGAACTGGGCCCGTTCAGCTTCCAGCTGTGATACCTCTCTCTGTCGGGAGTGGAGCTTCAGATCCAGCAGCAGTGACTGAGCTCCCATCAAAAACTCCTAAAACAGGAGCTTTGCTCCCTAAAATGATAAGGGGAAATTCTTTTGGAAGTTTGGAATAGCCCCGTTTTGTGTGCTGTGGCTTTCACCAGACGTCCATTCACACGTGGGCTCTGGTTGCTGCTCCCATACCCTTCCTGCCTGGGAACCTGCTGCGTTGCTGGATCCGAGATCCCACTCGCACGGCAGTATCTGGGTAGGGTCAAACACAGGCTGCCGCCCGGCCCAGTGCGTTGTCTCTGTGCATTTACTGGAAGCTGAAGAGAACGAGCAGTTTCAGGAGGATGTGGAGGTCACCCGGCGGGACCCGCAGTTTCCTTTTAGCTTTTGGGGCTGGAGCGTGACTGTTTCTGTGCTGTGGAGATGCAGGCAGTGACTTGACTTGTCCCCGGCCAACCGTGCGCTGGGTTACRCGCTGCCGGACAGAGATGATACGGAGAGACAAGCTCAAGTCTTGCAGCCCAGCCCAGTAAGCTCCTCAGTGCTACAGATGGTCAAAGAACAAGGCTTGGGCTGAAAGCGCAGGAAAGGCCTAGACCTGGAGGCCGTGTTGAGCGCGTAGGTCAGGGATTGGGTTGGGTTGTGTCGGGTCGCGCCGCCCTCTGGGACCGGCAGGTCCCCGTGTAGAGCAGAGGAGGGAGGTTTTTACAGGCTGGTTTGGAAGAACTGAGGTTTTTTTTTTCTCATGTGTCTAACCTAGGACTACCTGGACAACATGGGAGATGCTGTTTGGAATCATTCTAATGTTTCTGTGGGGAAGGTGAATATTGTGCCAGGTTGGTCTAATGAGAATAGCAATTCTGTAGCTATAGAAGGTCACTCCACTTTGAGGTGAGCCAAGAAAGCAGTTTAACGTTGCTGGTGTCACAGCAGTGAGCTGCTATCAGCATGCATAGAAACAGAGAATCATTGGGGCTGGAAAAGACCTCCGAGGTCATCRAGTCCAACCATAAGCCCTTCACATTCATACATCTGGGCAGTCTATGAGGAAATAGTCCAAAATCCAATTCGAAATTTAAAGATAAACTGAAGATGAMGGGAAAAAAAAGGATGGCAGATGTATGTAGCAACCTTTTGAGCAGTGTTAGTCTCCAGAGTTTTTCCRTCCTGATTCGGATGAATTAGCTCAAGGAGGGTATAAAGTGTATTGCGAGTTCTCGTGCCACGCGCAGCAGTGACGCGTGAGGCCCTGCAGCCCCTTGSTCGCGTGCTCTCCTGCTCCTGCCTGGCCGCCCGAGGAGCTGCACAACCCCCGGGATGGGCTTGGGGCTCCACGGTCCCGCTCTCGGCGGGTGTCCGTGCAGAGTGTCCTGGCAGGCTGTGGGACAGCGCGGCACGGCGCTGCCTGCTGAGCAAAGAGCGTGGTGGTGAATTGTAATCGAATGAAATGCGTTTTCTTGACTTGGAGGGACACATATGTGTTGTCAGATTATCTCTGGCCCAGGAACATACAGTATATCCRTAGTAACTTCTGTAATTCCCAGTTCATCGTCTACAAACTCAACAAATCCCAGCGGGGCGCTGCGGTTTGTCCAAGGTAACACAGCAGAAGGGAGAGGCAGAAAGGGGCACCCAGTCCAGCCCCAGCCTCGCCTGCGCTCTGCACGAGGGGCTAGGAAAAGTGGCTCTGCAGGGAACTYAAGGGGCTTTTCGTGCTCACAAAGCTGTACTGGCACTTGCTGCTAAAAACTTCTCACCTACAATCTCTGTTTTATATAGGAGTGATAACGTTTGTGATGTGAAAAGTTTACAATAGTTTTGGTCACTAAGAGAAATCACTGGTGGTGTCGCAGCTTTGAGCACTGAAGTACAACCGTGAACTTGTTTTTTCTGCCCACTGGTGCGTTCCCTCCTACTTGCTCAGCTCCCAAAACAGGTGAATTCCTGGCGGTTTCCATCCTCCTCCATCCTCTCCGTGTCCGTCTCGCAGGGCCGCTCGCGCCGTGGGGAGGGTCCCGTTGGCCGGGCCGGGCCGGGGGCGCCCGCGGTGCTCATGGCCGGAGCGGCGGGCGCTGCTCCGGCGGCCCGTCTGTCTCCCCTGGGTGGAAGTGCGGGACACAGACCCAAAGGGTTTTGCTTCCTTGTTGGTTTTGTGTGCTTGTTTTGGTTATTTGAGCAGTTCCAATCTCCCGCTTCATCCAAGAGGCAGGGAGAGGTTCCAATCAGGAGCAGGGCAGCTCCTGGGTGGAACCTGAATAAGAAGTTTCCAAAAGTGTCTGTAGAAAAGAGAGGGAAAGATGCCCAGGCCTCTCTTTCTTCTCATACCATTTTTTTCCTGCTGAATTCTTCCTCCTCTAGCTCTGGCAGGGCCAAATTCAGGCAGGGACTTAGCGTGGGTAGACCTGACATGTAGTTAGTTGYTGTGAGGCCAGCCGAGTTGGAGGGAGTGAAATAATATAAACTTTCTTGTATGCTGTTTAAGCCTTTAATGCTTTCTTTTTTCCTGGGAAGTATGGAAGTTATTCAAATGTTTGTATATTTTGCTCACTAAATAACCAGCATCTTTGAAGGAAGGTTGCTTTGAAGCATCTTTTTAAAAAAGATATATATTAGAGCAAATGGAGTTCTCTGTTGGCTTGTTTTCAGATTTTCCAGTTTTAGGGTAAGCCTAATTAAACGGACATTTTCTTGCCTTTTTTTTTTCTCAGTTAAAGAATGTAAGTCATTACAAAGCTGATGAATACTCATCATAACATTGTTTTATTGTTGTAACTTGTTTTGTTAACATGCTTTTACAAAATGCTGGAATGTGGTCTCTGCAACAGTGTGTTCATAGGTAACAGTCTGTGGAATCATCCTGGTTCCTGCTAACCTGTTGTTACTTCAGCTGGGAGCAGACGGGGAACGTGCCGGCAGTCGCGCCGCTTTGCCAGGCTGGGCYGCAGTGATGCTGGTTTCATCACTCGCGCCCTGGGAAGTCACGAGTCCTCAGCCTGCCAAGCCAAACCCTCAGTATTTACAATTGAATAATCTGCTCTCATTCGTATTTTAAGCTGGATTTCCTAGTAAGGAAAGTTCTACTACAATATTCACAGAAAATGTRGGAATTAAGCAAGTTCATTAAAAAMCAAAAAAAGCCAAAACCAAATAGAAGTATACGCAGCGTGACCTGAAGTGTGTTTTTTTTTCAGTTTTGCCACCTGCACAATCGTGTGTTTTTGTTTGGAGCTGGGAATAGATCTGTTTCCAGGGTTAATAATTGATATTTTGCAGGTGACTCCACTTAAAGGTCCTTCATATGTTTATCTGAATCTGCATTATTTCTTATACTGACTCTAAACTTAATGGATCAATACGAATTTGGAAAGCGCTAATAATAAATACAAAAATGAGTTTTGAAATATTTTTGGAAATTACAGTATTGTTCTTGGTCCARTTTGGTTAGGGCTAACGTTACCTGTGTCTATAGCTGCATTAACAGAGATGGAGTAATTCTATGTCATCACTAATGTAAGATGTCACAGATCAGTCACATTCTGGCTTTGTGAAAGTAGCCTTTTATTTAAAAGCATGTGGTAATATGCTTTTACGTGGAGAAATATATTTTAAGCACAAAATGAATACACAATACTTCAATAGCATATTCTAAGCTATCCAATTCTTATCTCTTTTAGAAAATCGAAAATGGAAGATTTGCAAAATTCAGATATATTGCCCATGCCATGGTTAACAGTACAGATTTGTTAATGGTAACAAAAAGGTAAACAGTTCCGTCTCTGAACAGTAAGTAGCTTGAAACAGTGTCATCAAAATGAGCGTTTGCTCTTGGTTGGTACGCGGGCTTCCATGTGCCTGGCAGGACGTGGGGAAATGGGGAAATCCAGCTCGGTGCAAGCGCAGCCTTGCCTGGAGCAGCGTGTTCCACTGGTGGAACAGTGGGATTCATCTGTGAATTGGCATCCCCAAGGAAAAAGGGATAACGTGGGGATGGGAAGTCAGGAAGGTCTAGCAGTGGAGTATGGGGCGTCCTGCTTAGATGGAGAGAGCATGGAGCTTTCCTTAGGAAAAAAAGCTACAAGTAGTGTTACTGTTTTGCTATTAAAAAAAGAAAATCGGTAATTTAGGTGAAGCTAAACTAATCCTTTAGGTGAAGGATTAGTTTAACACATAACTTTTAAGTGTTTTACTTTTGCATTGATTCTTACATGACTGATTTTGTTTTGTTGTGTTTAGCGGTGTGTTGTTTGTGACGAAAGGCACGTTTGGGCAGCTCACGTGCGAGTGGCAGTACACGTACGACGAATTTACCAAAGAGCCCTTCATTGTGGATGGCAGGAGGCTCCGCATCGAAGCCAAGGTGTGTGCRTCTTGATCCAGGAGCTAATGCCCATGTCCATCTCATGCCACTGTTTGTGGTCCTGAATTCTCAACACTCTCCCAGCAAGTTGTGCTTGGGAAGGGAACTGACGTTTGGCTTCAGGAATCTCCTGGGATAACGGGGCTCTGATCATTCTGAGCAGAGCGGTGACTTGTGTCTTTCCTAAATGCACTGACTTGTGGTGCTCTTTTTCTTTTTCCTTCGTAAGGTCACACCGTGCATTGTCTAAAGCTGAAAGTCAGCATATAAAATATGCAAAATTCTTATTGTCACAGAAATTCACATGTGTTACACCAGTCCCTCTGCATATACTACACATACAGGGTTTTTTTCCATCTACTAGTGATCAAGCCCTTCAAAAGTATAATATCCATATAAAAATCATAATGAGGTGCACTTATTTTATCCTTCTCAGCTCAAGCTGAGGAATGTTGCCTTCAGTGGCAATGAAAAAATAAGTATTTTTTTCTCTGGTATTTTTTGAAGGGAGAAGAGTGAACCAAATACTGATGACAGGGCTTGCTTATGAAAGCAAGGTACCCATAGAACTAATCCTAAATTTTTGTCAGGATGGAGACTAAATTGCTTTTGAATCAACAAATATACTTGCTTTTTTTTTTCTTTATTTTTAAATAAGCTTCCCATGTAATTAAATGCATGGATGTCAGGGCAGTCTTGACTTTGTATCTGCAAAGAGCAAAGTCATTGTTTTTATTTTTATATATTTTTAATCCCCGCTGCAGAGAGCAGGGGAGGCAGAGCAATGTTCACTGTGCTCTCCCCAGCTGGTTCTGTTGTCCGTGTCCGCACGAGCAATCCCTGCCSTGATCCCGAGTTCCTGCCGTTTCGGGCGGCGCAGAGCAGAGCTTGGSCATCCGCTTGTCAGCAGCGCCCACTCTGCTGGAGAAAAGCTGAGGGAGCAAACCGTGTTGGGCAGAGCCTGCCCTGTGTTCTGGCTGTGCTCACGGCGCGGGCTGGCTTGCGAGCTGGTATTAGTGCAACTGGGGCAACGGTGGAGAACAAAGATCACACGTTTTTACTTACTCCTGGATTTTGTGATCCCACGTATCTGCTTTCCATGCCTGCCTGTTTCTGTACTGAGACTCCCTGGCACGAGGCAGTGTGGGAATGCTCCCGGCCGTGTGCCTTCAGCAAGGAGCAAAGCTCCCGTGGGAATGTGCACGATCAGTGTATGGGCACACGCTGCCTCCAAGCTGCCTCGTGGTAAATAACCTCTTACTTGTCCCGTTTGAAGAAACTAAATTCACTTCTGATTTTTTAAATTCTTTAGGAACGAGTGAAGTCTGTGTTCCACGCCAAAGAATTTGGAAAGATTATTAATTTCAAAACTCCGGAAGATGCTAAGGTAAGCTCAAAATCATAATGGAATTACTGTGCTGTGTTGCACTTGGTACGGAGATAAGCAGAACTGCAGCGTTGCTGGCCTTGTGAGGGCTGCCCAGCAAGGTGCTGCTGTGGTTTGTGCTGCTCCCCATGGAGGTGGGAGCCGTCCCYGCCCGCACCAGCTCGCTGGTGCTCGCAGCGCCGCGTGAGATACGGCTGCTTTCCCACGCTCAGGTAGATGCTTGCRGGAATTCTCATCTTTCATTTACAGCTCTTTAATATTAGCACAAAAGCCTGCCTATTAACCATAATGGCTACTGGTTTATTAGGTTGGATATGGAGAAAAAAAAAAAAAAAAAAAGGAAAGGAAAAGAAGGGAGGCTGCATGTACATTTCCCAGAGATGTTTGTCATCATTTTTTTTCCCCTGGAAAAGCCTGKGCACTGTGGAAAAGCAGGTGTAGCTGCCTGTATGTGGTGTCCCCTGAGCGTCCGTGAGGTGCAGGGGCCTGCGGGGCTCTGTCCAAYAGGGAGCAGCAGGTGGAAGTGCAGCCCTTCACGTGGGGGGCGTGAGGGCCCTCAGGGGCAGCCTGAGAACCCTCCTCTCTTCGTGACCCGCTCCCTTGCCTGTCCTGGCGGCACAAGTATTTCTGTGCCTGCAGATGTGCCCTGTTCGGGCTGTGCGTGGTGGCTTCTGGCAGAGCCCTGTCTTCCTCCAGAGCCCTGTGCAGCTCCACCTATTTCACAACAACAGCATAATCACGTTGGTGTAAATTGTTCTTGTCCATTGTCTTTTATGATCCATCTGCGACTTGCTTTGAGCTCTAGACCAATGTTCAGCATGAGCAAYGATCCTTTGCTTTTATGAAATGCCTTTCACAGCAGACTGAGCCRTCAATCCAGTCACCTTAGCCGTGGTCCTTAGTGTCCCCATGCCAGATCCTGGCATTTAAATATTTCTATCTTCATGCAAAAAAAATGAAGAATTAATACTCTGCAGAAGGATTGCTGGCATTGTGCTAAAACTCAGCTAGGAAAAGGGTTGATGGGGAAGTGTTTGTCCTTCTCTGCRTGGTTTCTACTAAGGAAACATTTTTGTTTTCTTTTTGTCTCACACAGTGGATCCTTTCTAAACTGGAAGAAGTGAGAGAGAATCAGCCAAAGCTGTAATCACTGAAGACAACAAGACATGAAGAACACTGAATCAACAAGTTACCTTCAATTTCTCTTCATCATGCAGAACTATTTGAGCTGTCAATATCAAAACAAAAAGAAATGAAGAAAAGAGGATTTGTGAAACTTTATTATTGTTGCATCAGTGTCCTGGTACATCACTATTGAATCATTGTCACAAAAATAGTTGCTGTTAAAAATGTGTTCAAAAAAAAATCTGTCTACTTTTGACATACTGGATTTTTTTTTTATGAATTCCAGATTTCATTTTTTGAAAACACAGTATAAAGTATAATGTTTTACTTCCAATTAGTTTACATTTGATACTGAAATTGAGCTCTGGAATAATTCTCACGGTATTATACAGAGCAGATGTTTGATTTAAATCCAAAAATAATTTGAATATCAGTATTTAATTTCTGTCTTCAGTTTTCATATCTTATGAGACRTAACGCTGTGTTGAAATTCCAATTTCTTCATCTGGGGAAATAGGAACTTACTCAGCTATTCTTGAAACTCCAGTTCTAAGACGGATGCTGCTGAACGGAATAGTCTAATTTATGTGTATAAATAACAATGGGGATGCTTGTTTAACAAATACCTTTTCCTTTTTTTTTGTAAATGAACAGAATGTGCTATGATAAATTTACAACACAATATAATTTTTAGTGTGAACTTTTTTTATATTCTACTCAAGGCAATATTCAAAGAAAATCTGACAGTTTACAGAAGCATATAATATGGAAAATGAATACATACCTATACCAGGAATGTGAATGAAACCCTATTAGTCTAAATTAACATTATCAACAGATTCGCAGCTTAGTGAGGAAGCCTTGAGGTTTAAGGACACTGTTGTATACCCAAAAATATCCCCTGAATTATGCAGTATTGTGTGCTAAGCAAACTARAATGACTAACAGAATCAAATTTATATTAATAATAAATATCGTATTTCACAGTTGTTTTTATCAACTTTACTTCTCCAATAAAACTTTCTAAGATTCATATCCATAAAGCAGAATTTCAGTAGGGAGAGCCTGAAGTTGTGAGATACTTCTTGCAAGCTGCTGCATTATTGTAAAATCTAAAATGGATAGCRTGCTAAATTGCAACTGTGGTTCCTTAATTTCCTTGTCCTGTTTCTGCTGTTGAGTGACTCTTTATTTGGTAAAAAAAGTACACGTAACATTCCCTTTAACTTTATAATTTGATATAAATTGAATCTAAACATCAGTGAGTTCCAAACTACGGCAATGACTCTGTTCCTCCACTGTTCTGAAACAGGTCTACAACTCAGGTTATGATCATGCCAAAACAATAGAATACTTTGCCTTAGATGAGTTGTGTCCTTAACTGCACTGAGTGCCACTCTGCATCGTTTTTTGCATATTTTTAAGCTGTCACTTGTATCCTGGACCTGATAGTTGCATCTACAGTCTCATGATCCTGATTCCTGAATATTCCCTTAGTTGTCCCCTACTCTCTCCTTCCATCCCTAGTATCATCTGTACAGATGCTGCAACTAACACGTCTGTTWGCAAGTATTTTGCACATTCCCATTTGTGCGACTCTTCAGTTCACTTACTATTTAGCTTCTTCCCACAGAGCCTTTTTTCTGTTGAGTTTATCATCTCCTATTATTTCTTTTATTTTGCCAACAAAGTCCTGAGTCTCAGATCTTGGTAAGTGCTCTTCATTAATGCTTAATCAATGTAATCATTAATGATATAAGGATATTTTAAATGGCAGTGCATGGTTGCAGTTAAACTGCCTTGGAAAAAATAACAATTATCTCAGATTTGCCATTTTGATATAAATTATTTGGATGTTTGCTAACTTAAAAGCCTTAACATGAGAACTAAAAGCATATTAAGTGTCCTGATTCTATCAGGATTCAGAATGTTAAAAAATTAGCATAGACTTACCCACCACTCCCTTTGTATCTTCTAATCACAACATGATTTTATAGAGATCATTTTCCAATCAGCAAATTTTTCCTAAGCAATAAATTATCTTTTCCCTTTCTTCACCCCTTTCTCTCTCTCCATGAAGTTCTGCATGAATTTTGTCATCTGCAATAGACAACTTCTGTTCTTCTGTTTTATTTCAGTGAATACTGCATTTGCTTCCCATAATATAAACTGGATTAAAAATACAGACAATATTGAACTTGGCTGATTATAAACCAGCTAGGGGAGAGGAGAAAGGTATTCAGTCATGCCATTGTGTCGTTTACAGGATTACTGCAGATTTAGATATCTGTTCTGCTCTGCCTCATTCCATATTTCAAGACACACATTTTTCAACAAGAAAGTAGAATTTTATATGTAATATTAATTTTTATTAATGATTTATATGCAATTAACTGGGGGATCATGATAAAAATCAAAACACAGGCATCTAGGTCTGTGCACTGTAGTACTTAAAAGTATACCATGGCCTTTATTGAAAAATATTTTCTAGATGACTGTTAGCTAGATTTACTTATTTTAAGTCATGTAGCTTCTCTGTCATAGTTGTAGTAATTACATTTAGCTATAAGAAAGCAAAGGGAGTATATATATAAAAAATATATATATATAAAAGATGACAACCAATAGTTCTGCTGGATCCTGATTGACTGCCTATGAAAAGTGCTGTAAAATACGCAGGCGCATTGCTAAATCATCTGTAAGTTAAASTGTTTGCATCTCTTTCTGTTCAGCTGCATAGTCACTTGCATGGCTTTCCATTTGTTTTCCCACCACAAAAGAAATTTTATTGGTATGTAATTATAACTTGATTCATTACCTACTGCATTAATTGAATGTTTTACCTGATGCTGTTGTTAATCAGTGTTACCATTATACAGGATTTTCAAGTAGAAAATAAAACAGGACCAAATCCTGTTTCTGAAAAGGTACAGCCTCTGCTGCGAGAATCTCAGTGAGAGCAGAATTCAAAATTCAGTCATTTCTTTGGGTTTATTGTAAGGTCAGGCTTAATTGTCCTTATAATAACTGGACTTAAAATTTGAAGTTAGCATATACGTTGTTTTAATGTGATTTTCTTTTCCTGTTGTTGCATTGAAAATCATAGATGATGTCACATGATCACCACACTCCGTTGAAATCTGTTTTGAAATAAAGTTCTGTAAATGTGGAACTTACTATTTATTACCCTGCTACTTCACAAAATACACTCAAAAATATATTAGGTCTTTTGTTCAAGTTATTTTTAACTATGTATCCGTAAATAAATTAAATGCCACTCACTAGTCAATACAAGATTCGTATTGCTGTGTAATTGTAGTTAAAATTTAGTATTTACAGCACAGTTCTTGAATTTGAACTAAAATCTACAAGTTGCTTAACAAGTCTAAAATGTAGTATGGTTTCAATAAATAAGTTGCATATCTTCACAGGACTGATAAGCTTCGTGGCTTTTTTGTAAATATCTCCATCCAATGCCATATGATATGAACACTGGTATAACTTGTTTTGAGTTTTACATATTTCCTGGTATCATGTTAGCTCTACACTCAAGTGGAATGTCACAAAATAAACCAGAAGCTTTTAATGCTTCTAATAAACAATATATTTATTCTCTGATATATATTTATATTCTGATAAGTAAAGCATCCAATACCAGTGAAGGGTTTCTCTCCAAGGAGCCAAGGCTTATACATCCCTAAGAGTCCATGCCAGAATAAGGTGGGAATTTTTTCTTTTTTCTGTGTTCCATTTGGCTGCATATTATTAGGGTTTTTTTCTTTGCAGAAAATTGTGGGAATCAGTTTTAATTAGAGCCACAGCACAAAACTTTCTGCTAATATGGAATTGTTTGAGGTTGGTGAAGGTTGTTTATGGTAACTCAAGAGCCTCGTGGTTATTCTGTCAGCTTGTGCTTTTGATGCTGAGCTCTGCATACAGAGGGGTGTCACACATCCCTGCCGCGCAGTCACTCGGTACTTGTGGGCCATGGGATCGTCCTGCCTCCTCGTAACTCCAGTGCTGCTTGGGAGGGCTGTGGGCTTGTGCAACAGCCTAAACGTGCTGCTGTGAACTGACTGGGTCAAGGAGGTGTCCTTGGCACCACGCAGATCTAGTCCAACGCTGGAACATGTCTTTGACTTGCCTTTCTTGTTTCCGTCCCCACAACGCTCAGGGGGATCAAGACCATGCATTTCAGAAAAAGAGTTATGTAATGYGGGGAACTCTAGGTGAAAAATGCTGCTAACAGGAATTGTTTGTTTGAGGATATCTTAGGCTGCAAAATCTGTTTCTGATTTTATCAAAATTAGTTTTTCATGAGTCATAATGTAGATTAACATTTTACAAAGAATACTTATACTTTCATACAGAAAACACATTAATCATCTTGCTTCAAAAGCTTATTATCATGTTCAGCTATGCCATTCCTGCCACATGCCATATTCTTTTCCTGTCCAAAATTGAACATAGTAGTCAATAACTGACACCTTTTCCTGTTTAAAACTTTACTAAAGTTTTGACTATTAATATTCTTACTGGTGGATTAGTTTGGAATTATTTGGTCAGAATAAGCAAGTATATGTTATTATATTTTTATTAAAAATATATTAATTTTTGCTTTTGCAGCTGTAAGATAAAGCTAGGTATCTAAAATTCTACTCATAGGAGATTTTTATAAGAGATTTTGACGGTTGTTTTTATGGCAAATCTGGAATAAGAGTTTTTAATATTTTTGTAATACTTTTGAAGGGAAAAGCCTGACTGTTACAACAGCCATAGTATGTTAAGACACTGGAATCCAAGATGGATTTTTGCTGGTTTTGATTTTGCCGCTTCTTGTCCAGATTTTTACTTTCATGGGTTTTGCTTTTTTGTTGTATCAAGCACTGAGAAATACATTTCCCTAATGTTACATTGATGTGATGTTCCTAAAGAGATATGAAATAAATTATTCTAGTCATATTGACAGGGACAGTAAAACGCTGGGAATCTTACCTTTTGCAAAGTTAGACTCAAAATTTATGTTAGCAATGGGCTTTTTAGATGGACAACAAATGTTGATTTGGGTGTGAAATACTTTAGATTTTAAAATGTTCCAAATCCCTACAGGGCTCCAAACTGGGCTCCAAGCAGGTCAAGGATTTTGCATGGCTGGCAAGTTCTCTTCCTTTTTCATTCCATCAAATGGACTGTCTTATAATTTTTTTTCTGTCTAGTTTCCTGTGTAACTGGAGGTTCTGAAGTAATGTGAAGATGTTATGGCAACTTTTTTTTTTTTAACAAAAATTGTCTAGTTTGGGGCTGCATAGCTGCGGCATCAACATTAGGTTGATTCAAATTTCTCAGGGGTGACTTACGGACATAAAATATACATGCACTGACTTGTTATTTTATTCTGAGCTTCCTTCTTACTCCTCTTTGGTTTTCTGTAGTTCAGTAAGTATCACCGTACCTATCTTTTTCCTGGACATGCTGCACTACCGCACCGTTGCCTCAGTGTTTATTATTACCATTTCGTCCTATCAGGAGAAAAAGAAAAAAAAAAAAAAAANAAAAAAAAAAAAAAAAAAAAAAGAAAGCCTAGATATCAGTAAATGTTCTTCTTTTAAAGAAGAGCTTTAAAGGAATTTATGAACAGTCTTTTAGAGCTTACTCCAGTCCTAAAAAGCTGTGATGATTCCAAGTGAATGGTAAAGGTTGAACACTTTTCCTTAAAACCAGAAAGAGCTGCAGCCACACTTTGCTTTTTCTGTACTGCTGTAGAAAATGGACCAGGCTGTTTTATTGGTTAATCATTAAACTTTTTCTATGGACAGTGAAAGGCCAGATGTTCTTTTCACAGGACTGAGCTGTCTACCTGGATAAATGTACACAGACACATTATTCATACTGACAATCATTATAACTTGAGGGTTTTTTTTGTGCTGTTCAGAAACTGTACAGAAATTTATTATGATATTAAAAATTTATTATGATATTATAATAATTCTGCTTGAGGGAAAAAAGTATTCTAATGTATTTATATGCAGTAACAATCTTACCACATTTGGGGGGGCTGAATGGATGTGGAAATACAGAGTTCTACTAAAATAATCTCTGACACTAGTGCTGCTGGCTTAGATGAACAAATGCCAGTGACTTCCACTTTTAACATGTAACTATTAACATGTAACTATTTGCCAGTTTGCAGATGGCAAAATGGTCAGGTCTTTGATGGTGAGCAAAAAGTGACGGAAGTGCTGGCATCTGTAATGGAGGCTTGTATCTGGGATCTGATCATGTTGGGAATTTTAGAGGTTTTGCTGCTATTTAATCTCTGCCTAACTACCTGTGAAGCTCAGTGGCAGGACACTGGACAGCACAGAATGGGGGTTCCTCTGCTCACACCGAGCAATTCAAGCCCCGTTTATCATCACTGGCAGCTTGGTGGATGACCTGTTGTTCCTCCCATGACAATGAACACTGAAGAGGTTTAATAAACACCTTGCTGGTAATAGACATATCTTTCTCCATAAGACAAGAAAGAAGTATATAGGCTACCTRCAAAGATCTTAGTATGTCATTCTGTTAACTGGGGAATATACTATATTAGTGTTAGGCACTTGAACAAAAAGGCAGAAAATGAAAGGGAATCACCAATAACTTTCTGTAATGTTTTCAAAAACATTAATGTTTTTGGCATATCAGCTGTATAAAGAGATGCTGCTAAAAAATGTAGCATATTTACTCACGTGTTTCAGCTACATTGCTCAGAATATTTTAAAGTATCTAGCACCCTAAAATAACACATACTTGTCATTTGTAAGGCATCGTTTGCTAAAATTGTATAAGCTATGATTGTAAATGATAAGTGAAAAAAACCTTAAGCCAGACAGACAGCAGTGCAGTTACGTACATTCTTTTAAATAATATTCTTAATTCCAAAAGGTGTCATAAAAAACCCAGGTGAAATTAGTAATGGAATATGAAATGGGTGGGAATATGAATAGGAAATATGAAAATAGCTTTAAAAAAAGTAAACTTCATAACTCATTACTTCTTCAGTAAATATATCCCCCACTTACATTTCTGTAAATAGCATTTTAAAAGACATTATTTTGTATCAATGCAGACTATACTATGAGTAAATTGCACTCTGTGGATGCAAACAATATCTTCCTTCAAACCAGGTTGAACTCCCTCAGGTTTATTTGCAAGATAGTGTCCTTGACAGCAGCAAAGACGAAGCGGATATTCTCTGTGTCTGTGGCACAAGTAAAGTGGGAGTAGATTACTTTCTCCTTGTCTGGATTCTGATCCTGATACAGCTTCAAAATGAAGTCTCTGGCAGCTTTGACATCTTGTTTAGGTCCTAGTCAAAAAGCATAATTAGTATTTTTGAACATTTAAAAGATGCGTGTTAGGAAAAAAAAAACATGGAAGTATGTGAATAGGCTAATTTTCTATAAAATAATTATAAATCCATAGTCCTTGATGGCATTTTTTCATTAACGTATTAGTGGAGTACTTCTGCTTTCTAATATCTGAGGAACTTGCCCTCTTTAAAGTAGTTTATTGTAACAGCCTACATATCTCAAAGTATACAGCATATCTTTAAAGTTTGTTGTATATAAAAGAAATCAAATTGTTCTTCAAATCCTTTGCATTATACGTATTTTCTTTGGCCAAAACATGCATCTATTTTCACTGTAGCTTATAAGGATGAAAAGAGTTATTATGATTTAACTGTTGGATTCAGTATGATACATTTCTTGTAGGGCAAAACACTGTTTAAGTAATAGGGTGACTGGTGATATTTGTCTCATTCTTTTGACACTGTAGTTATCAGTAACATTTGCTCAGGAAAGTCATTCAGGCTGCTTTTTTATGTTGTACTTCTATACAGACCCACAATGTATTACTATATAGTATGGATTTTTACCACATAAAGAGTAGGATTAATAGACATGTTACCCAGGTCTCCCCTGTGTCTTGTATCTTGAGARTAAAGTGGGTTAAATGGAAAAGATGCTTCTCATCTCTTGGTGTTATTTGAAATGTAGTGTGCTCATCCATTCAAAGAGGGAAGAGCGTAATATGTACATTGGATATCATATTAGACTAAATGAAAATGAATTTGCCACTGTAATGCTAACAGAAGAGCTACAAGAACTGTGTTAAGACCCTGTGTAAAAAAAGAAATAAATATTATATATCTATATCTCTATATATGCTAAATTAGAAGCCAGCAATGTAGGTTTGTATCTGAAAGGATTGCAAAGGACAGGTATCAAGTATTTGGAATAATTCCATTTTCCTTGCCCAATTTAATGGAGAAAAATTGATTGATTTAAATATAACATCATACTTGTGAACAGAGTTCTGAGATAAATGCTTACCTGTGTATTCTGGAAAGTAACTAATTAGATGTGAATACATGATTTTCTCTTCTAGAAGATCTTTTTTGTTCAAAAACAAAATGACTGAAGAATTCAGAAACCARGGGTATGTGATGATAGTTTTAAATAAGGCTTTGCTTTCTTCCATTCGATTCTACAAGCACAAAAATGAGTTCGAAATTACACTCTAAAGAATAGTATATGCAAATCTCATCAACCACAGATCATAAAGTTTTCCTTGGACGCTTGTTTAGTGTTACTTTTACTAAGCACAGATACTCTGGCTGCCTGTTACTCAAGAGTAACACCAAGGTGTTTTCTGCTCATCACTTTGAGTGCTTTCATCACTCACTGAGTTTTGCATCACAACTGAATAGCATGATGATGTATGAAATTCAAGGTAAGCTTCAGCAATAGAAATTATCTGAAATCCTATATGGATTAGTGAGCAGCCCTGGACTGATTGATGAGAGCCTTTCCTGGCTTCACCAAGAGAACACTTCACAGGGCATGGTGGGTCAAATATCTGATATTAGCATATTCTAACATAACTAAAGGACAACGAAGTATCTACTTATCTATACCAGTAATAAAGTGTGGTCGTGCTGTCCCTTTTGAGAGAGCTAGCTAAAGAACAAAAAATTTGGACATAACTGGTAGAAATGTCTACACAAAAACTTGTGATGACAGTTATTTATCTTGGGTAAATACTTCCTAATTTCTAACGTAAAAAATGGCAAAATTTCCAAGACCTGTGGAAAGAAAAACAAAATTACTTACGGCAACCAAAGTTGGTTTTGCATCACGAGAAATAAAACTTTGAAGATGTTCTGGCACTTCAGCAAGTGAATCTTGAAAACTTGAAAAAGTGTTTGGCAGAACTTCCAGCATTAGGGTATACTTTTCATGGTTCAAATAGACCTGGGGGCTTGGGTGCCTTAGATTTTCAAAGGTTTTAAGAAATGAGGAGGAATGTTTGAACATCCTCATACTTCAGGACGTAAAGCAGTCTCAACCGAAAGTAATGTAATTCCTTTAACATGTTTTTCTCTGTTTGGTCACTTTTGTTTTCTTGCATCCACTGCTAAAACATCTGCTACTGGTAATGACAGCTATCCAAAGCAGATGGACAGCTCATCTTACATCTTCCAATCTTGGGAAGGAACTAGACTCTTAAGTTACTGTACCTCAGTTCTCTTGAACTGGTGCACACATGTTAATTATCAAACTTCAGGGACTTGGGTGCATTCCAGAAGGAACAAAACAGACTCCAAAACAAGGTAAGAAGTGGAACGATACATTAAAGGTGCTAAACATTCGATACAATTTAGAGCTTTGGGGGAATCTGTCAGTTAAAACAGCAGTGATTTAATGAATTTGATACACAAAGAGAAGAGGTTGTTCACTGAAACCACAGTATAACAAATCTTTGGTTTGTGTACAGCATGTATCAAGATGACAAAAAGAATCTAGCGTAGCAGTGTAGTCTACTGGCTTTATATTTGGTATTTCCTAGAAAGAGTTTCTCAATATACTTGTGGGTATGTGTGTGTGTGTTTAAGTTAATTTGTGAAATACATGTGTCTGCTCTCTTACAAAAATATGCATCTTTTCTCTGTACCAAATTAAGATACATCAACTTCTTACCTCATTGTCACATTCTGCCAAGACTTGATCATATTCACTTAATGCAACTAAGAAAATGATGGAAGTAACACTTTCAAAACAATGAATCCACTTCCTCCTTTCAGATCTTTGGCCACCTACATCCACCATCCTGTTAAAAGAGAAATACAGTTCACATTTTTTATTGTTTTCTTAAGATGCATTAAATATTAGCAAAACACCCTCTAACAGCTTGCCTACTTGAGACATACAAATGATAAGGAATATATCTTTGTATGTTATGTTCAATATTCAAACTTGATTCACTTGAAGTGTCACAACTTCCACTGTAGTTTAGTGTAGATATATGACACATGTATGCCATCTTGAGAGACAATAATGCTGGTTCTTTAAGTGCTGCCGTTAGTTTTATGAAGGCAGAGTTAAGTCTGTTCAGTTTGGCACTCCACATACTCCAAAATTAAAAATATGCACAAAAATGACCTGTGCTCTCACATTTACATATATCAAATACATCACTACTAAAAACATTCAAAATGCTCACAACTACAATAATTCCATATTAAACTCCTGTAATTTTGCCGATAGTTTCTACACATATTTTCCACATTTTATCCAAGGTAAAATGTCTAGGAAAAAAAGAAAATTGACAGATTTGCTGCTTTGATAATGTGTTATCACAGTAGAATCTGTGTTTAGCTTCAAGCAATTTCATTACAGAAATGGGTAGTTTTGTCAAAGAACATATATTCTTCAAGGAGATACAAAAAAATCTGCCTTCCCTTATAAAAAGCAGGAAGGCCAACTGCTACAGCAGTTTGCCCAGTACCAGATAAGGTGCTTTTAAGGGGTTTTATATCACTTTTTGCCTTCTTTTTTTCTCCCATTTTGGGAGACACATTTACACTAAATATCAGGTCTTTATGCATTATACGCATTTTTTCTTACTCTCCTCCTTCCCTTCATGTTTCTATCTCCCTCTCTTTCTTTGCCTAACTATAAGTTGTCAGTTTAAGGAAGGACTTATCAGGTCTGTTAAGGCCTCTCTTCCAAAAGGGGTGCAGCAGCAACTGTTGGTTCAAAATGGAATTAAAATATTTTCTTGTACTGGAATCCATGCATTTCAAATACCTGCCCTTTGAACCCCTGTAACTCCTTTTAAATTAAACTAACAGTTTGGAATATGTAGTGCTTGGAATACTTTGAAAGGTTTCTATTATACAATTTCAGTAAATCTCAGAAGGAAAGTTTTAAAATACCTGGAAATTACTGTATTAAATTTGCAGGTCAACAACATATACAAAAAGTTTTTAGAATCTTACAACTGAGGTTTCAACAACTGCTTTCATAATATAGCTGTATATGCAGTGATTCATTGCTAAGTCTTACCTAAATATAATGTTTTCTAAATCAAAAGGATACTCGATAATTCCTGTAGTAGGCACTCTGACTCTGAGAACATCTTGCTGAGTTGGCACAAATGAGGGCATAGCAATACGATCAATGTCAGTAAGATAACTGAAAAGTTAAATATATAGTAGAAACAAAATTAATGAGTCATAAATCCGTCATGGAGCTATAAACAAAAAGAACCACCTATCAGCAGTCACTCTAGGGCTTTCTTGGAAGTAGATGGATGGTATTATCTTGCAGTAATAGAGCAGGGTTTATGCAAAAGTAAATTTCACCATTTAAGATAGAGCCAAACTTGTCCGCTGAGTATTCAGCAGCATCTCTTCTGATAGATGTTAGTCAAACAGGAACAAACACAGTTCCCAGTAAAGGTTCTGCCTTGTTTCATGCCAGCAACGGTTACTCTACCCCAAAATAGGCAGCAGAATGGTGATCCGAACAAAAAAATTTAAATCCTAATCCTTCCCATAATATTTACTGATAGAATTATCCTCTGCAATTTTATTTATGATACTAATAGCACATAAAAATGTGAAAGTTTGTTGGACAGAATTAAAAAAAAAGTAATTAATGGAAAACACTGCAAATGTGGATGCTTCAACTTTAAACATTTTTATATGCATTTTCAATGCTTTTAGCTTTTCCTTTAATCACACAGTCATTCCTAATTTTAGCTTCATCAGTTTTCCTTGTGCTTTTCAGAGCTGGAATTAAGATCTAGGATAACGGATTTTTGCCGGGAGAGAAGAGCAGTGTATGCTGCCAGTTGGACATACAGCATCATCTGCAATCTCCCCTCTCACCACGAGAAGGCAACAGTGGATCAACACAAAGTCTAAAAACATGCTCCAAATTCTAACTGCAGGGGTAGTAGAAACTTTGCTTTATTTACACAAAATGAAAGAGGGAGAGCATCAATGCATTCTGCCCTTTCTGCCCAATCATCCCTCAGATTTGGGAGTCGAAATCAAAATAAAAGAAATAAATGTACTGCTTATCCATTCTAACAAGATTTCTTTTATAAATAAGACAATTTCTTCCCTCCAACAATGTAGTGAATTGCTTTTCCAAGGTCAGCTGTAACTAATAGTAAAAAGAAGATGCAAGTAAAATTTAAAATAAAGATAAATTTCAATTTTGGCTGATATCATAGACAGTAAGTGGGGCTAAACTAGATGATAAAACGGCATCTGTCCTTTCCAAGCCAGGAAAACAGAACAAGCTAGAAACTTTTCCAAGCTAGAGACAGAACAGACAAACATTTGTCAGGAATGATTAGGCTAAAGATCCAGGAACCATTTGTTAAGTCTAACTGTAACTGATTAATCTAAATCTTCCTTGCTGAAAATTAAGACTGTTACTTGCAACTTGTCTTTTGCAGACATAGTTAAGTTATTTTCTGTTCTCTCAAGCTTTTTTTTTTTTTTTTTTTTTTTTTTTTTTTCCCCCACAGTTGAAATTTAGGGAAAGCTGGAATAGGAGCATATCTTCATTCTTATTTATATCCTTTACTTTTCAAGTAACTATGAACTGTCTGACCTGCCTACTTGTTGTCAATGTATCTTGTACAGCTGTTCTTCATGATTTTCCCCACAGGAGAATTAGTTATGTACCAGCTGTGCTGACCTCAGAATTGGGAGAGCTAATGGTTTCAGTATGTTCAGAAAGCTGAAAACTAGTTTATTATTAAAAGAATGTTGTTTATCTGAGACCAACACAGGTATCAATAATAAAATTAGAGCAAACCTATGTCTTCATTAACTTTTGTAAAGTCTGAATTAATCTTACAGTTATGCAGTATACTTACTACTTTGCAGAATCTGAGAGCTGGTACTCCCTCCGTCTGTCATAGCACTCTTGAATTCCTGGATCTTCCCAGAGCTTCTTGATTGCTTCAACTTGTTTTCTTTCCAGGACTGTCACTTTATCCACTTCTACTTCTCTGATCATCTGAACATTATCCTGATCAATTAAACGATCACATTACTGAGAAAAAGGGTTGCTAACAGCATACAAAAMACACTCGCTTTATGATAATCACTTCCACATACACAATTTAGCATCAAAAAGAAACCCAGGAGAAAGGGAAACAATAGTGAGTGTAATCCTTCAAYGTATCTAATTTTTAAGTCAAATGATACTGAGTACTTCATTCTTGCTTGCTATTACCTGACGTAATTTTTTTTTTCTGGAAAGGGTAGCTCTGCTCAATGAAGGATGACCATTTTAAAAATCGCTATATTTTAATCCCAATTCATAACAGCAGTGATTTTTGTAAATGTCTGTTATAGGTCCTTTAACTTCTGGTTGGTTCTAAAACAAAGTTTGGATAAACAAGCACCCTGAGGGAATCATATTTATACAAGGTATCTTTTGCTTAACGGATCTCATTGAGATACAGCCACAGGGCTCTGTGGCAATAATTAATTTTCTYTGCTGTGTATATAATGATATTTAAGAATATCTTTTGAATTCTTGAAAGGTACTGCTACAAAATGCATTTAATTTTGAATTAAATTAACTTATTTGATGTTTGGAACATAAGAGATTGTTTACTGTGAACTTAGTTTCCTTATCCTAATCATTTTTTATTTATTTGTTGATGCTACATTACTAGCATCAAAATCAATATCAACTATCATCCTGTTTTGAACTGATATCTTCTTTAAAAGYCAAGTAAGTTTTTTTCACTTCCTTGATTTTTAGCTTGAGAAGCAACAAACAGTAAGGCTGCATATAGATCTGTTTTGGACCTGAGATCCTAATCAGAAAAATCTGTAAACTTATTTATCTGCTAGTTCAAAGGGAGATGGACATTGGATAGAAAGCAGGAGTCTTAATGACTCTGTATCTTCAATGATTGGGGGGGGAACAACAAAACACAGCCAAATATCTCAAAAGCAACTTCTCCATGATTAGTTCAAATTCATTTTAAATATTGTAGATCTATAAAATGTTCTGAAAATTCTCTTGAGTTTTCATATTAAGATTCACAATATTGTTGTAACGTCTAGGAAAATTTTCCCTGATTAGAATTATCTTTAATTTTAGAGCTATTCTATTATACAAAAATTAGGATATCTATGTGTATAATAAAATTAAAACCTAAAAAAATTTAACATAACCATCATAACTGCATTCCTACAGTACAAAAAGTTAATCAACTTGAAGTAGTTTATTAACTAAAAATACTTGTTAGAATGTCTTTCTGCTCCTTTGGAGACATTTGGTAACCTATAACATTTTTTAACTTAAACGGGTAAAACTGGCAATATCACAAAACAGGTGATATTGATTGAATAGATCAATATATTGAATAGATCAAATATAGAATAAAATAGAATTTTGCTTACATCAAATACTGGAGACTGATGTAGAGTAAGAGGGGATGGGCTCAACCTGTGAGGTGCATCTGACTGAGGCACTCCGTGTACGTAGGCCCGGGTGTTACAGACCTGGCATTCTCACAATAGCTAGTGCTCATATTTCCACTCTTAACGGGTGAAGTGCAAGTGCAGGATAACAGATTGTTCACAGTACAAGTAACTCTTCCTTCAGTTTGCTCAAGTCACAGAACAGATATTCTTCTCTAGAGCTTTATGAAAAAGTTTCACCTTCTGTGATTTTCAACAGCCAGTATTAAGAAAAGGCTGCAGAAAACACCATTTAAAATGATGATGTATTTAGGAGAAATAAAAGACTAAATTCATGTACTGTTGTGTTAAGCAGAGAAATGCCCAATTAGTCATTTAAGAGATGTGTGCAGGTTTTTTTTAAACTTAAACTACGTTGTTATTGTTCACATTACTACATWGGAATTATTCAACATTTAAATATAGATTGCTCATTTTACAATTTTAATAATGGATCTTTTTACACATGCAAATGAAAACCTGACAAAACAGTGTCATATTGGAATTCTTCAAAATTATTTTCTTGTTAACTTTAAGATGAAAGGTCAGCTTGCTGCATGGAGAGGACTGCTCCTTGACATTCCCATCAAAAAAAGGATTTTGACTGAGGCATATGTCAAATTTCATTTGACATAAAATTTGCATGTGTCTAAGAGGGCTTAACATAGTAGCCRGAAAACCAACACTTCTATAATTTCCTTATGAAAAAAGAAATATTTCATGACTGTTTATATCTGCAAACCTCAGCTACCTTACTAGTTGCCAGTAAAAAAAGAAATCCTTTCTGGGAAAATCATTTCAGTTTATTTGTCATTTCATAGCTTTTAATAAATAGTACTCAACTTTGGCAACTACTCTCTCTCCTGTAATTAAAAAAAAAAAAAAAAAGTTCTTCAGAAAAAAATCAGGTGAAAAATTTCCTAAAGCACTACATGATTTTAGTATCATTCTAGTGATATGTACTGTTCATCCTCATTAAACACACCCATTAGTATTAAAAATTGATCTGGTATGGACTGTGGGCAGATAACATGACACAAAAGCTAGATATATAAAACTTGATTTTCCTTTAAAAACAGTCCTGAAGATAAATGAGTAATCTTAGGAGACAATGTGCTATAATGCAGGTAGGAGCTGAGAGAGGAGATTAGACCTGAAATACACTTGAAGGGCCTTGGAAAAAGTACAAAGTCCTTCAAAACCAGCAGTGAGAGAGTCCTGCAGCTTCTACAGCTGGTCAAGTCAGCAGCAGGAGAAGGGACGACCACTTAGTGCTAATAGCAGATATTCCTCATAAGTAACAATCACAGTCATGCTTGTTGCTTCAGCCTCTGACTAGTGTAATGCTCAAAACAAATTATTTTTCTATACAATTGTGCTAAAGGAAACTGTGTAGCTGACTGTACATCTAGTTTTAAGTAACTTTCATAGTCAAACATTTATATAATTGTAGTTTATTTTCAGATTACTAAATTCTATTCAAAGTCAACATATTTGTTGCAACTGAACAGAAAATTTGCAAGCCCTAGCAAAATTAAGGAAACCCCACATATCCTTTAAAGGCATCTCTTTCCGTGGAAAATAAGAAGCATTTACGATAATTAGATTTTTTTTTTTTTAATTCTTGCATCTACTAGACTAAAGGATTTTTGATGATTATTTTTGTCACTGGTTAAAGCTCTTGAAAGTCTGATAAAATACCTTGCTTTTTTTTACCTTTAATTAAGCCTGTAAAAGGTAACAGAATCATGCTATGTTACACAAGGGTTATGCAGTTTGTATTACTCTTCTACAGAATCTAAAACAGSAGTTACAGAAACTAGTTATTAAATCTTTTCAACACTTAATAATAATCTAGGTTTACACTTCAACAAGGATACTTTGATATTGCCAGCAACATACCTTGAAAGTAGTTTAAATGTCATGAAACTTCATAATAGGATTTTGGCAGGAAGAAATCCTGAGTGTTTCTAATGGACCGAGTCATACTTTAAAACTTTTCCACTGCAACTTTGAGTGCACTAGAAATTTAATTTTTATTTCTCTCAAAGCAGGAGTGGAAGATGATGGAATTCTCACCTRCCACTAAGAAATTGTAGACCAGACCAGAACTACTGTGAAAATACATACTATTGAAGTACAAAAGCAGTAAGTGCTTTCAAGAGAGAACAAATCAAAAATACSTACAATCATTACAGATCTAACCAAAGAACAAGGAGGGGAAATRCAAACCAGTACAAACACGTGTTAACAATGTCAGTTACCGGCTCATTTTTAAAAATGAAATACAAGCAACAAATCAACTGCAGAATTCACTCAATTATAATATGAATAGCATATTATGCTCTCTTTAAACACGGTAAGAACAGTAGAAGCAGCATTACAACTGATGAAGATTTCACATTCAAAAGCCCTATGGTGAAGCTACCTTACTTCAGGAGGATCTTTCTTTTAAACAGACCTCTGCTTTAGGTGGTACGCTTCAGCTAGAGAAAAAGAACACAAGTAGTAAAACAAAGCTAACTTATATTGGAGTATAAAAATATAGAAAAAGACCTCTCTGATCTGAAAGAAAAAGGCTCATGTATGACAAAAGCATGGAAAAGTACTTGGCAAATATATTGAAAATATGTAGCTAAGCTACTTACAATATTAAAAATCTATTAGGCTTTTCAAAATCTATTATACTGGCCTACAGTGGAAATCAAATTTAATCCTGCAATTAAAGACTGGAGTGTACCATAGGGGATACTTTTGAAATCAATCATCAATTTATTTTATCGGGAGGGTTTTTGAATATTACTTTTCTTTCATTTTACACAGTAATATTGCTGGCTAAAAGCAACTTTCTCATATTTTGCAGAAGGGCACAAGCTGAAGGTGGTGAATTCAACCTTTAGTAAGGTCAAATCTTTGCTGGACAAGACATGTATAAAAGTTACATGTATAAAGTTGTCAAATTTTAAATGGAGAAATACATTTAAATGTAGAAATACATTTTATCTTCAACAGTTTTATGTGATGCAGAACACTGATTAATTCAGCATAGCTGCATTTTGGAGAGTCTKAATCTCAATATGTGGAAAATAAAATGTTTCATTCGATCCTTTGCAGCTACGTTTTATCCCTTGGAAAACTGAATGTTAAATCTAATTTGCAAAAAGGAAGAGTCCAGGGCCTGAATTTACTTAGAATTTCTTCACTCATTTGAATAACTTTCTATGAAGATCAGTCTGGTTTGGAGACTTAAATCCTGAAAGTGTGTCCTATATCCCTTAAATAYATTGGTTATTCAGTGTTGGAAGGTAATTAACAAAGAGCAGGGATGTAAATTGGTTCAATAAGCAATATTTATCAACAGATATTTAAGGACAACAGGATATTTAAATTAGCATGCCAGGTGAATAGAAAGTTTGTGACCATTGATAGATTTTGTATCTCATTTCATGTTTACTTTTATAGGGCCACTGAAACGTATACTATCTCTCACTACAGAGTCTATAGAAATACTCAATTAAGTACTTGTTTCCTRCAAGTACCTAATTAAGC